ATTTAATGAAGAAACAAGCTTGAGGTTGTTTATTGCTCATTCTTGTAGATATCAAGGCAAGTTGCTTAATGAACTTAAGAAGGTTGGCAAAAAGATTGCAAAAGCTTGCAATGACTTACCTTTAAGCTTGAAAGTTATGGGTGCATTTTTAAGAAAAAAAATAGGTTGAGATGTTGGAAATGAGTTTTACAAAGGTTAAAAAGAAAAAGAAAGTTGGATGGAGATAAAAGAGGTTGTAACCACAAGATATGGAATATATGAAGAGTAAGTCTTGTCAACTTAAAAATTGAAGAAAAGAAAGTTTTTTTGGATGTATGTTGTTTTTTTTTTTGTAATGATTTATGCATACAAGGGATATCAAAAGAAAGAGCATTGCAAATATGGAGAAACTATAAAATATATATATATATATATATATATATATATATATATATATTAGAAGAAGATATGGAATTAAGATTAAATACATTAATTAAGCAATCTTTGATAAAAGTAAACAAAGATGGAATTATAAGAGTGCATGATGAGCTATAAGATATGGATAGAAAGATTATTGAAACAAAAACTGAATACAATTACATATGAATATAGAATATGAATGTGGAGCCATCTTATAGAATTTCAAAAAAAGTTTGTATACTTATTTATTATCTAAATAGCATGTGTGGTAGTGATGATAGTATAGAAGAAAAAATATTTGAAGGTTAGAGATGTAAAAGTCTTATATCACCTAAGTATCATTATATATTAAGGTGTAATTTGATTGAAAGTAGTTAATTGATTTATTTAGTTTATACTGTTGTAGAATTTGTATGTTTTTAAGGTGTAGTATAAATATAAAAAAATTAATTTATTTTTTTGTATATTTAAATGTTTTTTTCTTATAGGTAGAAGGATTATAGTACATCAATATAAATAATTATACATTTGGTGAAGATAAGAATACATACTTTCTAACACTATGGTTATTAAGTTGTAATATTTTTGATTTTGAATTAAGAAATGATCAAAGAATACAAGCACATTTTTTAGGTTGACAAGACATTCTTTCATCTTAAAATATTTTCTACTAAACTTATTAAATGTATAAAATATTCAAAAAGAAGTATCAAATAAAATATTGTATATGCTATTTGATAAAGATGTTTGGAAGAAGTTTAAATCTTTGAATGTATTGTAATTAAGAAATTTTATTTTTATAGAAGAATTTTCAAACATGTTCTTTAAAATATCTACATTATTAAAACTTAATTTGGAAGGATGTTCAAGTTTAATCAAATTACCAAATAAATTAGAATATTTTACTTTATTAAAAAAAACTTAATTTAGGAAGTTATAGAAAATTTAAAATATTATTAAAATCAATATGAGGTCTTTTTTTTTTAGAAAATCTTAATTTATATGGATATTTTAACTTAACATCATTATCAAATGAATTTGGTAAATTCACATCTTTGATCACATTAAATATGCATGAATACGTAGGCTTGACATTATTATATAAAGAATTGAAAAACTTGACATCTTTAACTACCTTAGATATGACAAGGTATTCAAGGTTGACAATATTGCCAAATGAGTTGGATAACCTTACATCTTTGAGTACTTTATAAATAGAATGGTGCTCAAGCTTGATATTATTACCAAATGAGTTAGGCAATCTCTCATCTTTGATTATTTTAGATATGACATAGTGTTTAAACTTGAGAACAATATCAAATGAGTTGAAAAATCTTTCATCTTTAATTACTTTAGATATATTATAGTCTTCAAACTCGACATCATTGCCAAATGAATTGGGCAATTTTACATCTTTGACTAATTTAAATTTGTCATGGTATTTAAACTTGACATCATTGCTAAATAAATTAAGTAACTTCACATCTATGACTAATTTAAAAATAAAATTGTACTGAAGATTAACATCATTGCCAAATAAATAGGACAACGCTATAGCTTTGATTAATTTAAATATAGGATGGTGTATGACCTTAACATCATTATCAAATAAATTAGGTAATCTCACATCTTTGACTATCTTTAATATAATGGAGTGCTTAAGTCTAACATTATTATCAAATAAATTAGATAACGTCATATTTTAGACTTATTTAGATTTATTAAGGTGCTTAAATTTGACATCATTGCCAAATGAATTGAAAAATCTTACATCTTTTACTACTTTAAATATGTCATGATGTTTAAGCTTGACATCATTCCTAAATGAATTAGACAATGTCACATCTTTGACTACCTTTGAAATTAAACAATGCTCAAGCTTGACATCATTGCCAAATGAATTAGGCAACCTTATATTATTGACTTCTTTAAATATGTCATGGTGTTCAAGCTTGAAATCATTGTTAAAAAAAATAAACTTCACATCTTTAATTACTTTAGATATGTCAAGTTGCTCAAGCTTGACATCATTGCCAAATAAATTATGCAATCTTACATCTTGATTAATTTAAATATGTCAAGTTGCTCAAGCTTGATATCATTGCCACATGAATTAAAAAATGTCACATCTTTACCTACTTTAGATATGTCAATGTGCTCAAGTTTGACATTATTACCAAATAAATTACACAATATTATATCTTTGACTATCTTTGATATAAAAGAGTGCTTAAGCTTGACATTATTGCCAAATGAATTGAACTACCTCACATCTTTGACTACTTTATACATAATAGGGTCCTCAAGCTTAATATTATTACCAAATAAAATGTGACATTTTGCATCTTTGACTATCTTTTGATATAAACATGTGCTCAAACTTGATATTATTTCCAAATGAGTTTGGCAATCTCACATATTTAATTCATTTGAATATTCCAAATTACTTAAGCTTGACATCATTTTTAAATGAATTTGGCAATGTCACATATTTGACTAACTTTGATATAAGCATGTGATCAAACTTAATAGCATTTCTATATGATTTAGACAATCTTATATCTTTAATTAATTTAAATATACTATAGTGTTTAAGCTTGATAGTATTGCCAAATGAATTAGAAAATCTTACATCTTTGATTAATTAAATATTTCAAGTTGCTTAAGCTTAACATCATTGTCAAATAAATTTGACAACGTCACATCTTTGACTACTTTGATATAAGCATATACTGAAACTTAACATCATTGCCAAATGAGTTGAGCAATCTCACATCTTTGACTACTTGAAATGTATGAAGGTATTTAAATTTGACATTATTGTCAAATAAATTGGATGATCTTATATCTTAGACTACTTCAAATATATTAGAATTCTCAAGCTTGACATTATTGCCAAATAAGTTAAACAACTTTAAATCTTTAACTATCGTAGATATGGATAGATACTCAAGCTTGATATCATTGTTAAATGAATTGGGAAACCTCACATCTTTGATTATCTTATATATATATATTATAGTACTTATACTTGGCATTATTATAAATAAAGTAGTAATTGAACAAATGTAATAATTATGATGAACTACCAAAATTTAGAATTTACATCTTCTTAAATGTTTTTTTTACAAATCCAAATCATCTCATGTTATATTCTATCATTGTATATTTTCATGTATATATGTAATTACTTTTATAAATGCATTTGTATTCATGAAAATAAGAAGGTTAGATTTCTAAAAAATTATTATAATTATTAATAATATAAAGAATCTAATAAGGAATTCTTTTTCTTATATAAATATATTGAGATATTTACTCAAATAACTCAATTGAACATCTTTTCATATATCTCTATTCATTATAATTTATTGTATTTTTGAAAAAATATATATATATTTTGTTGTTTTAGCATGTATATATTACAAATTCTAATGATATCATCCATTTATTTTTGGGTAATAGTAGTGTTTTTTAAGTGATCTTAAAATGTTCTCACCTTCAAGTAAAAAAATAATTGTTGATGAAGAAATTAATAGATAGCAACCAACATAAAGTGATTGAAATTCAAAATTTATTGTGTATCATCATTTGTTGTAAAAACCTCATGTGAAGTACAAAGAAGGTAAAGAGTATAGAATATGATAGAGCAAAAGGTAGGTTGTTGTATTCACTATAAAATTTTACATCAAATTTTTGTATTGTAAAAATAATTTTTTAAAATATATATTAAAGTTGTGTAAGTATAATGGCAACTCAAAATTGTGGTACAATTGCAAATGGTTGTATAGTTGCTAAATGCAATTTAATTGTAGTACCAAATCACGCCTAACTACATAGTTGTATTATAGTTTATTTGCATTTTCACCAAATATGACTTCAAGATTGCCACACAAAATTGTCTTACAAAAAGACAACACAAGTTTACAACTTAAAGATTCGCAAGAGCAAAACAAAATCAATGACTTTAATAATTGCAAATTATTGCACAAGTTTGTTTTATAGAAACAATGCATGTATCTACTACTGTGGTAAATTGTAGCAAGGTAGTGAAATCACAAAGCAAGAAGGTCCAATTTTGTAAATTATTGTATGATTTTGCTTTATAAAAATCTTATTAAGACATATTCCCTTTAAAAAAATCAACAAGAAAATAGAGTCAAATAGTAGAACAAAAGATTCCAATAAGATTAGAAATTATAGAACTAATAGATCAAGTTATACATTTGAATTTGAATCATTCATAGAATTAAAGTCACCAAAGAAGAAAAACATAAGATAGATGAATGCAACAAACAAAAAATAGTAGAACAGTAAGATAAGATCAACAAAAAGACAAACATGAGTGCTAAAGTAGTAAAACAATGATTTAAAATGATAATCACAATCACACAACCCATATTTATAACTAATTTGATAACCTTTTATCACAACAAATTTGAACTTAACCAAAACCAACACAAGTTGGACTAATTCTAACCTCCCAATCCAAACTGATTGATTTGCTTTCATTGTTATTGCAATTTAAACCAAACTGCACCAACTCCTAATTGCAAGGTTGAACAAATATCACATTCCAAATTAAAGAATGAAACACCAGATGTCAAAATTGAAATAAATTAAAACGCTAGTCTCACGATTTGAGGTAGATATGATCTCTTGTGCAAGTAGCGAAATGCTTACGTGACCAACCTATATTTGTGAATTTTGGTATTTCTTTGCAATGCATAAGAGAAGCTCATATTCTTGCATACCCAGCTAACCAATTCGTCACAAGATTCCTGGGAAAGTCAACCGGAGGGTAACTTCTAAGCTTCCCGATTTGTTGTGACATCTCTGTTTGACTGGCTACTTAACATACTAACCGATGATCACACTAACATGGGTGCAGCCTTAATAAAATATACCATAAGAATGTTTGATATTTATCAGCATATCATATCTGCCTTCTGCGATACACACCCTCTCGGAATTCTAGCTTTTCTTCACCTACCAAACGACCAAGAAACCCTTGCAGCTGTTGCAGAGTCTTGTCATAAGGTGGGTCCGATACGAACATCTGCATTCAGTTAACGGATTATGTCAGACTTACCACAGCTGTTTACGCAGAATCAAATGTTAGAGATAACCTTGTATACTCGTGGCTCCAAACTACAGCAGAGAATTACTCAAAATCACGAATGATTTCCAATTCAAAGTCCAGAAGTGACAGGATACTACTTACTTTGAGCATGTTGTGGATGCGATCTAGCGGCAAGGAGTCAAAGTTGGTGAGCATACCGATAACGTAAGACTGCAAGAACAGAATACGCACGGTAAGAAACAATTCGTTTTGCTATCCTTTAGACATGATAATAACTAGGCGTCTCTTCTTTTTTCCTCCACAAATTAGACATAATTTTACTATACAAGTCCATCATCATCACAACATTCAGACCTCGAAGACAAAAAACACGGCATCAAAGCGATCCCGTCATTTAGTTCAGACAAAAATAACAAAATAAAACAAAGGGATACAAAGCATTGTAAAGCACTGCTCCTCAAGAATCACTGTTGAACTAATTCAATAAGACAAAGCATCGAAAAGAGAAGAAAACTACCTCGTAAACATTCATCTCTTGATGCCACTGGTCTTCCATGGAAGCCACAGCACTTTCTCTTTCTTCGTCACCCAACAATGGCAGCGCTGAATCCATGGAAGGAGCACCAGCACCTGCCCGAGATCCAGCGTCCCCCATAGTTTCCACGATACTATACTCTATATCCCCATCTTTAGTATTGTGCGATTCAACAAGAACTCCCTGCAATACTCAAACATCATAATATGAAGCTGCAACTTAAGCCACAACGTTCAATGCACTAACTGAGTCAAATCTCCCACTCGTTCTTGTGGATGTGTGCACCTGATTCATCCAAAGCATAATCCGTCTCCGCAATGTCGCAACTGGCAACCCAACTGCTTCTGCCAGTGCCGTGGCTGTCCACCTGGAAGCTCGATCAAGCGCCGATAAGATTTATGAAGTAACATCATTAAGCCAAAAAGGCATCAATAATATTTGAAACTAGAAAAGATGTCTCATCTAGAAGTGATTACAAGTGAGGTGCTGCAGCCTTATTTGGAAAAGATGAACTAGATCCTCAGTCATGTGCCGTAGCTGAAGTGAACTACATAAGGAACAAAAACCTAAATGATGTAGAAAAGTAAGTGCAAGCATGTACCTTGGCTGGTTCTCAAAGTGCATGATTATGGCTGCATGCATGGGTGACACCACGAATTGCGCTGATCGATCCTCAAATTGCAGTTCTAACTGAGCAGCATTTTCATTACCAATGTCAAGATAATAAAAGTTTACTCACAGAACTGAAGGACAAATCATTTATATGGGCGAAATTAAGCTACATGGCTGGTTTCAGTGTTAACAGTACTAGATCCGACATGTTCAATTTCCAATTCTAATTAAATGAACGTCACTAAAGCTAAAACTCGAAATTCATCAGAGGCTCCCTGAGTAGTACTGAACTAGTTCAAAATGTAAGGATGCTTTGCATGATAACAACTGTTTAAGGATTAATGGCTTCATTAACTTCATTAGCAAGCATTGATTTACTACTGTTAAAAATAATTAAATAAAGTCCAATCAATTATAGAAGTCAATGGTTCACAAAAGCTATACGAAATGAGAATCTTGATCTGACTACTTTAACATGAATGTAGTCGGGATGCGCAGAAATAGTCCAACGCTGATTATGCACAATAGTAAATTTGATCCGCACCTTAACGGTGCCAAGATTTTTTCTCCATTGAAGCTTTCTTGGTGCTTTGACAGCATGATAGCGCTGCGCATACTCTTCTAAGAGCTCATCCACAACTGCTGGCACTTTCAACGTCTCTACCTGCTCAGCAGACCCACCTCTAATGTAAAGTTGCATTTCAAATTTTCCAAAATTCACAAGCTAAAACAAGAATTCTTCAGGAAAGCCAAATAATAAGGAATTTCACTTCCAAGTTTTTCAAGTCCACCAACTCTGCTTTAAAATCCAGTAGTGTAAGAGGCACAACGAAACTACCTGAAATGGTGGCCAAAACAGTGATGAAATAATTGTAGCCTCCAAGACATCCAGAGGCAGCTTTTTGTCTCCATCTACGCTGACGATCTCATCGTTCTGAGATCCCAGGCTCTGTATGACAGTAGCTTGTGGATGAGAATCGATCATACCCACAGTTGCGGGTGGCGTGCTGTATCCTGCATCACTTGGTGGAGTTACTGGGCCAGAGGGGGTGCCAGGAACAGTCGGGCCATGCTGGTTGAGTTTCGCAGCGGCTACAGCCTTGATATTGGTGTTGATGCGTTTAGAGTCCGCCAGATCCTTCAACATGATTTCACACCCATGCATGTTGTTCTCACCGAATCGCAGCTGCATTGATAAATTCAACCGTTTAAACCAATGGAAAATTTTACACAGTAATTTGAATTGAACAAATAAAACTAACTCGTAAGAATTCAGTAATTCCCATTTCAAAAGCAAGCTTCCTAAACCCACCCAAGCCGAGCCCCCTTTCTGTGCAAGAATTGATTGAATCAAGGCTCCTATTCAAATGACGACCTCTCCGTTTGCCATTGGTTAGTAAGTTTACACTTTCTCTTGAATATTACCACATGAATTTTATCCATCAGTTTTTTAACCATTTTGTAATATATTCTAATTATTAAATCTTCATAAGGATCGAATACACAAGTAAATTTCAGATCGTACTTTTCACCCAAAAATATTGATGTGGAAATATGCTTAACTAAGGCCTAAAGTGCATACCTTCAGTAACTCCAGTGTACGAATATCGCGGTCTGTGTCGAAATCTGACTTGTTTAGCAGCTTTTCAGCCAACATTACTCGATACTCATTCACAAACAGCTCCTTTGAACCGTAGATTCCAACCAACATGCTAATAATATCCATTAATCGCCGACTTTTGGTTGTCCTAGATGGGTCCGCCTCTACAGGATCCGGTTCCCACCTGTCAAAGAGCAGATTCACTGGCGTGAGAAAACCAAATATCCGAAAATACGCGTGCCCACAATCCTTGACTGCAACCAGCTGAAAAAACGAAGATCACCTGTACCAAACTTTAGATAAAAAGCAAACAATGATTTTCAAAACCCAGCCTAAGTCGGAACTTTGGCAATCAACGCAAACTTGACAGGTTGTTGCATGAAATTTACTGCATATAGTAAAAAGAAATAACAAACTTGCCCAAATCAAGGAAAGTAAAATGCATCCCAATAAAACTGCTACTCATAAAGAAATGAAGTGACTAATAATAGGTACCTTTCTGCAGCAGCCCAAGCATCATTCCCATCCAGATCCGCATCATCATCACTCCCAACATTCTCAAGAGAAGTTACACCTCGACTCAGTTCTTCAAATAAGCTCTCACCTACTCCACCTAACCCCGCACTTCCACCCGCTCCTGTGTCATCAGTTAGCATTGTCACAATACACCTAATGGTATCTTTGCGGCCTCGAAGGTACTCTCTGATGGGCTCACTAACTGCTTCAAGCACCACCCCAGTTGGATCCATGGTTCTCAAAGCTTTAATGGTTGACACATATTGTAGCAAAATATCTGTAGTTGCAGCTCCTGCTGTTAGCAACCGCTGTCGCAATGAGGTACGAAAGGAGTCTATAAGCTTAGAATGATGTCTGGTGTTTGTCAAGCACTGCCGTAGGTCCTCAATAGCAGGTAAACTGGCGGCAAAATAGCCAATCATCCCACAGTAGAATGCTTTTAGGAGTGCATCGCCATTCCACCCCACAAAATGAAAATTGAAGTAACTGATCTCAAAGTAGATAAACATAAATCCTTCTCAACTGGAACTGATATGGCTAGTGCAACATTCAATCACGTTTTAGAAACAGGACCTACGATGTATAGCATTAACAGAGCAATTGCGTATGCTCTCGAAGAGGAAAATACCTTTCAGGATAATCAACAATGATGTCGAATAATTCAGTGATTCGCAAGTCACCAAGAGTCTCATAAGCAAAAAAATGAAGCCGCAAGCGCCATCTGACCACTCCCTCTTTCACTGCTTCATCCGCTCCAGTGGTAGGTATTGATAGTGATGCTAAAGGTGAAGGGAAGGTTGCCAGAGAAGTCTTTGAAGGCGGAGCTCCTGAAGATGCCAGAATTACAAACAGGAAGCGGAGTGGAACAGCCTGAACAATAAAGCAACTTCAGTTGACAGATTCAACTTCATCCACCACAATAAAATGAGCAGAATCAGTGACATTTGAGACCAAATCCTGCACAAGAATATATGTTGAAACGTTAATGCAGGAAAGGCGTTAGAAAACTATGATACGTCAAAGTGCCCAAATAGACTTCACAAAGAGCTGGGCGCCTCAGTTAGAGGTGCTAAAAGTGATGCCAGGTTCCTCGTTCAAACAAAGAAAACTACTGTCAACCTCAACTACTGAAGGTGAGAGTATTCAGAAGCAAGTACTTGATACTTGAATACAGTCCACATCTGCAACTATTAGTAAGAAACGAACCTCTATCCAGGAACGAATGGACTCCAAAACTGGCTTATCATAGCGTTTGTTGGTAATTGCATGAATTTTAACCTGCAGAGCATTAGGAAGTACAATCACTCCAATGTTTTCACCTTACTGTTTCAATGAAGTTGCACCGAAACAGTAAAAGGTTTTTGAATAACTCAACAGATATGTCAGATACGCACAGATATAGTAATAGGAATCAGTGTGAACATATTCAAGGCTAGAGAAAAGTCTAACAGAACCATAAACGAGCATAAAGGTTGAAAACGAACACTCATCTAGACCTAAAAATACATACCAACAACATATTGTGTAGTACTAGGTGACTGGCCACATAATATCTTTCTATGGATGTTCTAAAGCGCAAGGCTCACCTTCAGAAGGGAATATATAGAAGAAGCATATCCTTCCTCACTCAGCGCTGCAAAGCCGATGCGACGCAGGTTGCGAATAACCGTACCTAGACCAGTAACCCACTCTTCACCAGCCACAACAGCAACTTCTTCCATTGTCGCAGCACCAGTGCTGAGTTTGAGATCACTGACTGCCACAAAGTCAACTCCTTCCATGTCGCGAGCTTCTTGTGTGTCATCAACTGATTTGACTTTCTGATTGTCGAACTGACTATCATTGATTTCCATGTCATCTGCGGAGGTACGATGACTGCTCCGTATGCTCTCCATCTCATCGTCCTCACCCTTGATAACTTCAGATTCTTCTGATACATCATCATCATCACTTCCCTCACTCCCACAACTCTGTGTGCTACGATTATGTTGTCTCATTGCTTTGCTGAACTCCTCTAACCGCGCCTTAAAGTACAGATTTAAAATTTCTGCAGTCAGTCGAGTACTTGATATAGTCAGTAAAAATGTTTGGCTCTTAAAACCTCGTTCATGTCATAGCGGAATTAGACCGGTGATTCTTTCGCATTTTCATCACGTGTATTACATATATTAATCAGTTGCCCCTCCACGCACACGTGCATAAAACGTCCAGTAAGTGCCAACTTGAAGAAATTGATACTGCTCACATGTAATGTCTTAGTAACATCCTAATTCGTGGACAGGCAAAAAGGATAAAAGCAAGAACTTAATCCCCAACGAGTTTCAGATTTAGAAGTAAATAAAAGACTTAATAATTCAACGTGCACTAATCGATATATTCACTCGGGGAGGAATCGGGCACCTGGGAATTGTTGCGGTGCACTTGTGAGAAGCAGAGCACTAATAGCAGTGTGATAGTGAGACAGATAGCGCTCCACTTCAGTTGAATGTCCAGAAGTTCCATGGAAAATGAGTTGAGTAAGCAACCGGAGAGACTCCTCTTGAGCCAACTTAGCGGAGCTGACTTCTGAAAGCACTTTCGGGAAGGTAGACTGAACCCACTCATTAAGCTGCATCAGGTAACACAAGTGCCATCAACCCTCTGCATGTTGGGCTCAGCCCACTGTCTGGCGGACCCTGCCCTATGAAACGGCAATCAAGTAATCACATCCCCGATGCTTGATTGAAAGTTCATGCACACGCTGTTACAGTTGCGAGTCCCATTACTGCGCGATGAAAGGACGTGATTGAAGCCCTGAACCTTAGATATACGTTCATGGCATCAAATTTACAAGAGAAGTCAACGGAAGTCTGATCAAAGAACGCATCAGAGAGCAAAACCAATGCAAAATTCCACTTGCCTTGCCTGGCTCGTTGGCACCGTCTTGTTTCAATCTGCTGAACTCGTCCAATCGTTGCCATAGACTAGCAATCTCGTGCTGCTTAAATGACTTCTGCGATCGGGTCAACCAAACAACAAAAATTCCTGTTAAAATACAACACCTGCCCGGGACCATTCAATATTCAATACTCCAGCCTTATAAACCCTAGACCCCGCGCATTGCAGATTCGCAGCATCCTGTTGCAACTCAGCCAAAATGCTTCTGCTAATTTATATAATGAGCAAATAGCTGCTATAATGTAACATAGGCATTCTTAACGGTAATCAACACGTTTGCATACAAATTACCTCGAGGGCATCGAGAAAGTAGCTGACAACAAAATGTGCGAGCCCTTGCTCACACAGGGCGCGAACAGAGCTCTCAAACTCGCTGTTGACGACAGGCGCGCAAGACAATGATTGCGGAGCAGAACGCAACATGAGCGATGCGTGAGCGACGTAAAGCTGCCATGCCTGCGTCACCGTGGCCAGCTTCCCAGAGCTGCTGGGGGCATCCACCATCGCTCCAGCTCTCGTCGCCACTGCACCGCATTCCCAAACACATTCAAAACTCTCTCCGCGCGCAATACATTGAACCTTAGTGTTGCTCTCAATGCGGAGGTTGATACCCTTCGTCACTCCCCATAATTTTTAAACCGCCATTCCGGGTATCGTGTCGCCGGGTACATCAACTCCACTCTCGCAATTTACAGATTAGGTGGTGATGGTGGACCGGTTGTGGTATGGGCCTTTTTTCAATGAAGGCAGTTTAATCTGTGCCTACATCTCATGACAAGTTGGCTTGTAATGACATTGTGGTGGGAATTCAACTAGCTACGGTTTTGTAGCAAATATATATATATATATATATATGTATAAGTAGATTGACTTTTTTATGTCATAGTATACATCTCGCACTTTTAGATCAATCTCTTTTCCTCTTCTTTTTAATCGCAAAATGGTACATGCTTAAAAAACGGAAGGCTTGTGATGTTTTTATCCAATATTTTACTTTTTAGGAATATGCTTAAATTTATTTTTGTTGCCTGATTCTTCCAATGCTTAAATTATTACGAGTATAAATTCAAATGCTCATCGAGTATATTTTGATGATGACAAAGATGTGACGTACTTCCTTTGATACATTAAAGTATCAACGATCCTTTCGTAAAACATTATCTAACTTAGAATTAATAAGACCATTCATGTTATAGCGTCTAATTGTAGATTTTATCCAGAAAATATTGATTCGCCAGTACTTTGCCGAACATCAAGATTGTTGCCATCCTTGCTATTATTTCCATCAAACTCCGGTGCTTTTCACAAGTTCTAAGTCCTACCCTTACACATACAAAATTGGTGTCCATACAAGAAGATGATACTACCTGATGTCTTGAGCCACCTGCATTTACGGTTCTCAACACCCAACCATTTGCCACCCATGTACAAGTTCTATTATTTCTTGGGGTCGCCATCTGGTTACACTTAAAATACCACTAAACCCATAATGAGACACGGTGGTAGGAACTGTATTTCAGGTGCTTTGAGAAAATCCTAAGCGCAACATGGAGAAGACAGACGGTAAACTTAACCCACACACACTGAAATTGTATGCTTGTTCATGAGGATTCCGTCTTGTTGGAAATTGATGCGATCACTGCGATTGATCAGTTCAAAGAGACCAAGAGTAGGACATAGTAAGAGTGGTAGCCTCACAGATAAAAAAAAAACCATTCTGGGTGTAAACAGAAAGCAGCAAGCGATATGCTAGGGCAGAAATAATGCTGATTGAAGTTGTAACAGCCCTTCGGGGATCCGCATCTTAGCGGCTGTTCTGAATTGCAGGTAAAATAATCGTTGCGCCATTTGCAGTTAATCAAAGAAGCAAACACCTCTACGCTAACAGTAACCGAATATTGTTGACAAAGAACAAATTAAACTTAAGGTTTGTACAGGTACATAAATGATATGCAGGTACGCATCAGGCAGCTCTTGCACCACAATGACCCAACCTACGAGAATCGCTAGCATATAACTCAGCATAGATAAGCTCCTGCCATAAAGATCGATTATCCTCTTGAGATAACCTCGATTGGCGGAGTAGCATAAAAGCTTGCTCTTCTAGGAAGGAACCCAGGCCCTGTACCAACCTTCGCTTTCTCAATGATTCTCTTTGTCGATCCAACTCAACCATCCTGCAAGTAATTCGCTCCCTAATTAAGTCTTTTACACACAAAACAGAAAGAAGAAAGAAATGGAGAGAAGAGAAAGGGAGAAAGAAAGAAGCAAACAATGCGCTTCTGAACAGGCGACGAACTTCTACATCAACTAAGTACTCTGAACTAATAAATTGCAATATTGGTCCTCGAGGAGAAAAACATTTTAGACTACGCTGACTGAGACTGGTAACTCTTGATCAATCAAAGTTTTAAGAGAAGCGACGAGGACCTACTTTCGAGCAATGGCATTACGACGTTGATGGACATTGGCTTCGAGACCACAGCTACCCGAAAGCAGTTCAGCTGAGTTTTCACGGGATGTATCCTCTGCATCACTGTGACATACCCAAAGGCAGAATCTCATGCACTAGAACTCTGCCTCTCAAACAGTGGGTGGTAATACGACACAGTTGCATAAAGTGGTGAACTTGAGACAATTAATCAGAAAAGCTTTTAATCGACTGTCAAGTTAAGAACTCTACAAATACGATTACGGGTTGAAAACCTTAAAGTATAATACTTAGCTTAACGTTGTACATACCAGGCTGCACCACGAGACTCCGTGGCATTGAGGTTAAGTGCCGCACGGACGCCGAAGTTCATCGTCGCAGATGAGCCCCTACAGAGACTTGGAAACCTAGAAGAAGTAGAGCAGAGAGAAGTCTTCTGGTCTGGAACCTGTCATCGAGTAGCTTAAAGCAATTGAGCAAACTCTGACTACCGTTCGAAAGTATCGATGCACATAACTAGAATGGCCCGCAAAAGGACCTTCAGGTATTGATAGAAAATAGTAACCGCAAATGGCGCGCAAAAGATAGTAGGAAATCAAAAAAACAGAACTATAAACCAGATATCCTATGCAACACGATAAAATGCAAAGAAACTCACTCGAGTCATAATGCAAACGCCCGACATACACAGCGGCAGTCCACTACCCTTCGGCATCTCCCCACGGGGGGTGAAGGGATTTCCCCTTGGGATCGAGGTATTAAGAGATTGCACCTGTGCGGCTGGTGGAACGCAAATCCTGCCGAAGATTCAAAACCAAATGGCTGGCCGATCTGGAACAACCCTCGGCGAGAGAGTAGCCAAAGAAACCTACACCTCACTGATTGAAACGTATCGACAGCAATGCACGTGAACCACGCAGGAGCCCTTTCTACAACCACAAATCGAGACAGACAATAACAAACACTACAAAACCGATTCAAACAGCGCTACACTCCCAAAAGCATTCCAAGTCGACCTTCCACCTCCCAAACACCACACAGAGCGAATGCCCAACGAAAAGAAGCCCGATCGGCAAAGGTAGTAATAACAATCAGAATAATAATGTTATAAAAATCCAACGACTGCAAAAAGCGTCTCAGCTAGCAGCTGAACGCCCTTCCCTCGCCTTAGATCGCCACCCTCCCTACTTACAGACCCTCGAATATACACACACATCGGAAAAAAAACAAAACAAAACCCTCGCAACGACGCGACCGATACACTGAGCTACAGTAAAGCCTTATTGCTCGCTCTCTCCATCTCACGATCTCTGGTCCGCTAAATTACTCTGTCTGCACTTCGCCTTCGCCTGCGCCTACTGCTCCGGGCGTGGAGAGCAGAATTGGCAACAGGGATCGGTCAAGGTTAGAGGGCGTGGAAGCGGACAAGCAGAAGTGTGACGGGGACTAAAGACAAGCAGGAGTGCGGAGGAACAGCATCCTTCACCACAAGGCCAGTCAGTATCTGCCGAGGCGCACGATGCACGATCCTTGCTGGTGGATTAGATGGATGAATGAATCATTCCATCAGCCAGTAAATGGATGGTCATCTTGCTGGGAGGATGTCATTTGCTTGCGGGTTTGGGCGCCCCGATCTCCGTCCATCTCTCCTGCCACGGTGTCTATAACTCTCTATCACCGTGGAATTGTCGGCACGGAGACTGGCTCTCCTTTACACGAATAAGGAAACTTTTATGAAGCCTGTGTCAAATATCCTTTTTGGATAAAGGCTAAAAAGTATTCCATGTCGTTATATATAGGGAAAATATCACTTGTACCCCTGAAATATGTTGAAATATCAAGGATACCCCTGTATATTCTTGATTATAGCAAATATATATTCCTAACTTTTGTGATTATTGCAAATCTACCCGTTGAGCTTGATAAGATATCACCTTCTTTTCATTTTGGGTGAATCCAAGACTCAAACTGCGTGCCGCGAGCCCCGAATTTTTTGCACAGGTTGGGCCCCACGAACCGGCCGCCGCCGCTGCCGCCGCCCCTACCATGTCCCCTTCGTTACCTTCTTCGGTGGCATCGACAGTCCGCCACCTGGACGATTAAGCCCGAATGACACAGTTAGTGCTCTGATCTGATGCTTGCAATTGAACTTGGATTCCGAAGACCCTCTCTATTGTTTGTGGGGGAGCTCAAACAATACAAACGACGAGACAAACGATACGCTATTCGAATCCTTATGAAACTGCACCCCCAGAACTTAATTTTTGCGCTGACAATCATCTACAGTAATCGATCCTCCAGCTCACAGCGAGAGAGCAATGTGACGATCATTTGGGACGCCAGTTAGTGATTGTGTATATGAAGCTCGCGGAGGGAGGGTTGGAGAGAATAAAAGATTTGCTTGTCGAGTGTGTGCCTGGCTTGTCCTGTGAAAATTCTTATCACATGTGCTTCAGGGACGTCAATACAATCATGGTCTTACAATCACAGGCCGAAGCCAAGAAGGATTGCTCTTCCTTGGACTAGTTTGATTCTTCCCTTCTTCATGCAAGTCATCTCCATGCCGCGTCGAACTCGAGTGGATGGCTTGCAAATGTTAGCCTCCATGATGTCAATGATTGTGCTAAAAGTCACTCAGTAAATTATTGAGCAAGTACTTAACTAGTTAGCATGTACTTAGCTGCTCAGCAGTGTCCTTGTTGTTACAAATCGAAATTGGAATTCCTTTTACCAGTTAAGTGCCTGTACCGGACATGTTTTCAAGGTTATAGTACTCTCAGCAGATGTTCGTAGAGGAGATTCATTAATGGGATGTCAGTTTTGTGCATAACTCGTGGTTCAAAATCAGAACGTGCGAAGACGTTGTAGTGAAGCGTTACTAACCAAACATAATCCAGTTTTGAAAAGTCTTTTCTGGCACTTTAGGTTGCAAAACATTTGCAGCTGTGTGACAGAATGCTAAAGTAAGTTCCCGCTTCTTTTCAAGAGTTAATTGACTATGCTGGACAAGAGAATCAATTCTGATTCAACAATAAGCACGATTTTAGCGGTTAAATTTGTAACGATGACTTGGTCAATCTCTGCTCTTAGGGAGTCACAACTGATGAGATTTTTGTTCTCTTGCTAAAACAAGCTTAGCTTGTTCGTTTGAATACTTTAGTGAACACTTGACCTTGTCTGCGTCAATGCACTCTTTGACTCAGTGCCACTTGCGAGATAGCACGAGATGCTGAGCTTTTCATGAGAGTCCTGAAGTATTTTATGAGGATTTTATTCAATGTGTGAGCAATGATACCTTTCATGCAACTTGTGTTGTTCGGTTATTATTTGAGGTCTACTTTCTGCACTCGTTGTCTTCTGATTCACCTTTCTTTCTTTTTGTGTTTTTTTTTTTATTTTTATTTTTTATGTAACTGCAGCAGATTCTTTATGGCCTGATATTTTCCTTCAACTTTGAGCGTCAACATCTCACTAAGTGCCTTTCTCACTGGAAAACTATGGAAGAACGACCCGTGCCCTCCGTTGGAAGGAGCAAAACGAGTCTCTTCCTGTGATTGAGCAGCTCAGTGAATAAATCAGTTGCTGGGAACGACAGGGATATCAGAGGCCCTAAAACTCAGCATACAGGAGCTAATGAAGGAGTGTAGGTTGACCCAATATCTGGGTGGAGACAAATAATTGGCTGGGTACGAACTTCAGCTTCAGGAGAGGGGGTATTTTTTGAATGTTTCAGATGTCGTGATGCTGTAATAAGAGCTTAATGAAGATCAAACACCCATCTCTACGAGCTCCCCCAAGTCCAATTGCAAGCATCAAATCAGAGCACGATTCGGGCTTGATCGTCGAGGTGGCGGAGTGTCGATGCCACCGACGGAGGTAACGAAGGGGACACGGTAGGGGCAGCGGCAGCGGCGGCCGGTTCGTGGGGGCCTAACCTGTGCAAAAAAGCCAGGGCCCGCGGCACGCGGTTTGAGCCCTGGATTCACCCAAACTGGAAAGAAGGTGATACCTTATCAAGTTCAAGGGTAGATTTGTAATAGTCACAAAAAGTGTGGGGTATATTTGCTATTATCAAGAATATAAAGGGTATTTCAACATATATTTCAATATATAATATTTCAACATATTTCAAGGGTACAAGTGATATTTCCTCTTAAATATATCAGCCAAAAAGTAAACAAGTATAAAAGCCGTTTTTGTCTTATTTTATACATTGTCATTGTTATCCATAAAAGAGTTATGAGGGTTGGATTGCCTCCAAACACATTTTATCAGAATGAACTTGTGTTCCTCAGAACATTTTCTAAAAAATTTTAAAATGGGGGAGGGTTACTTTTTGTTCTGTTTTTTGTATTTTATTTCTATTATACTATTCTTTAAAAAAATCTATTAAATTTCTATTATATTTTTATTTTATTTTAAAATTTATTTTTTTATTTCTATTAAATTTTATTTTACTTTTTGTTATGTTTTTTGCATTTTCATAAGGTGTATGTTTTTATATCAAAAAACCTTAACATGAGTTTTACCGTGCATTTTTTTAAATCACATATTTTCACCCATTTACATTATTGGAGTTTGAATTGTATAGTATAGGACAGATAGAATATACTAGATGTGTTTTTAGTTTTAAAAATATGAAAAATTTAATAAAGTAGATGTAAATTAAATTATAATGCATGTATTACTTAATTCAATCTTCATAATAATTCATTTGCAAAAAAATGAAATTGCACATCATTTTTGAAAGGTTCTATACAATGGTAACTATTTCAAGTTTGAAATTGGCAGCTCTTCAAAATGTTTCTTTTGCAGACATGATGTTTCAAATGTAGTGGTAGCGCAATGAGCTGTTGAACTAAAAAAAAGTGATATTTTGCATTATTCACTGGCATATCTTTTTGCTAGGCTATTGTAAATAGATAAAGCCTTTAAAAAAATTTGTCAATAGATAAAGCCTTTAAAAAAAATTGTTCCCCTGTTTGTAATTATTTTGATTTTGTTCTTGTATTTGTAAATGCTTTCAGATTTAGTCCCCTATTTGTAATTTATTCTTTAAATAAATAGAAATAAAATACTACATCTAATACAAGTTTCTTTTGGTTATAATTAGTTTTGTTATATTCAATGAAATATATATATATATATATATATATATATATTTCAAACATAGTTAAAGGAGTATGAATCGTGTTTCAACAATCATATTTATAATAAAAATTAAATTAATATTCAATTTGAAAAAGAAAAAGAAACACTATTATTTATAGTTTAGCCCTCACTTTGTTTTGGATAACAGCCAATAGAATTGTTGGGTTACTATATTTATTAGTTATTATGTTTGTATTTGTGGAATATATGAGAGTTTGTTGAAGCATTACATTTGTTTTTCTTTCGGCAGTAGCATTAGTCAGATTTATATTTCATAACATTGAAATAAAATTTCGATGCTTTAGTCAGATTTCACAGGAATAAAGTACAAAAATAACTTTGCTTATAAATCAATGACTTTAAAAAAAAGAAAACAGAAAAAAGAAAAAAGAAAAAAGATGAGTGAGCAAGATTAAATATTTAACAAATTTTCATAAAATTTTTAATTGCAAAAAAAAAAAAAAAAAAAAAAAAATCAATTTAAAACAACATCATACTAGAATCGAATGGAAACCAAGAGACTTGGCTTTCTAAGATCATGCAATTATTTTTTTAATAAAACATGTTGTCAGTTTCTAATTTAGTATTATTTTATAGATGGGTAGATGGGTAAAAGCTAGTAAAAATATTTAAATGTATTTCAAACAAGAATGAAACTACTGACTTTTCATTTTATAAATAAACAACAAGCAATATATATATATATATATATATATATATAGATATATATTTACAAGTCTCAAAAACTTATAAAGATGTGTTATCTTAATTTAATTTGAATCTGAATAGATGTCTCAAAATTGAGAACTAATCCATGTCAAAATCCAAACTGTATTTTATTACAACTACAACCTTTTTGTGATAGACCTGTAATACACATTACTAAAACATTCAAAATTTATGTTTTTGTAAATATGTATTTGAGGTTTATGTTTCAAAAATCAAAAATCAAAAATTATACACAAGTCAATAGATTGAACACCTTATTGAAAATTTAAGTTTTTGGAATACCCAAGATATGAAGGTTCAATAGAAATAAGAACATTGTTCCTTTAAATAATCAGACTTGGCAATTTGGTATAAAAGTATATTTACCCATTAAAAAAACACACATTGCAATATTTTTTATTTTTATTTTTATTTGAAGCATTTAAAACATTGTATTGTATATGTAGTTACTAATTGAAATGTTTTCTTGTGTACTCATACAAGGGAACTCAATTTATTATTTGTTAAATTTGTTCTTAAACAAATTATAAACATAGGATTTTTGAAGGAGTTGAAGGACAATTAGTTTGTACTGACCATGAGTTTAACCAAACATTTAGGAAGCAACATGATTAGATTAGTCATTTTTGTTTTCTTAAATATCAAATTTGTGTTTCAAAAACTATGAAGTACATTAACAAATGAACTATCTCAAGAGATTATATTAAAAATATTTGGGATTTAAGCCTCAGTTTAATAACCCATCCAACTATTGCAATAGTAAGATGGAGTCACATTAGAATGACTAAATAAGAATAAAAATCCAAAATTCAAAATTCAAAATTCAAAAAAAAAAAGCCTTTACGATTAAAATCATAAAATAAACTGAAAAAATGAAATTATCATGTTTTAAACAAAACATCAATTCATATATACTAGAAAATTATTTTTGAAACCAAAATCATTCTATTTATTGCATCGATTATTCTTCTTTCAACAACACAAAGTTTTCAATGGAAGATCATATCCATAATTCATTACACTAAAAAAAAGAGATAAGTGAGTGCTAAAATTGATCTAATATATAAATTTAATTTCAAGCCTACTTTATCATCTTATAAAGATTAGTTGAGACATTAGAAAGTTTTGGATTTTTCTACCCAAGTTGGCTTTATTTTTACTTATATTCATATCCACTCGTTTAATGTGCAAAGAAATATTTTTAGCAACATAAATGCATACGAAAACAAAACAAACACATAAACAAACAAAACTTATTAATACATGATTTTATCAAAGAATGACTTTTGTACCTTTCAATGGGAACAGGACCATCGAGAAAGCCAAGTGGAAACAGGGCCGTCGAGGCAGCGTCCACGTCAGCGTATGATTATTCCGCGGCATGCGAACGTGGCATACATGACGTGGCGCCGGCGAAGCTTCCGAAGGGAATCGAACTGCGGTGGGAACAAGACCTGACATAAGAGTCCACGTCAGATAATTTTAATGCTGCCGGTGGTGATGTGGCAGGGATGACATGGCACCGGCTGAGCCAGCGATCGGGTTCGTCTCGAGCCCTACTTTCTCCGCTTTCGTGCAAAATTCGTTTGCCAGGGAGACTCGATTCACAGAAACGGTCCACATGATCCGGCCAGGGAATCAGTTACCCCCTTCACCCCCTTCGGCGTTGCTTGTGGATCATTTCGTGATTAACGCGAGCACTGGCTAGGAATACTGGTAAAATTTTGGCGCGCTAACTCTCTCTATCTCTCTCTGTGTTGCGTTTGATCAGGGGTTTTAGGGTTTGGGTCCAGGGTTCCGAGGAGTATCGTCACGTGTATTGCGGTCTTGTTGGAGATTCCTCAGTTGTGCATGTAGATATAAACTTAGTTTAGTCCACGATCGGTTTCTAATCGTGGATTTTTGTGGGTTTCGGTCGTTGAGCAAGAATTTTGTGAATTTTTTGTATTGGGGGAAGGAAATGGGGTTATGGCGATATCGTTTTCGTTGGGTTCAACGTGATCGGTGAGCTCCAGGAAGGGCTGGTCACTCACAATCCGGTATTCGTCTCATCGAGACGCATTTATCGGTTCATTATATGTATATATATATATATATATATATATATATGCAGAGTCGATTGTGTTGCAATTTCTGAACTAGGTACTGTTGAATTGTAGATTGCCTTCAAGTAGCTCTCGATGTTGGAATGACGGACACAAATTCTGCTACTGAATGAGACCATATTCTGCACCGTTAATTGGTTTTATGAATATATGGTGTCGAATTACATTCTGTCTCGAATCCATGTGCCCTTTCTGCACGAACGTTGGTTTGTAGTTGTAGTGCAGCCAGTGTGTTTGGTTTAGGATTATGCTTTGACGATCGATGAGTCCGTTTCATGGTTTTATACTTGTCATTTATCTTCTTGTGATTTTTTGTTTACAAATGTTCCCCCAATTGTAACGTGGGACTTTCGTGTGTGGTGGTTGCTCAAATTGATAGTTTTGGTCATTTGATTTGCGGAGAGCAATCGGTGTCATGGAAAATCCCTTCGACTGCTTTGATCCAATCAAAGTTCTGCTTGAGCCAATGTGAGAGGTGGAGGATTGGGCTTCTTCTAAGTGAGGGCTTTCGATTATTGATATCTCAAGGCGAATGTTGAAGGCGCTTAGGGAGTAAATATGAAGGGAGATAGGGATACAGGGCGATTTCGCAGGGATGATGCTGCTTTTGAACGGGATGTGGAAGGTGGTGAAAGACCCACACCCGGGCTATTAGGCTTGAGATCTCTGGCATCTAGCTCAGGACGGGGATGGTGGAGCAAAACTGTTTTGTGGGCCGTATTTGCTGTTGTCCTCATTGAATGCGCTTTCATTGTTCGCCTTGATATTTTGAATTCCCCTTCTTCATCTTACTCGTCCTCTCTTGATTCCCACCCCGAGAATCCCAACAAAATCTCTGGACAAGAAGAACTAACGATAAAAACCAATAAAACAATTCGGATTGACAAGTTACCAACGGGAACAGATGATGTCTGCTCGGCAGAATGGCTAGAGAAGGTTGACAAAGTTACATACTCGCGTGATTTTAAGAAGAAACCTGTGCTGGTTGTATCGGGAAATGAAGTTGAGGTTTGTAACTCTCTCCTTCTATTTCCTTTTCTCTTAAGGGACTGTTAAGTGGTATATGTAAGGATTCTTTGAGGATCACTGGAATGTGTTGCATGTGTGATGATTCAGATATAACCTATCAGTCAAGCCTTTTGGTTAACATCCTACCTGCGGAGCAACAGATATTGAATCTTCTTGTTCATCTCCAAGAGCTTGTTTATGTTGCAGAATTGGGATAAATGTTCTGTGCCATGCGTGTTCAAGGCCCATGGTGAGGGTCAGGCAGATGCAGAGTTTGGCTATGGAGATTCACCCTCGGCACTACTAGTGTTACGCTCTATGGAATCTTCTGCTTATTTTCCTGAGAATGACATCGTGCGGGCGCGAAGGTGAGATACATTACACTCGACGTTCACAAAGTTCAATTGCCTTGAGGCGTCTTGCTTAAATCATGGTTTCGAAACAACTTTTCGCTTTATCAGTCCAGGCATGTGATTTCAGCTTTCTTCGCTTTGAAGTACTTCTAGACTGAAGTTTTGAGTTAACTAAGAATCAGTTGATAGCGCCGACTTTCCATTCTAACCTGAAGAGAGCTCACAGCAACGGAGTGGGAGTGGTGATGACTACAAGCCTGTCATCGGATGTTCCAGTGGGCTACTTTTCGTGGGCGGAGTATAAAATCATGGATGCTCCCAAGCCCAAGACAAAACCAGCTCTTGGAGCTGCTTTTATTTCCAACTGTGGTGCGCATAATGATCGTCTTACAATTATGCGAATGTTACAAAACGAAGGCGTTCAAATAGACTCATACGGTTCTTGTGAACAAAATGTTCTTGGAGGCCGAGGTTTGCCTCGAACTCTCTGCATGTCATGAAGGAGATCTAGAATTTTAGAAGCTTTTGTCCACGGGCGTTTTACATTGATGCAAAGTTATTTTTCTGCCTTAATAGCCCTGATTCATCTTGCATTGTTTTGGGAAGGTAGTCGCTTCAAGTGTGAAATGTTGGTTGGAAAGAATTCATACTCAAACTTAATGTTGGGGTGAGAGGAAAAATCATCATATTTTCTATTGATATCTTAGAGTTGTAATTAACTTTGTGCAGCATTGAACAAGTTGGAAACTCTTCGAGAGTACAAGTTTAGCCTTGCTTTCGAAAATTCCAACGTTGAGGATTATGTTACGGAGAAGTTCTTTCAATCCTTAGTTGCTGGTACACTCCTCATATGTGCTTTGATCCTTGATCAGTATTTGTTTACTCAAATCACATGCGCGTACGCTTTTTATGCACGATGGAATATAATATGATTACTTTTGATAGTTGACGTGTCTTTGTTTCTTCGGATGGACAGGCTCAGTCCCTATTGTAACGGGACCTCCAAATATTTATGACTTCGCACCCGCATCAAATTCTCTTGTATACATTAAGGACGTTAGCGAAGTAAAGGCTGCAGCAAGTCGCATAAAATATCTCGCAGAAAACGAGACTGCGTACAACGAGACTTTGCAGTAAGTTCATCTGGACAATCATTTGTGTTTCTAACTCAAGAATCTATCTCTTACAATCTACAGGTCCTGTTTTCTAATTTCTTTCATTCGGTGAATATTTATATTTTCATGTTAGTCAAGCGTTAATCTCATTGACACATTGGAGTGCATTGGCATTTTCCTATGTTTAGTTTTAATCTGTGAAGTAACTTTTTCATAAGACTTCTTACGCTTGGTCCCTTTAAGAAAGCTTTTGTTAAGTCTCAGTCCTCAGAATTTTGAGTCCTGGTCCAGTGTTTCACTCTTATGTTTGATCCTGGAGGCTGTAGTACGTAGGTACCAATAGTTTTGTGATTTCCGCCTTGCCTCTAGTTATGAAGGGATATAATAAATTTAGATCCCTTCAGTACGAAAGTGCATCGTTTACACATACAGTTAATAGCGTTGTCGTTGCGTGAATTAAGAACAGCTGCTCAAAAATTCTTCTGCTTCCAATCTCTTTTAGTTGTGATTTCGCTTAACTCTGAACATTTTCGCAGGTGGAAGTTTAATGGTCCTTCAGATTCGTTTCTAGCTCTAGTAGACATGGCTGCCGTGCACTCCTCCTGCAGGTTATGCATCTTTGTAGCTACCAAATCGCGCCTGAAAGAAGAAGCGGCTGCTCCTAAAAGACCTTGCAAGTGCACCAGCAAATCTGGGTCCACCCTCTACCATTTATATGTACGAGAGCGGGGTCGTTTCGAAATGGAATCGGTTTTTATTGAGTAAGCATTGATGCCCCACTATTGAATTCACGTCCTTTAATTCGGCTCATCTTGTGATCGAGGCTGCAAAAATATGATTTTGTTTGTTGTCTGGACGTATGGGGGTCTTATTGTCTACAAATATTTCTTCCCTATTCTCCTAATGCCTTTGAATGTTTATATGCTTACAGAGGATCGAAACTTTCCCTAGCCCATTTGAAGCAAGTTGTAGTAGACAAGTTCACGGCCCTCAAGCATGTTCCTATTTGGAAGACAGAGCGGCCCGAAGTTATTAGGGGGAACTCAGACCTTCGGATCTACAAAATATATCCTGTGGGCCTTACTCAACGGGAGGCACTTTATACTTGGGATTTCGGTGGTGATAAGGGGTTAAAGGCTATGGTTCAAAAACAACCTTGTCTTCAATTGGAAGTAGTTTTTGTTTGATCCCGTTTTCATATCAGTGTATTATCATCAGTGACTGCATATTGACACCCAATTCTGATGATTTTTTATTTTTTATTTTTTATTTTTTTTGGTATGGTTACATGCTTTTCAGAGGTTTCTATGCCGCTGAGTATTTTCCTGAATCGCGAGGTGTGGCAGGTTATCTGCGCCGTCCACCCAATATTTTATGATGAGTCGATGATTCGTGAGACTAATCTAGCTTAACCTTTTTCTTACTGGCAAGTCAAAATTGAGTTTAAAATATTTCAGTATCCTGTTAGTAATTTCAGACACATGTATTCTATGTCTCATACTCTTTACGTGAAAGTTCAACTGACTTATATTTTGTCGTTTTTCTGTAGATCACTGTTTTAGCGCATACAAAGACAATTGTCTAAATATTTTTAAAGAAGGTGATATTTTATTATAAGATAGAAGTCAATATGTTTTTTTGTTATGCACATGTACTTGAATAAAATAAATTTTTTTGTTAGATTTAAATACTTTTTGAATTATAGCTTTGTTGAAATTAAGGAATTTATATTCATAAGAAGCTACTCGAACAAATTTACAAAGAGAACATTTGATAAGTAAAAGTAATTAAAAGTTTTTTTTAATTTAAAAAGATTAATTTTTATTAATAAGAAAAATTTGGAAAGTTAGAAAAATATTTAACTTTAAAAATTAAGAAAACAAGGCAAAACTTTAATTTACAAATACTTAATGTAGATTAATTTTCTTATTATATATTAGCACAAATTATCATTATGTGATATTTTATGTTATTGTTACATATTAAAAAAACACCACACATAGTATAGATAATTTTCTAAAGAAATCATTGCAATATACTTAAAGAAAAGATAAATATCTTTATAATAAGAAAGCTTGGTTATGAGACAAAGAGTTGAAAAAGTTTTCTCTTACACCTATTGGTTGAGACAAAGAAGTTTTCTTCTTAACCAAAAACAGATGTCTTTTTACAATGTAAAACCATTTGTTGTTCTTTCACAGTCTAAAAATTTATATTGTCCTTTTACAATGCACTTCTCTAAATACAATCAAGATTATTTTTTCAAAAACATCATAGCCAAAAACACCACAAGAAGTATAGTTCATTCTAAATTTTTATTAAAATAATAATTTTAGCTATTGAAATAAATGAGAATTGTCTTGGACAATAACATTGAAGAAACATAAATAGTTCTATTATTATTTTTATTCTTATTTCTTAAGTTAACATTTGTTTTAGGAATTGTTAATTTTTGACTTGGCTAATTAAAATATTATAGCTTTTTAAATGCCCAACAATAGGAGTTTCTACTAATATATTAATGTATATATATTTATGCTAATAAGTATAAAAATAAAAATTGTGTATGTTTTTTTATAAACATCTTCTTGTTATCCTCAAAGACAATAAAATTAATCTCTTAATATGAAATACTTCTTAAATTTTACTTAAAATTATGTAAGATAATAATATATTTTACATTTCTTGTTTTATTATTAAGAAGTTTTTATATAATACAATTGAAATAGATATCAATGCAATATACAATTCATAAGCTTATTCTTCTTTCTAATAAAATAATTAAATTTTATTTATTTATTTCTGGATTTTCATAAAAAATAAAATAACATTGTTTATAGATATTGAAAATTAAATATGCATGCATATGTTTTTTTAAGCAGTTCCAAAGAATAAGCATTGTAAAAGAATAAGACCACTTTTTATACTACAATTCTTCATCTTATTATATTGGATTGTATACTAATATAATATATGTCTTGTTTGTTATGCCAACTATTTATTGTGATGTATTATATTATTTGATTCTACTTATGAAGTTTTAACATTATATTTTTGATAACTTCTTGGCTACTTTATTTTTATTATCATAAAAAACATTGATGTTTCAACTATAATTTTAAAAGTTTAAGTGATTTATAGTGTAGATACTCCTAAATGATATTAACTAAGTTGGTACAATGCTACTACTTAGTAGAATTCTACTTATATATGCTTTTTGGCACCTCATGCATTACAAAATACTATAAAGTTTTCATTGTATAAAATATTTTAGAAGACAATACAAGAATTATTTTGAAGAGAATTTGTTAAACTAAAGTCTTTCAAGAAATAAATAGATTAATAATTTCAAAATTTAACATTTAATCAATATGTACTAATAACAAAATAGTAATGTGGCTAATTGTATAGAAAAATAATAATAAATTTTATGATTATGTAAGAACTAATGTAGCTGATCCATTTTTGACTTACGAGGTGGAATATTCTTAGAAATTTGGTTTCCTATTTATAACCAATTTTGATAACTTATGGTCCGAAATAGATCAAGAGTTGGTTAAAAGAATAATTAGCAATGAGCAACATATTAAACTCATTGTATTCAAAATAGATATGTATAAAATATTAAAATTTAATTATATATTAGTGGAGTTGCTTATATGAGGCAACTAATTATGTTTTATTCATGTTGTGATTGAAAAGTGTAGTTGTAATCTTTGGAGTTGCATAGATAATATGGCCAAAATTGAGAATATATTGCTTGTTCTAAGCTTTTCCAAATTTGTAGTTATGCATATCAATTACAAGGCAAGACATGGTGAATTCTTGAATTTGCAATTAATTTATAAGGTGGCTTTTGGTGACCAAGGGAGCACACTTCCATAGGGCAATTTTGAGGCAAGGGGTGTGGAGGATTTTGGAGATTGCAATTTGATTTGCAAGGTGAAATTTGATGATGCACTTATGTAAGTCAATTGTAAGACAAAGGGTATGATGGATTCTAGAATTTACAAGCACATTTAGTGATTAGATATTAACATTGATTGTTAGGCACGGAAACAAGAAAATACATTGCAATTTGGATATAGAGTAGTATTTGCCAAAGCAAGAGCTGAGGACTATAGAAACATGAGCAAGTTGGTATTTGATGAAGTGGAAGCAAGTTTAGAAGGAAAGTGTAAGTTGGTTCACAATGTATACATGTTGTAATAAAAAAATATGGCAGGATCTTGTAATGAATTGCCAAGTCTAAATAAACAACTAAAATTCAACTTTGACACTAGCAAACATGATTAATATAGTAGAAAAGTCAACCAAATTCTTATATTGAAACTCAAGTTGACAATTACGAGTCTCTGAAGATTTTGCATTTGTATACCAAAAGAATTTTTAGGGGTAGAAAATTAGTGAAAGAAGCTGAAAGAACGTAATTGGAGGGGAAGGAGGCGAGAGAAAAGAGAAGGAGAGGGGAAGAAGGGGGGGGGGGTAGAAGAGACCATGAAGATAGGAAAAGGGATAACTTTGGTGGAGTTGTTGACAAGACAAGGGTGACGATGGAGAGTAATATATTACTCTTATTAAGCGAGAGATTATCATAGAAGAACATGCCTACAAGGCTATAGAGGAAGACATTGTAATAAAAGAATATACTTGCAAGGCACTAGAATGAAAAGTCATAGACTAAGGCAGAGGTAAAGGCACAACATTGAACCATGTAGACACAATGGAAATCACTACAAATAAAGGCCTGCGCTTTATAGATTGTAAGGGGGTTGTAGAAATTGTCAAGGTGATTTGGCATTGACACTCCAATATAGAGTGTAAGAAGGTTGTTTGGATCCTTTGGTGTTGAGTCTCTAGGATGAAGTATAAAGAAGGGACAAAATTTTAGAGTCACTTGTTCAACATACATATTTGTTAGATTTGAATTTAGAACAACATGCAAGCTCGTCATATATTAGTCTGCAACATGCGCCCTTGCCATTGCCATACATTGATTTGACAACCAAGAAATTGGGCACTTCACCACAACCTCCAACACATACAGAAGGCCGATTTGTATTTCATTGCACCTTCCATCATATGGCTCATACTAGTGCATTTCATTGCAATCTTTAATACATGGCTTGGAAATCATGAGTATCATTTATTTTTTGTTTGAAAACTCGTTTTAAAATTATATTATTCCTATACAATCTATGTTGCAATTACAACATTCATCCATCTATCCATATTTCACAAGTTTGCAATACATTTTGATACCGTATTCATGGTCTATGCAACCTAATGATAGAGAGAGATTAAAAGAGTTGTTGGAGCATGATTGGAAGATGAAGGATGTATGAGCTAGGATTTGGAGATGGATAGAAACAAGAAAGAATGGTTGCAAAAATTCTACTAAAAAATGGTAGATTACTTACAATCACATATTTGAAATCTACACATTATCCATAGATTGTATAGAATTAGATGAAGCTCAATAGCATAATTAGGTGCACCACTTTCCAATTTTATAACCCACCACTAGTTGAAATTAGGTTGGTCTATATGTCAAATTTGAATTGAAAAGAATCTTTAACTAAAACATCAATATAAATTCTATTTTAAGGCAAAATTGTGTAAAAACATCTAAAATCCTATTGATTTCTATTTCCATATAGGTGGATTTTTATTTTCTTATTTTTACTCTTGCTGATATGCTAAAATGTTAAAGTGATTGGAAATGGGTCGCATAACTTAAATGTACAATAGTATGTGGAGAAACCTCTTGCAAAGAACACAGAAATAAAATTCTGACGAGGGGAATACACCGCCTGCAGAATCGCACAGAGGTAACTTAACATAGATCACAGCAAGCTGGTGATGGTGGAGGATCGCCGCAGTTGTTTGTGACAAAGCAGTCGATTGCAGGCACAGAAGGGAAAAAAAAAAAAAAAAAAAAAAAAAAAACTGTGATTATGACGCAGTTAAAATTGGCTGTGTCGTGGAACAATCGGTGAGCGAAGTGCCTATCATCGCATTGATTTCTGCACATGTCCACAAATGCGACGACTGAATGAATAACAAGAGAGTAATCATATTTACTGTCGATGAGATTGGTTTGAAAATTTGGCTGCAAACCTGACTACGTTTCACAATGCTTTCCGTCTGTGTTTGAGTGCAGCACATACAAGATCAATTAGATGGTAGTATCCTTGTGCTTGGATGTTATTGATGCATGTCAATAAAAACTACGGACAACTTCGGCAAAGGTCCATTGATTTGAAAATACCGAACCGTCAACTGCAGCAGAGGTTTGTGGTTATCGGAGGAAGTCATAGTAAATTCCATAAAAACTCGCAAAGTTTTGTGATTCTTTAGGCTCACCAGAGGAAGCAGAGGAGTGGGCTGCTCTTTCCGCAACAGTCCTGGAGGGATGCGCTCCTCATCCATGCGCTGCCGTCATTCCATGTGGTGGCTAAATACTTGGAACATTATCGCCCTGCGTTGGTACAAAGCTCCTCTTGCGGTAGATTGCAGGCAAGCGAGTCACCCTCACTCTTCTTTGATTTTATTGAGATGCAGCACACAAGAGCATTTGTAGGGACAAGGAGACGACGCTGCTCACTGCATTTTCTTCTGCACTGCTATAATGCGCGAGAATGGCAACGTCCACCGTCGACGTCGCCAGGTATACAACTACAGCAACGCCGCGGACCTAGAGCAGCCCACGGCTCACCAATACTGCTAGTTCTAGCCCAGTGAAACAAACGTCAACCTGCTGCCTTGAGCCAAGAGTTTGACGGGTTAAAATACAGATCCCACATTCCCCACAACTTCAACATTCACCAGTAAGCTTCACTAGTGTGTTCATTGGTATAGACCCAGGCTAGCATGTTTGGTACTGATAATCGATTGTGAAAAAACTGGAAATGCTACCTGGAACTGCCTGGTAATGTACCCCAAGTATTCTGCCAACATTTGGTCTTGAGCTTGAACATAAGTTCTGCCACCGATTTCTACCAGCCTGGTCAGTCTGACAATAGCTAATGCACGAGTTCAACTACAGAACAGAAGAGCACTAGTCAATATAGCACATCCAAGCCGTTCTGTGAAGCAGGGGAAGAGCTGCAAACCAACAATCTTAGTCGGGTGTGAGAAATCTTACTAGCTTTGAATAATTAATCCACCAGGAAGTATGATGATCCCATTTCACTAAAAGTATAGAGTAGCCAATTTGGCTAAGAACTGCGATGAAGAATGTCATGACACACTTGATATCCACTATGACATGTGGTGACATGTTGGGATCCAGACAGTATTTGGGAGCTGTGGCAAGAATGTCAATCCTCCACATTCGAAAATTGAGGTACAGTGATCATTCCCTCCCTTCAAACTTCAAAATATGACATTCATGGCACTCTACATGTTAGTCCTAACAGTAAGGACTATAGGTGACTACAAGCTGGTGCACCTATGTTCACCACACAATGCAGACAAGCACATGAAAACAACAGAAGGCATAGTAATAGTTTTAAATTAAGTTAAAGAAGTCGCATAATTACACCAGATTCTGCAGTCATTCGAGCTGCATCCCACCGCTTCGACAAGGTTACAGCTCTAGTAGGTTTCCTGGGCGGTATTGTGGCATCAGACTCCTGAATTGTGCTGCAGACTTGACCAAGAACAGACAACTGGTCGGCAATCTGTTTGTCCTACATCCGACACGCAATTAAACTGAAGGTGATGCCAAATAACAGACACTTCGAATAAAATAGTGGCATTGTCAAGGGTGCCAGAGGGGTGTGTACCCAGCGATAAGGGTCGCTAACACAATTGCTGCGAAGCGTCAGTTGTCGTTTGTGAGTGACACCCGTGAAAAGAAAAAGTATACTTCGTGTTGAACGCATGTCACTACTTCTTACTCTTTGACGTCAACGACGCCCTCATTTGTAATCTGAAAGCGAGCCTCCTGCTCTGCTAAGCATGGAGACGCAACCACCTTAATTACACGCTCCTCACCACGACCTTTCCGCACGGACAACCTTGTCGTAGATGCGTGCGCAATGATGTTACCGCCAATGGGTTTATGCTGGGGACCATTAAACATAGCCGACCCGTCAACTTGAGCTACCACTTGATTTGTTATTACAACTGCTATGCCGAACTCATCTGCTATCTTCTGACAGCCCCGAAGGAATTTGGCAAGGTGGACTTGTCGGGCTGCAAGCTCCCCTCTCCCTGAGTAATCCGTCCTATACAACGCTGTCGAACTGTCCACCACCATCAGGGCAAACCTAGTCTCAGCCATCATAGACGCAGCTTCCACTAGCAGCTTCATCTGATGATCAGTGTTGTAAGCTCGAGCATATGCCACGTTGTCGAGCACATCCTGTCCATTCAAGCCATACTTCTCTGCAATTTGAAGCAATCGTTGAGGCCTGAAAGTGCCCTCTGCGTCAATGTACAAAGCCTTCCCCTCACCTCCACCCTGGTCTAATGGCAGCTGACAAGTGACGCAGAGCGTGTGACAGATCTGGCTCTTACCCGAACGAAACTCTCCATAAATTTCTGTAATGGAACCAGTCTCAATTCCGCCCTCGAGAATGTTGTCAAACTCCTTTGCACCTGTGGTAATTTGAATGAGCTCCGCCCGCTGCTCGTGCATCTGCTTGGCACTAGTGAAGCCCATAGGAACGAGCTTCGTAGCTGCCTCAATGATTTTATCCACCTTCGCATCACTGAGCCCCTTAATAAGCACAAGATCTTTCTTCGCGGAATATGCAACAGACTCGACGGTGCAAAACCCCGCATCCTTCAGCTTCTTCAAATCGAGACTACTGATACCACAATTCTGAAGTTGCTCGACAAGATACGGACCATGATGAACTTCCTCCTCAGTAGCGGCGCTAGTGGTGACACCTTCCGTGGCTGCACTAACAGTGGCCATTAAAGAAAAGCAAAAACAGAGAGAGGACGAAAGCCAGGCAAAAATTCAAGTTAGAGTAAACGTAACCTCAGCCAAATTCTTAGAAGCAAATTATCGATGACTACGATAACAGAATCTCGACAAAGCGAGGCGGCGCGAGTGCAATGGACAGTAACTCAGCTTCGCATTGATCCATTTCACTGGAAGGAGGCGACGCGGAGGAAGAGTGAAGAAGAAGCTTGAGCTTGAATCTGCGAGACGATGAATGCGTTCAAGTCTGGATTTGGCGCCGCTTTTGAAAACCGGCCCTTCTCAGCAACTTCCGCCGAATCTGGATATTACGCACTTCTTGACGAATCCAGGTCCCAAGTCTCAAGTCTCAAGTCTCCTGTCTCAAGTCTCGCAAGCTGGTATTCCTTACTATCTCCACCCAATGAATAGCACCGCTTCCTTCCATTCATCCATGAGTGAATTCAACGACGTCTACATTCATCCATATATGAATGGTGTATGTCGTTTCATCCGTATCGCACTGGTACATTCATCTTTGGTGGCTGCATTGTTGCAGGCCAGGTTTGTCTACAGCTATTGTTGTCGTGGATATTGTGTCAATTTCGTAAGTGACTACGCAGTGTTGACTTGTTGGGTGTCAGAATGGAGCACAAGATTCTCTTGAGAAATGCGCACATATGGTGTTGTAATGTAGAGAAAAATGATACCATTAAAAATTCATTGTTTCACACAGAGTGTGCGGAGTCAACGTCAGAACAGAAACAGTGACTGTTGGCCTGCATGGGGAGCAGTGCTCTGAAAGAAATTCAAAAGGGCCTTACTCTGTTAGAGAGTTCATATTTTTTTTTGTGGATCTATGTGGAATTTTACATTCTTGGAATCTAAATTAACAAGCTCAATAAAAATACAGAGCACTTAAGACAAGGTTTTCATGGTCGCCGCAATCCAACAACTTGAATACTGGGACCAAGTGAAAATCGTTCAAACCTGAGGTCTGCAAAGAAAACCTCCTCTACAATCTGAGTTGGTCTAGCTGGCAAGCATATGTGGACAGCAACTAACACACGACACACTGTTGAGCACTTCCATCATGTCATCAGGAGTATGACAAGACTTGAATCCAGACTACTCTAATTGGAAAACTCATATTGTAGCCTTTTTGAAGATGAAGCTGGTATTGCGAATCCTCAGATAAGGCCCGCAGAGGAGGTGTTATTTCGAATTGGAAGATGAATTGAAAAAATATCGCTTGAGTTGAATAACTACGCACACAGCTGAAGAAGCAATAAATAAGCCATCGAAACGATGCACAAATTTGGTGAAAGAATGGAACCCCATTCCCATCTGCTGAAGAAATCCCCGCTTCCGCTTCTGCATTTCAAATCGCTTTGGGTGCACTTCTCCCATGCGACGGGCAAAAATTAGACAAGCCACTCGACTTTTCAGTGCCTTGACAGCTGGCTTCGGCTTCTTAGGCTGCTCCCTCTTTAAGAACTTCCCCGTTGTGATTGTCTTCCTTTGGCCGAAGGGATCCTTCACGTCCTTCTTTTCTAGAAGGAGCTGCGACACCAAAACATCATTGAATAAGGAAGATTTGATTTCAGCGAACACATGCAATTCAACCGATGTTTTACCAGCAATTCTCCGTTTCCAAATACTGATGGTCTAACTTGTCACGCTTAATCCTGAATTATCAAGCAGGATAGATAACCGAAACGTCGAGTGTCATGGTCAAGTGGATATTACCTGCTTTTGGGGTTTTTTCTCCTTCTTATTGAACCATTTCATATTCAACGTAGCGGTACAGACCTCCACCTTAGAGCCAGGTGAATCATCAACTCCCTCTTCGTGTTGTTTAATTGCTGCAGATATCTCAATATTCTGCCTATCGTTGGCGCGCTTATTTGATTCTACCGCAAACACATGGTCAATATAACTAAGCAACGAGTGCTCTTTCACACCTTCCAACGAGCCCATGTTCATGTGGAAACTCAAGTGATTTTCCATCTTCCAGCGCTCCATGTCAGCATATTCCAGGAAATTTGTTTCTGTGTCAAGCAAAACCATGTGGCCAGCAAATGCATATCCGTAGCCAGATTGATGGGAAAGAGCCAAAGCCAGCGCACGATGGAGGAGAAACCGCAACAAGGAAGGTACCCACGTCAAGGCTTGCGTACTGGCCACAATGAATGGCAACTTCCTAGGCTGTACTTTCATCACTTGACCAACGAGCATGGCAATGCGTACCAAATGCATGAGTTCACTCAGAGGTCCGACACCAAGCCCGGCCCAAATAGTGTAGATTGTGAAGGCAACTGGCATCACCTTGGGCACGATGTCATTCCGGGACACAATATGAATTAAGTGACGTTTGTACCGTTTGTTGATGTACCTATTGCAAAAAATCATACGAACGAGATGAGTTCACCCATACAGATGCCACAAAAAATCGGAGGGGAAATCTATCCCAAGTCTGATAAATTGAAAATCCATCTTAAAATATTTCGTGACGTCTGTTCAAAAATCGGAGCTTTCTCAAAGGATAATTCCCAACAATATACATACTTTGCGAGGCGGTAGTCCGCGAAGAAGGGGCAGCCAAAAGTGTAGCACTGAATTTGCGCATGACACCACTTTCCAGTTGCTTCAAGAAGCCTGGTAGAGAAAAACCACATCAATTAAATGGCTAAAGAGAACTCGGAGGAAGAGGAAGAGACGATGTTCTTATACTCGTGATGCAATGAAATCTAAAGATTGGAAGGCAAATGGACGCACATTGGCTATTCATCAGCACCCAAAGTATGAACAAAGTTGATATGTTCATAGCACCTGAGAGCAAGTAGCGAAGCAACGGCACCCCCAAGAGAGTGGCCTGCAAGAACTATGCGCTCCCCGCGGATCAACAACCTTCGAAAATACTCCAGCGGAATTGTCTTGGCCCTATCCAAAAAACCAGAATGCGCTGCTCCAGGTATCAAGGTCAGGGTACGCTGAAGAAAATTCAGATCTGCAAGTGCGTCACTAACGTCGGTAGTGCCGCGACATGCTACCACGTAATGCCCATCCGCCAGTGAGCGCACCACGAGTAGGGTTTGCTTGCAGTTCTCAAATCCGTTCTCACACAGCTCCTCGTCAGAAATAAACTCATACTCGGCAGTGGGCGGCAGCCCATATTCTGCTTCCATCAGCTTCAATTCCTCTGCAGGGTTCGGACTATACACCACAGCAGACAAGATGATGGAATCCACCAGCCAGGTTGGATGCCTATCATCTTTAATTATCTTCCCCAAGCTCGTCATGATTCTCCGTCCTCCTCAACTTCACCCCTGTTTTGTATAGACCCAGTCAATCTGTCGCTATATCACCGCATGTCAAGACCTAAAAAGCACTGATGGCCAACTCTGGCATCCATGTCACTCGAAACGACCCAACTCTTTTATTTGTCGAAACTCTCCCCATACTCACAGCTCATGAAGGCACACAAGACAACTGCTCTTCCAAAGCACAAATCCTTCACACGCTCCACGATTCTGCTAACCGCTAATCCATAACTCCACGCAGTCTAGCAACAGAAACAAGAAATCAACCGTACCGAAACGTCGATGACTTGTTCTTCAACAGCAACCACGCAATCTCTTTGTGACCAAAAACAAACTGCACATCCAGTGTCCACGCACTAACCGAACTCTATATCTCGATAAGTAGAAATGCTCCTGGAATTGCAATCCACCAGAACCAACATACACACGCGCGTATGATTTTTACGAAAACCTCCCACCGCACCGACTTACCTAATCAAAAGCAAGCGCGGACTTTGCTCACGGCACCGACTCAGCGGCGGCTTCTCATGCAATGGAAAATTCTCACACGGGGTCTCAAAAAGTTCATAGAAATGCAGCAAATTAGACGGCGGATCCATTGACAGAGCTTCGGCGCGACCAAGGTTTCGGAACTCTGGGGGCCCATGTACGACGCGGCGCCCCAATTATACGCCAAGTGGTGGCTGACATCATATCGTGTCCCTCTGCCATGACAAGTGGCGCTATGGACACAGGTTTGGAGCAGGCTCGGCCGAGGTTCGGGTCCAAAGCAGGCCGAACTTCATACTGTTCATCCGATGTGGAACCCTAATGGAACATTCGGACATGATGCATGCTGATTCTTATCCACGTGGCGATACTTTGCTATTTTACCCCGGCAAATAATCTGAACCTTTTTCTTTTTCCCCTGGTTGGCGTAATGGTAACTTTTTTTGTCATCTCAGGGGTGTAAATTAACTAATATGTGGAGCTATCCTACAACAACACAAATAATGAATGGGTCTTTACAATAAAAACGTGTCCCATTTGTTGTTTGGAAGTGTTGTTTTGAGGCTTGGGTTGTGCATAATGCAAGAAATCTATATTATAATTCATGGTTTGAAATAATAGGTTTTTGTTGGGTAGATTTTGTAGAGTCGTATCTAAGAATTAAGTATTGTGTTTTGGTGTAGTGGGGTCTATATATGATTGCAAGTGATTGATTAATGTGATGAATATTGTGCTAATAATAATAATAATACTTGTGAAGCAAAAATATAGGAGTGAGAACATAAATTTGAAACAAATGAGGAGTAAGGTGTGAAAAGATCATTTCTTTACAATATTTGTCCTATACACTTCAATCATGTCATCATTTTATTTGTAAAGATAACTTTTTAAAAGTAAGAAAGAAAATTACTTCATTTTTTAATATTTCTATTCAAATTTTAATTCTAAAATCATGGAGGTAGAACACTCATTTCAAAACTCTCAAATATCATAAAAAGAAAATTTCAAGAGATATTTTGATTTATTTTTTGGTTTCTTATGAAGTTTATGGGACAACTCTAGAAAAACAATATCCTTTAACTTTTTGTAGAGAAGACAAATAACACAAAGAAGAGTAGGGTTGATGAAATACTTTTTATGACATAAGATTGTTTTTGTTAGCTTGTATAAAATTTGTTAGGGTTGTTTACCTCCCTTAGTCTTGTTCAACATGATATTGGAAAAAAACTTTAAAAAATAAAAAATAAGAATCTTATAAAATATTAAACAACCAAGTTTTAGAGGTGTACTTTTATTACATAATGACACTATAATTTTTAATAACTCTTTGGTTTTAAAAAATGATTACAAAATTAAAAATAATATACAAAAGACAAAAAAGAATCACTATAAAAATTAAAACCACCTACAAATATAATCTCATGTAGATTGCAACCAATGATTGAATTTATACTTGTCCTTGAAGTCTTGTTTCAATATAAATCTGTGAAAACTGTGTGTGATTTAGGTAGATTTCTATGCAAATTAATGTATTTAAAACAAAATAAAATACTGTCAGTTTCTAATCTGAATTTTCTGACTCTGGACATAATGGCAAAAGCTTTCTCTAGAGGTGTAGATTGAGAAGAAGGATAGTGTATTTTAAAACAAGTTGCAATTTTCAATATGTTCTGATTTAAATTTCTATAAATAAAATATCAACATTATTGCATGCAAATATGTGATTTCTGTTACAAACCAAGTACTTATCTGTTTAGATACTGACTCATCAAGAAACAATTGAGTTTTGTCATATTAACCATTATTCATATATCATTAAAGTTTTTTATTTGACCATTTCCTAATATATTATGAACACGCAGTTCTGTGAATAATTATAATCTCATGAAAAGAAAAGAAAAGAAAAAATACAATAAAATAAAAGTGTGAAAAATGAAAAAATGATGATCATTGAATTATGAATTATTGCATAGGAACTTACAGGTTCAATTAAATGAAAATATTTTTTGTTCACTAGCACTCTGTTAACTTAGCAAATAAATTCAGCAGTTTTAACATCAATCAACTTTTACTTGACCAATATAATTGATTACTCATGTGTATAGATATAACTAATGTACATATACATGATAATGCCAAATATGTCTTTATTGAATTTTTCAAAAAACCAAAATATGATCAATCATATACTAACATGTACAATATGATAATTTATGAAATTCTAATTGGGAAGTATAACTTATGAAATATATTTAAAAAAAAAAAAAAAAAAAAAAAAAAAAACGTTGGATAAAAAGACACTTTAATACTGTGAATATATCTAATTTTAAATCTTATTTACTTTTGTGAATTTCACCATTTTGATAAATACATAGACATGTAAAATATATAAATATTTGGTGTAGTTTTTCCAAAATAAATTGTTAGAGAATAAATTGAGTCTCATTTTTTGTTCTTTGATTCTTAATTTTGAATAAAAACCCATTTTTATAATAAAGTAAATACTAATTTAATTTTTTTAAATATACATCTATATATGTCTATATGTCTGTATCTATTTTTGAAATCATAAAATTTTTATATGTCTCTTAAAGCATTCATCCATCAAGCCACAATTTGAATTAGAAAATATTTATTATTTAAATCCAATTAATAGACTCATGTCACATAGTATATGCCAAATATTATTACACTTGTTAAATGAATTATCAATAATCATCATCAATTACATCATGCACTTGTGATAATGTAAACAACATGTTATAGGAATCAATGTGTTAGGTTGATTAGTGGATCTAATACAACTATAGAAAATTTCACACAAGGTCCACTAAAAATCAATGAAACAAATTAATATCTAAAAGTGGAGAATAATGCACCTGATCTATTGTTCATGCTCACCTTCATCTAAATTCATAACATTAAATGGCACATATCAACAATATTTGAATATTTAAATATTTTAAAATTTTATTCATAAAATGATTTCTTAAATAAAATTATTATTATGTTAATTTTAGTAAAAAATATTACCTCAGAATATAAAAAATTAATTAAATTTATATTATTAAGTTTGTAAAAAAGATAACAAAAAAAGAAGAAAGAAAAATTCTTAAGTATAAATTTATTACAAACAATCTATTAATATACTAAAATATAAGCTAAAGATAATTTTAGAATTAATATCAATTTTAATATAAAAACTAAACAAAAATAAAAATAATTTGTTTAATTTGTTTAATTTGTTTAATTTGTATGACAAATCTAAATTGTTTGGATATAATACATAAATATTTAAATTTATTATATATATTTTATATATAATTTAATTGTATCTTAAATCCAATGTATGTGATAATAATTTATTTTAAAGAATATATATATATATATATATATATATATATATATATATATATATATATATATATATATTACATTGATTTTTGATATTATGATCAAACAATGAATCAAATGAAGTAAACAAAAATCCCTCTATAATTAATATTTCTATATTTTTTTTTTTTCTCCATAGACTCATAATTTATTTTTTCAATAATAAGAAATAAAACTTGAAGTTCTAATTGAACGATTAAATCAAATTACATAAGTTCAGATCATGGCAAGTTAGATAAAATAAATAAGATAAATAAATAAATAAAATCTTGTTGTGGGTGTATATATATATATATATATATATATAATTTTAATTTTGAATTTTTAATAGTAATATACTTAATTAAAACAAGAGATGTTTGCTTGTGTGTATACATCTACATATTTAACCAAATTATGTATTTATTAATTACTCCTTAACGGTTTTCTTTTTTCTTGAAGAAAAAAACCCTCAATGCTACAAAAAAATAATTATGTATATATATATATATATATATATATATATATATATATATATATTATGTGACTTTAAAAGAGCTATTTCTTTTTTGTTAATGATGTGCAAGAATATCATTGGTAACATGAATTTTTGTTTTGAAGGATACTTTAAAAATCTTTAAATCCTGACTGTTTTTAAAGGGTTCATACTCAAAAATTAGACCTTAGATTGTATACCAGCTTGAATTTTCAATGAACATATTAGTCAGACTTTAAATTTTCTGACATTTATAAAAGTATTTTTCAGTAAGTTTGATCTATGGAACTAAAATTTGAATATTTTGTTGATTGCAACTGAATGCTGACAAGATTATGTGTAAGAATATTTTCATACAGTAAGAATTAGATTCAAAATCTCAAAATTAAGGTATATTTTTAGTCAACAATTGTAAAACACGTAAATCAGTAAATTACACCCAGAATCAAATGCTAACTTGAACCAATTTTTTATTTTTATTTTTTGAACAATTGTTGCAGCACACATATGTAATCTAATAACCATCAGTTGAAGGTTGAAAAACTACACATGTATATGTTTATATATCTAGGGAATCATTAAATTGACCCAAGCATTTTTCAAATTGACCCACTAATCCTAACCAGCATTAAAAAAATTCTCCATGCTGGATCCACTTTGGTCAAACACCAATGAAAAAATGGTTGTATCCTCAACCAATGATGATAGGTGAGTATATTTAGTAAATATTTGCATCGATTTAACGATTCCCTATATCTACATTTGTATAAAGATATATTTATAAATATATATATATGTGTGTGTACATCTGTCCATACATTCATACAATGCGTGCATATAATTAGTATTTCCACCATGCACAAGCAAAATAATGTAATTTGTTGTGCTACGTACACATTGCTTTTCAAAGGAAGTACATTTACTACACTCAATCTTCACCTTTCTTCTGCTTCATTTATTTCCAATCTTAATTCTTCCTACTATTTTAGGAGTCACAAGCATGATCTCAGGAGGGGATTTGAACACATGCCGACAAACCTACAAGAAGCAGGTAAAAATCCATGATGAAGCAACCCAAAATAAACGGACTCTCTGTACAACATCCAACTTCGCACCTGCTCGGAATGAAAGATAAACATCGATCTAACACACTAAGAAGCAACCCGAGAATGGAAAGCATAATAGCTCTCCCGACTCTGTTCCTGACACGGAACCCTAATCCCGGGTACAGCAAGCTATATCCTAGTTGTATTTATAGACACACACACACACAAGCACTCTCTCCCTCTTTCCCTCCCTCAGAAACCCTATTCTCCATTTTATTGTCCAGCGAAAAAGGAGCAGGCTTTGCAGCCATACGCATTCATTTCATGAATAGGACTACTATTTTTGTAAAAAGGAGTCATCCAGAGCTCATAACGAGGGTTTGGAGCATTCGCGCGGTAGAAAAAATGGGGTGCAATGCGGTGTTCGAGATAAAAGGGGGTGATGAAGAAGAAGAAATGCGAGGAGGACAAGGAAGAGGAGGGGAAGGGTGCGACACCCGAATCGAGAGGGCACCCACCTCACCCATGAATTCCGTTTCTCCGACTCTGACTCATTTCCTGTGACGAGTTTCATGCCACGAAAAGGAGGGTGCCATTCCCGCCCCGCCCGCAGAATCTGCCGCAATCACTCTCTTTCCTGTTGGGTCCCCCCTGCCATTTGCTTTCCTTTTTGAGGATAAGCATGCAGCGCTTTAGGTTCTGTTGAATATAGCCATGGCCAAGGTCTGGAGAGAGGGGATATGGACCACATCTGACAGAATATGCAATGACGCCGTCACCAACAGGGAAGATCTGGCGCGGAGACCTGTCGACTTGTTCCTTCCGACCATTGCAAGCTCCGAGGGTGTGGCCTGTGTCGAGCTATAATGCGAGTGACGCGGTTTCTTCCTTTGCACTTGTCTTGCGATGGACGCTTTGCTTAGATTGGACTTGAATGGTATATGAAGACAAGGTTGAATCATGGACAATTTGAAAAGGTGAGAAAGTATCCAGTTCTTCAGATACATTTGTGAAGAGACAGCAGAAAGCGGGCGATACGGGACAAAGTTATGGAGCAGTGTATCGGCCAGGTGGGTTAGATTGAAACTTGGGCAACAGCTTCACCATTGCAAGAGACAGATGGGATTGGGATGGAGCAGGGGTGGAAAAGAAAAGAAAATATTATATGTTCAACTTTTTATTTCATACATGCACATCACAAAAGAACAAGCTGGCACATCGGCGAGCTTGACCCTAACCCTCATTTATACGGATGTGAAAAAGAAAGAAAGAAATAAGAAGAAAAAAAATAATAACAGCTAAGGTAGCCATCCAAACCCTCCAAAAGGTCGTCTTTAGTATGTGTAACTACAGCAGTGCCAACCACTCTGTTCTGAAACAAAAACCAACCGTGATGGGCAATGGCTTTTGCAAAAAATGACCATGACCATGATAGGCCTCATCAAACTATTACGTAATGGCTTATCACGAAAAAAGGATCGGGGTTCTCAGAACAGAATATTGGGCACAGCTGAAGAAGACCCATATGAGGGAAATAACCTGCTGGTGTTGACTATTCAAAGCAGATGTGGGGTCGATTTCTCTTCAAAAAGCAGCTGTGTCGCGACTAGCGGACAAAAGGGGAAACTTAAAAACCTAGGTGTACACCCAGGTAGCCGCATTCTCTTCAATGCTGACAAGCACAGAAACCAGAGAAAATCTGAATAAAAAACACCAGAACTGTGCCGAAAATTTTGGATGGGTTGAAGATGTGGATTGGCTACAATGGCCATGTCTAACTTCCACCTGAAGGGATAAAGGGAGCTCGCTGATTGCTCTGCTGTTAAGTGAAACTCTTAAAAACAATCTTGACAGGAGACGTAGACAGCTATCGTTTGGAAATTTTGTCGTGCACGCGAACTCCATGCTTATGTTAAGGTCCTTACTCGAACATGCTCTGTCAGTCCTCCAGTGTATAATACAAGTCTTGCAAAGTTCTAACGATCTCGTCGGTGTTGATATCACACCCATCAGTCATCTGCGAATCGACATTTCATTACACTTGCCGTCGTCATTCTCAGAGCAAGAGAGGCTCCAGAGACATGCGGAGAAAAAAAAATGACTAAGCCACCTATTCAAAAGGTGTCAGTGAAACTATTTGGTGGAATACCTCATTCCCAAAAAGAAGTTGAACTTACATGAGCACAGCAAGTGAGATCCACCGTCGTTGCAGAAAACGAGAGAATATTGGCATTCAAAATGACCAGCTTCATTTTCTCGAGTTCGGCAAGAGACTTTACTAATAAACTCTTCCTCTTCTCGCAATGCATCCGAATGAGCACATTCTTGTCGATCTTCCTAGCCTCAATCTCGGGTTGAGAGCCATCATCTTCATCAACAACTTCTTCGCCTAGCTGCTGCTTCACAGCAGGAGCCAGCTTGGAGCAACCCTGTGAGTTAGAGGACGAAGGTGGTACAGGCGGCATATTCTTAACCGATAGTGACCGCATTCTTTTCTTCGGGAGCCTTTCCTCCAATGCTTTCAGCTTCTCTTCCAGTGTCTTCACATATTTAATTGCATCTCCCAACACGGACGCTTTATCCATCTGTCACACATCAACCACATGAGTTACGGAGATTAATGAAATAGCAACGAAGAGAGCCACTACTCAAGCTTATAAACGGTCACCATTATGGACATGTGAGACGTGTGTAAAACTAGCTTTATTCAGAGGTACAGGACTAACCTTCTTCAAGCCAGGGACAATAGCAGAAAGAGCAATGAAGCGTTGGCTCAGCTTCTCGCGCCGCTTTCGTTCCGCCATTATGTGGTCTTGTGTATGACCTGTGCTCTTGACTGGCGGAGGTGGTTGGGGTGGCATGGTAAGCCTTGAACCACTCACATTTGAGGCAAAGAATCCTGACGATTTTTGCTTGCCCTGTTGGACATACTCTATGGAGGATAGAGGACTTGAACCTCGAAGACTCTCCACGGAGACAGCATCAGGTTTGCAACCATTTGTACCAACAGATACAGGTGAGCTTCCGCAGTCCACTTGACTACCTGGCGTTCTGGGATGCACTGCAGAATCCTCTTGCAGGTGTTGAACAGACATCGCATAGGCGTCAAGATGCTGAGGAATCATCTGGTGCACCTGCTGATGCGGGTTTTGCGCCAATGGTTGCTGGGATCCGAATGAAATCCCGCCGAGGCCCGAGGATAGGCCCATGGACATACTCCAATTGGGGCTGGCTTGGTAGTGGAAGTCATTGAGAGTGGGCATCGAAGAGTTTGATTTCAACATCTTCTGAGGACGCTCTTGATGATACAATCCATCAAGATCTGCGAACGACTGCCGCTCCTTTTGCTGCTTAAAGCTCTCCAAACATGCGGCATAGTTGTTGCCACTCCCGCTTACACTAGACAATCCACCACCGTATGCTTCGGCGTTGCTTTGGTGAAACAACGGGTCGAACTGCCTCACGTCCTCCATACCCTAGTCAAAATGGCAACGAACCATAGGTCAGAACAACCGACGGGGGAGTCACACGTGTTAATCAGCAAAGATTCCACCGAAAACGGATTCAGATAAAAGGGGCACCCAAGACTGCAACTATAAAGACCATTAGTAGAAGTGAAACAGCTCTCTTACCAATTCTGTAACCCACTGCATGGCAGCTTCTCGTTGTGATTCGCCACTTCGGTCGAAAGAGCTAGTGGTTCGCGCTGCAGTATGGAGAAAACTCCCAGAGCAAGCTAACCACTATCCTCCACTAACGCTTCCGCAAAACCAGATCAAACTTGGTAAACCACTCACAAGTCAAAATCCACACCCACTCACGTAACCACCTGAAGAGAACCCATCTCCAACTCGGTCAAAGCACGTGAGGGAATCTTGACATACATTCTACAAGAAGTAGCTACAACCAGGCCATACGATACGAAGCTCTAGAGGAGGTGAAGGAGAAGTAAAACATTTGAAACAGCGGAAGGGGCAACCCGTGAGACAGGGCAAAAGGAATTCGAGGATGAGCGCGCGGAAAACGGATCCAGGAGCCAACAAAGAATGAAACCCAATATACTAAACCGTGAAAAACTTGAAGAAACGCAGGAGAAACAAAACAGAGACAAACGATCAAACGAAAGGGCGTGCGAGAGGAGCTCGAAGTTAAGGTGCGGACATACCTTACCTTGAGGGGTTGGGGTGAAGGACGAGAAAGGGTCTGGAGCTCCGCAGAGCACTGAGGGTGAGGAAGAAGAAGACGAATGGCAGCTTTGACGGACAAGAAGCCGAGCCTGGTATTCTGGGTGGGGTGCACCGAGGACGGAGGAAGTCCGGCAGGGTCAGGTGAGGGAGAGAGAAGCGGCGGAGATGAAGGGGGATTCCGTCACACACGACGACGCAGAGGACCTCTTCCCCCTCTTGACGGACGCTCTCTGTTAGTTACAGTGTTTCTCATCGACCACAATGAACAACAAAGCCTTTTCGTGGCCAGAGGACGGATCCCTCCCACCCTTCCCCTGTTTCGTATCTTGCACATGCAGTTTTCCACTTTCTCCGCATTGCTTCATCACTTGTCATTGACTCTGCGACTGCGTGCCTTACTGTTTCGGTCGCCCACTGCGAACTTTCTCTAGCAAACTTCCGCTGTGGGTGGAGAATTGGGCCGATTGCCTTCTCTTCCTCCCCCTTTTTTCTTTTAATCTACTACTTCATTTTTTTAAAAGGTTTTTGGATCGATGGAGGTTTAGAGATGTTTGTTTGGGAGGTTGAGTGGCATGAATGAGCTTTTGACGTGGTGAATTGAAACAATTTGCACTCCATTCTGTCTGAATTCGTCAATCTGTGGTTGTGCTAAGCTGCTGTATTGCTTGTATTGGCTGCTTGTCCCAATTATCTTTGGTGTGAAGAATTTATGCTACATTGTGTGTGCATGCTGTGATTTGGTATTTGTTTCAGTTGCTTTTGAATCTTTCGCGTCGTTGTGGAGATGTGAACTGGTGATTGCAAAGGAGGGTTCACTGTGTCGATTTCTGCGTTCGTCTTCTTTCTCCAACAGACCAGGAACATTGTGATAAGATATGGCGAAAAGCATGTGTTGGAAGATCTTGACGTGAGATACATGAGTGTGCTTTGAATTTCACCAGACACATCCTTTCGATGTTGCCGGTTTTGATCATATATATGTAGAAATATTCGGTTTCTTTGTGTGGGAGGGGTTTTTCTAATGCCGACTGGATTACTCTAGTAGGCATACATAGTGATCAGCACAATTGGTCTGCACAGAGTCACAATTCTGAAACCGCATATTGTACAGAAACGAAGGAGAGATCGGCTTCGTGTGTAGGGTTTGCTTAATTTTGTTTCAGGCATGAATGATGATGATGATGATGATGATGATTCCACCCTGTTGTTGCTGATTAGAAATAATTAGCAACTATCATCTTCATCACCGATTCGCATGTCACTAGGATCCAATGTTGAGACAGAAGAGGATGTAAATGTCAAGCTTCGCAAACTGAAAATCATCGACCCTAACTAGAATTTATCGAATGCCATGGGCGATCGGACACCAGTAGCGAATTTTCCAAGGTTTATGCGATCGCAAAGTATGAGCGCCCTCACCAAATCGAGCCGGAGTTTAGGATTGACACGGGAACCACCGTGGCTTCATGTGAGGCGGGAGCCGTTTGAATATGGCACTTTGCCAATTCCCAGCCTTATGCATAGTGATGTATTGGCCAGTTTAATGACGCTTCGTGGAAAGTTACTTTCGCAAGCTCCCCCTTCTTTGACTTCGTGTACATCTTCATGGTCGCTAAGTAACACCACCAACCTCGTATGTGCTCCATCGACACCATCAGTATCTGAGATCACAAGACGGGTATCCATTACAGGCATAGCTGCAGCTTTGGAACTCACGGAGGAATACGCGCAACTGATTTTGGAGACATTGGCCTCTACCTTGAACGACGAGGGGACCATAGTGGATCGTCTAGCCAGTTCTCTTGTGAATGAGATTGAGTCTGTCGGTGCCGATATCGACGATCTGCTCTTGTATCTGTACCTCCAAACCTACCGAAGAGCACCGTCCCGTCCACATCGAGATGCCTCTTCAGTGGCTGACGTATGGCCTTGTACTTCTGCAATTGATGGGATTCTCCCAGCTTCTACTCTTTTGAAGGCAGGCACCTCCATCTGCCACGTAACTTAAAGGCTGTTTTCGACGTATCACGCTCATTGACTTGAAGGGTTTGGTGACACTCACTGTCTTGGTAGATATTGGGTACCTTTGCAGGTCAGATTAGCTGGAGTCTCTCGGCGTCTGATGCCTACCCAAGCAGAAGAGGAGGGTCATCAGTTGAAGTATGTGCGAAAGCACTTGCGATCTCTCTTGACAATTCTTTCTGAAACCAACAAAGAGGGATTGGAGGTAATTACGTGAAGAACTTTGGTCTTGTTCCTGTATGACCATATGTGAGGTTAATTGTTTGTTCTTACATTTGTTGATAAATGATTAAGTGATGGGTATATATCGAGTCTATTCAGATTTAGAACTATACTTGTCCAAAATCTGGCTCGTCATTGAGTAACTGGTCCTGCTGGACCAAGAGTTTGTCTTCTCTCAGGTCATCACACCGGAGCGGTTTGAGCGACTCGGGTTTTTCCTAAGAGCAAAAAATGCTCGCATGGAGTCAGTACCGTTGAGTCAGGCAGCTCCATTATTTGCTGGAGCGGATCCACATGTACCAGTGCTTCCGGTAGCGTTGACGCAAGTATTGGAGTGGGTGCAACATCATCTCTGTGCTGCATCTGAGAGCCAGTGGGATACCATTCTAACGAGGGATGAGAAGTCATTAGCCAAAGTTCGTCGAATGTTCCCACCTGGGAAAATACCGTCCTCGCAAGCAGAAGTCAATATGATGGATGTAATGACTCCTTCAGTTTTAGCTACGTCTAGAGATGTCCAGGCTCCCACTGCACCAGATGATGCTTTGAGCTCGTCCAAAGATTGGCGTCCTGAGAATTTGACCTTCATTGATGGCGTAATAAGGTCCTCTGTATCGAAAGGAGAAAATGACATTAAGGGCGGTTCAGTAAAGGTTATATTTTTTGTATCTTCGATCCTCTAAATTTGTGCTTATGGTTCTACTTCACGAATGATATGTGTCTTCATATGGAACATTGAACTAGAATGTGAGGTACATTTTGCTCTAGTTACAGTTTTTGTAGTGATTTGGTACCCATGCTTCTTGTGGAAGCCTGAAGCCCTTGCTGGTTACAAAGTCCTTCAGGAGTGCGCAAAATGATGCTACCTCCCCCGAACCTGCTCATTCTGTAGGTCGTTTTTATCATCCGTGTAAGGAGCTCAAATGTAATGCGTCAGCCTATGCTATCGAAAGTGGGTGTTAATATGAACTTTGCTGTTCGTGGGGACAAGGTTTCAAGAGTATTTTCAATTTTGAATCATGAATTCCGCAAGTTGTCACTTACTGTACATTTGTTGACCTCGTGAAACTGCAAATGGCTTCCGTGTCGTCTGTTAAGCGAGAAACTCGTTAATTGGTTCTTGTACATTTCGAATATTGAGTGGTGATATTTTTTGTTAGTACTCCTGTTACATTCATTTAAAATTTGGTTTATTGGATTGAAGTTCCAGTACGCAATTAAAGTCGTAAAACGTAAAAACTCTAGACAAGTTTTTACTAACTCCATGTTTTAGTTGTTTACAGGTTTCATATTGCCAGGATTCTGTGGTGTATGTTCTTGCGCCCCTTAAATATGCCTCTGTGTTTGGATGCTCGGATTCCATTGTTGTACTTGGGGCTGTTGGGAAGGTAAGTTACACAAGTATTTGAAAAGTCTTTGGTTTGAACGTTTTATAAGCTATTAGAAGCTCATTTTACCCCAGTGTCTTTTATACCAATCAGAAGAAGTATGGTTAACATCAGTTCTCCACGAAATGATTTCTCAGGAGCCCATAAGCCACCAATTCGAGATTTTATCACTTGCATGCAGGCTGTCAGAGTGGAGCACTGTGAGAGGGTGCAGATTATTGTTCCAACTGCTCGTATATGCGTTGCAAACTGCCGAGAGAGCATTTTTTACTTGGGTGTAAATCTACGGCCTCTGTTCACCGGTGATAGCCTCAACTTGCAGGTTTGATGGTTATCTAGCTTCTACACAATTGTTGATTTTTTAATCTTTAGATTATTCTTACTTGCAGTTATTGTATTGGTTTCAGCTATCTCTTCTTGGCTTGAGTGGTTGTTGGGTGGAACAGGTGGCTCCTTACAACACCTTTTACCCAAAGCTGGAAGCTCATTTAGCACAAGTTGGTGTAGACGCGAGAATTAATAAATGGGATTGCGTATTAACATTGGGACTGGCAAATCTACATGATGCATTCAAACGTTCTGCTCATGCTGCAACATCCCAAATTGTGGGTGCATCACTTCTTCCAACTGACAAATTTGCGATGTTCACGGTAAATACTTGAAACTTCATGACACTTTCACAGTCACTTGTACATGCCTGGCAATATAATCTAGTTATGAAACTTACTCTGGCCCTTTTTTGGTTCTTGAACAATCGCAGATTCCTAGCTGGAGCATACCTGATTCAGACTCGATGCATCACACCAGTGCAAACCCATTCATTCTACCTCAGTTATACATTGCAGCAGTAGAACAAAGGGTGAGTCGGTGTTTCATCCTCCTGATCACGTCGCTTCTGCAACATTTTTCTTTCACAGATCGTTTCATTCCATAATTAGAATGCATGCTCCTCCTGAAACATTGCCTTCATAAGCACTTGTTCAGTAACTAATTCTTCATAATCAGCTGATGGTGCAAAAGTTCATGCCATATGACTTTTTTGACCACGCTAAAACTTTTGTAACAGTCAAGAGCCGCTGAAACATTGAAACTAAATATAAAAAATGCTGCCCTGGAAGTTGACAAGGAACGCGAGCTGGTGGCTGCTATCCATTCCCACTTCCGGGACTGGCTTTATGGTACATTGCGTACACTTTTTGCATATCTCCTTGTGCTGCATTGGAAATAGCTGCTGTCTCTTATCGTTTCACCATTGTGCTTGTTTGCAGCATCTGGCAGTATTCGGCAGCTCTACAACTCACCGACACAAGAGTAAAGCTTTCATTTTATCCAGTATGTGCTGAATTGGACTAACTCCAGTTGCTTTCTTTCCAACTGCTGTGGCCTAAGTGTATTGTGGTTATTTTGGAGTGATGAGATAGTTAAGTTATGATCCAACTGGCTTTCTCATTGAAGGTCAGAAAATTGGAAAAGAGCAACTCAACCTCTTCACTAAAACTGGAGGGATGGGAAGCAATTTGCACGGCTCATAAGCTCTTACTCTTCCTATGTACTTCTAAAAGTTTCTGTGCAATTAAGGCCATATAATCTGATTCTGCAGTGCAACTTAGAGCAGTACGTTTAATCTTACACTTGATTTCAAGTAAGCCATGTAATATCATTATTAGAGCAAGGTTGAGTAGCTCATGTCAAGTCAAATTGTAGGCTAGATTCTGGTTTTTAACCAAGTTTCTTTTTCCAATTGCATAGAAAAAACCATAAAATGTGCCTCTATGCTTATGCTTACTTCTTTTGAAACTTTCATTTGTTAACACTTCCATGTGATTAGATCATCTTTCAATATATTCCATAATTTTAAGAACTATATATATATATATATATATATATACATACTATACTAGTGGAAACTTGTGTAGTTGGCCACAAAAAAGATGGTCAAGAGTAAATATTTGTTAGTTTATTTATTTGTTGGGAGCCTCCAAGCTCCATGCTTAGTGATCTTGCAATGCTACTCTTGGTAATTTGCACCAACATCATTAAGATTGTGATTCCAAAAATTGAGTTCTTGCTTCACTTTTGCTTCATTTTTGAAGAAAACAATGAGATATATAGCCAATTAGAGATGGTTTTAGTTTCATTAGGTTTATCTCTTTGGTTTATCCCTTTGCATTGTTTTATATAAGAAATACTAATGGTAGGTTATTCATCTAAATTTTAATAATGGTTAATTAATAAACTTATAATTTTGAATGTAATAAAACAACCACATATATTTTGTGTTAATTAAAAATACATTCTCGATTAATTTGATGTGCTTTAAAGTAAAGTCTTTCATGTGTATGATTTATTATTTTAAAATAAGTTTTTAAAAATAAAATTTGTTGTGAAGATCAATAATTAAATTCATTTTAAAATATAATCATAAAAGACAAAGTAAAACTTGTTATTTGACATGTTTTGTAATATATACATCTTTAATATAAAATATATAATACTTAAAATTTATTAATTTATAAAATAAATATTAGTGGCTAAATACCACTAAATATAGTTTAGATGTGGTTATTTATATTATATTTGTAAATTTTAAATATCAATAAGCATCTTAAACTATATGCATATTTTTAATTTAATTAAAATATATTATCTTTTAAAAAAACTACTACTGTGTTTTTTTATTCAATTTAATCAATATAATCTATGTGAAAAGAAAAGAAAAAATAAAATTTATTAATTTTCCATTAAAACATATTACAATATAAAACATGATATTAGTAATACTATAATATGGCATCCACACCTTTTGTTAATATTACTTAAAAAAATGTATATATATATATATATATATATATAGATATATAATAAAAAATTAAGCTTATTAATTTTAAAATTATTTCATATTACAATTAAGTATAATTTTTATATGATTTTAAATATATACATATATATATATTAGAAATATCAACAAAAGCTTTGATTGATATCAAAAAACTAAAACCATGTACAAAGTAGGTGGTGGATTTTAGTGGAAGTAGCAAAAATTATGGTGGCATTAGCAATAACCAAAAAATATTTCTTTAAAAACATGGTCTTAAGTTCAAAATAACTTAGTAAGTGATGCTAAGAATTGAGACATTATTTTCAAGCTATACTTCACAATCCATGAAATAAAAATTGCTTGTATTAAATTAGTTTGAAATCAAATTAAAAGGGTCTTTATATTTGTTGAAAAGTAGTAATCAATACATTGACTAGGATTTTTACTTTTTTGACTCGGTTTTGGTTATAATACCTTATTGTGTACCACATAATTTTGATATATATATATATATATATATATATATTAAATTGATATATGTACACATGATTTTAACACAAAGTAAGATACTATATATACATATCAATTTATGAATGTGATATATTAACTTATTTTTAACACTTCAACTAGTTTTAACACATATCAATAATAAATATAAACATATTTTTATTCTTCTTTAATACAAAAAGATTATGTGTTAAAATTATGTGGTATATAATAAGATATTGTGACCAAAACTTGGTTAATTTAGTAAAAACCCTAGTCAATGTATCAATTCCCTTTAGAAGTTACGACTTGATTTACTCATACCACAACTACAATATATGGTATATCGTATGATTGTAATTTTTATTGAACTTTTAATGAAACATGTAAAAAATCTTGTCATATCTTAAAATGATCGTAATTATTAATTCAAGTTCTCAATGTGTCAAACAACAAGTTGCAGTTATGCTATATTTATTTGGATTTAAATTTAAATCAAGTAATAATAAAAGGTTTGGAATGTATAATTTTTCAACAAAATCTCATGAAAATAAATGTTACAGTTATTACTATTTTGATTTAATAGTACCAAAACAAAACAAAAAATAAAGAAAAAATAAATTAACTGATTTAAACAATTCATTTTGTTTGTGTATTAAACTCATTTCAATTCTGTGTGTTCTTAGTTGGGCGCCAAATATAGAAAAAGCATATATATATATATAGAGAGAGAGAGAGAGAGAGAGAGAGATTGTAAATATGTTTGGATTTTTGACCAATTTTTTTATTTAATTTTTTATATTATTAAGTTTTTATGAAGAACTTGCAACATATATATTTTTAATTTTTTTGTATCAATTCATTTGCAAATGTAGTTGTCAATAGAATTGTTCGGTAATGAAAACTGTCAAAATAGCTACTTTTGACGACTGGCAATACTTCTAAAGCCTCGTTTCACTGGCCACGTATCAAAAGTACAATTTTTTAGACGCATAAAGTAAATGGGTTATTCATGTATGTGTTAATATTTTCTCAATCACTGTTAAACTCTAAAGAGCAAAAAAAATATTTTAAAAAGTATAAAAGTAAAAGTAAAAAAGTTAAGTTGTACTTTTTAGGATCATTAAATCTGATTGAGACAGAAACGAGTAAAAATAACATGAGAAAATTAGATACGAAATAACATGTATAATGTTGTAAAAATAAAAGATAGAATTCCCCAAAAATATTGAGAAGAATTAATGATATCATATTGTTCAAAATAATATAGTTTTCGGCTCCATTTAAAGCTTCAAAACTAACAGTAGAGCTGAAATACTTTATTATTAAACAGTGAAGAAAAATAATTTGATACAGTCATTGATGAGGGAAAGGGTAGGATGTCATTTAAAAGTATCAAGACCCTTTATTTGAAGTTTATTTAACAATAATGTTAGGTTTTTATTGTTACAATTTTTTACTTTCATGAGTGAGCATGCATAGAATTCGGCTTTCCCACAAAAATAATTTAAACATTAATAACATTGCCATATAACCAGTCTTTATATAATTGTAACTAGATTTCAAGCAAGCGAATTCTAACAAGTAGTATTACGTGTTTAAAGCACAATTAAAATACATAATAAGATGAAAACTATAATTTTAGATATGGGAATTGGGTATAACAGCAAAATATTCGATAGAACGTGCATAGTAACTTATGATAGTTTATTTACATGTACATATATATATATATATATACTCATATACATATAGATATATATACGTGTATGTATCTATACATCTTCATAAGCATTGACAAAAAGAAACATCACAAAATACAACGTTCAAGGTCTGGCAATTTCCACACTCTTCTTAAAACCATTGCACACTACATATTATTGTATTCAACCAATTGTATTTTAAGAATATTTGAAAAATTTAGCTTTTGTGATATAACAACAAATCTTCTCTCTGAAAATTCCTAACCTTGAGGTCTGTAGAACAACCAAAACAAGGTTATGAGGACGGAGAAAGAAAAAAGAAAAGAGAAAGAGAAAACCAACACCCATACAAACTTTCTTCTGGTAATACCACAGTGAAGGAAAAGAGTGGTTTCAAGTGCAAATAAGTGAACGGAGCAAACATTGTTGGCTTCTAGGACGTTTATATCCTCTTCTTTGAACTAACATATCTTCCTGGAGATCACTGTTGAGTTAACCAATCATTCAGTGCAATCATAAAATAAATCCATCCGCCATTTGATAACAACAGATTCATCCATCATGTTACAGTAGAATCAAACCTCGACAATGTAAAAGTGATGAATACCTGTTCAATTATGATGCAAAGAAAGTAGGCACACGCAGCCCCAATTAATCTGGAGGAAGCTCGATTACAGATTTAGGCATAGACAACAACGAAACATGTACTTTTGTCCAAGCTCAGCATCTAAGTTTTTCCTCTCCTACACATCCGAGCAGTGAAATTCAAGATAAATATACTTGCCAATAGAGTTGTAACCAGTCACAATTAGTTTAACCTACAACCAGCGTAAAGAGTTGCAAAAAGCTATGACTGCTACCAGCCCTCACCAATCCTTATTGGTAAATATCAACAGCAATAGGTATTTTTCCTCAACCTAAAGCTTGTGGATACAAAAAAGGCATATTGTAAAGTGACCAGAGTTTGTATCTAAAGGGGCACCCCTCGCTTCTTCTTACCGAAGGCAGTGCAGGTGCCACATCGTCTGCAAACCTGGGAGGCAGTAATGGGCAAACACTAGGTGTTAGATAACACTTCCAAATCATTTCAGACAAGAAATCGCAATGTAAACAGGTATTGATGCAAGAAGTTACCTTTGCTGCGGAACCAATTGGTTCACCACAACCTATGCAAATTTGCCGTCCACGACCTGCTCCAGTTACATGCTTCTTTGCGGACGATGCAGCAACATTATTCATCATGGTAAACTCAAATTTTGATGAGCTAGAGTGGACTGAATCTCCTGAGAACTCCGAGGGCTTGACTCCTCTTGCATCCCAGCTCTCCACAAAGTTTGGTTGCTCTACATATCCAAGGGATGTCTGAGTTCGCTGAGCTTCATGTCGTACATGACCAGCCACCTCAAGCTCATTATCTGCCTCAGCCTTGCTAGAAGATTCTGAGAGAGTATCCTCGTGGCTGCTAGTGGCATCATTACTGACATGATCTGAAACTAGATCTCCAACATAAAGAGAAGAAAGCCGCTGCTGATGTAGATAAGCAGATAGGGGTAGATGTGCATCCTGAAGCAAGCGTACCATACTTACGCGCTCCTCATGATCGGGTTGAATATTCAAGTCAATGGCTCCCTTAACAGGTCCATCCTCAGAAACCCCATCTCTGGAACAAACTGGTGGTGTAGGAAGGTCATCATCGACATCGTTTGCCGCGTCTACTGTTCCAGCTCTACCAATATCAGCAATTTCGGAAGCATCTTCTTCCTGCCATTCTCGCTTATTACGGAACGCTTCAAACTCTCGCTCACATTGCCGCTTCTTACGGCGTTGCATAAGCGTCCTGAAGCGACGCTTCACTGTCACACAAACATTGCAGATACAGGACGCTTTGTGTTTAGGCCCCTTGCCGCTTGGGGGCTGAATACATACAATACAGGTACATCCTGGGCGATGCCTTGGGTGCTTGGTGGTTCGCACAGGACTCAGAGATGTTGATGCTGCCTGGGCCAAAGTGTCCAAGCCTGCCGCAGCTGATGTGGTAGAGACATTTTCCTCCCTGCTAGTAGGGGTTACCTTAGGTGCATATTCCTGCTTCCCACCCTCTGCATCATGTCAGACACCCCACCACCCAGGCTCTGTCACCCTCAATCCATAGCCTAACCTTGCACCCCAGAACACAAAAAGCATCACGTTCCTCATCCAGGGCCAACTGAAATGTTCCCGAAGATATGGGACTTGCCTGAAGTGGGTCCAGGACCCAGTAGCACTTCTAATTTGTCACTGCTCACTTCTTGAGCAGCACTGCACTGAGCTCTGGAGAAAGAACGAAGTAAAGGTCACAAGATATAGTGATACTACGTCCACACGATTACAAAAAACCAATAGTTTCACGTTATTAGTTAATGAAAACTTAAAACTTTCGTACAGCTGACCACTGCAATCAAGTGAGTTCCGAAGTCCCAAAATCACCTTGTTTGATCCCAACTATTCTGTGAGCACGACCACCGTGCAGGTACAAAAGCATCAACAGGTACACGACGCCATGTCCCGCAGTCATCACATTGAGCCCACTGTTCCTGAGCCCTGCACAAAAACCCCGGATTGTTAATTCAGGATTAATCTAGCTTGGGGCTCGAATTCAACCAATATGGACTTTTCATTCTAGACGCTCAACTCCAGTGTTTAGCATACTAGAAGGTAGAGGATACCAACTTTGTTACATGAATTTAACTGTGCAAGAAATGAAGACGACATAATTTACCCGGAGGGCGCTTTGGTTATAAACGTTCGTTTCGCAAGAACCGGTGGTTCCTGGCAAAGCAACATTACTGTCAGAAACAGTACACAAGTTATATTATTGAAGCCATGTTAATGAATTGAACGAAAACAAAACTACACCAAAACATGTTCTAATTGGTAGTAAAAGAACTTTCAAAGTTCACATGTGTAGAGGGGTAATTACTTAAATGTGCGTGAATATTAACAAAACACACACACACACAAACAGCCGACAACATGAGAGAAATTAAGCGTCTAAACATGATTAGATGGCAGATCATTCGTATGTTGGTACCGAATATTCTTCAAATTCGTGACCGTCAATTGTTATGACGGTAGAAGAAGCAGAGGGAGCAGGACGCAGTAGCTCCTGAGCCTCCTCCCAATTGGACTTGAGAAGCATAGAATCAATACTATCTAGTCGAAGGCGCTTGCTTTTAGAGCCCAATGGCCGCCCACGTTTCCTATCCATCTGCGAGGACCACAATTGACCAATACTAACGCCGCTTTCTTTTGATTTGGGTGCTCCCACGTTTGAGGCCCATCCATCTGCTGTTTGAATGACCGCGCTGCTTGGGTTTGATAAGCCATTACTAGCGTTGGGACCAACCCGAGTGGCACCAGCATCCTGAAATAAATGAAACATGGCGTGCGTATTCAAGATCTCATCTGGATCATCTAAAAACAAAAGCAATATCGCAGCCGCCGATTTAAAGGAGATTTATTGCTCCATTTCGAAAATACAACCTCAGCTCACCTCACTTTAGGAAGTACTAGGAACAAGCTTTAAAATGCTAAGCTGTTAGTATTGCCGGGTTTTCGAATAGCATATGTGCTCATACACATATCGACAGCACTTCAGAGTGTTCCTAAATCCGATATCAGCAATACTCACACTCGTATCCTCAACGAATCTGAAGCCGCTGAATTTCGTCCATCTATTCACAACCAATACCGATATTTCTGTACAATTCTGGAGGACTGCATGAGTTTGCTTAACACAAACCTGGGAGGAGAGAGAGGTTGGAGCCTTGCGATAACCCATCACCAGCTTCCCATCGGCTTCAAGCCTACTGAATGTTACTGGAACAACTCAAATATTTCAGGATTCAGAACTTTAATTCAAGATTGCAAGCCAAAAATAAGTTGAAGTAAGGGTTGTACTCAGAAATCCCTTTTACTAATAGAAGGCAAGTAAAAATAAAATAAAAAAGATAAAAAAGAGAAGAAAAATTGACATGTCAACACCTGTATCCCCTGCATGAAGCTTCATCGATTGAATGCATGGGGTGACACCTTCAAGCACATACATTCGGCTGTTATTGTTGGGCCAGAAGCGAAACTGGAACACCCAATCCCTCCCAGTGACATCCTGAATCCTCAAGGGTAATCCCTCTGGCTGGTGGATGGGTGGAAAGTACGCCTGCAAGTATACCTCCAGCTCTTCAGCTAGTCCTTACAGACACGTAATCCGTATGGTACTTTCAAACAACTACTCAAACCCTATCATTTCAAAATGATCCGCTCTGCATTCTGAGCGTCCAAAAATTTAGGTACTTCAAATAGGGTAACATCTGGAAGCAAGCGGACATTGAAAGGGACCATGCCTTCGAATACAAACATGTCTTCTTCATTCTTCTTCACAAAGTTACCAGAACAAAGCACACATTCACTCATACTCACACTCACACTCACACTAACACACTTCCACATGCATACCTCGGCGCATGCTTTTGGAAGCACCAAACGACCAATCCGACCGGCATCACTGGCACTCAGCATTTTCTCGAACAGAGGAGTGATGGTAGTTTGTGTGCTGTAATGCATTGTCAAGTGAAAACTGAAGATTAGATTGTAATGATACTCGAAACTCACTGAATCCCGTAACCCCTATTTACACAAATTTGAATAAACAAACTTAGAAAGGATACTCTCCAGAATTGATCTGCTTCAGCTCCTGGTCTGTTATTCGAGGCCAATAACGAGGTAGCAACTGGTTGCGACCCCTTCCCTCTCCAGGTGGCCGCGCTACACGGAGTGATCCCTGAAGATCATAGCGAAAACGGCTGTTGAGTCGCTGGTTATTATGATTACAATACCGTAAGAATATGCTGAATTCATCAGGGGCAACGAAGTTTCTTAATTGCACTAATACGTTTTCCAAATCTACCGCCGGAATCCACATACTTCCGGGTTAAAAGCCAATTAAATGTTATTGAATGCCACAACATAATATAAAAAATAAACCATAAAAACATAAAAAAGACACAAATAATAAATAACCTGTCCTGCTGACTGTGAGCTACCAGCAGCAGCACCACCACCTACTGCTCCTCCAGCCTTCGTTCGATCTAGACTGACATTTTTGTCACTTTCAGTACCCTCCCCACCGCAGTCCATCACCTCCAACGTTATTTGCTCTCGTGATGCTGAGTCTACACCATCCTTGCTCTTAACTGATATATCAGTTTCCGGAGTACTCCAAGGTCGAGCCAGTCCAGTAGGAGGGCTCAAAGATGTCCTTGCAGCAGATGAGGGCGGCCATGCTCCCCCGTCCACTTGACATACAGCCAATGCAGCTCCATATCCCTCGCACCAGCCTCTAACAGCTGGATCGACCACTTTACCGCTCTCCAAAGGTACCGCTGGAGAGAGTAGCTGTTGTCCATGTTTACCAACCTGCAAAATGCAATGTAAAACAAGAATTAAAAACTATTTCGTCAGAAAAGAGCATGTACAATACTGATTGAACACAAATTAATCATGAACCCCCAATATCCTTAAATATCTTCTTTATAAAGCCATTCATCATTATTCCGGCACACGTCGATACCATCATCTATCTGTGACCACTACGTATAGAGGTCCTGAATTTACTGCCTTGAAGGTTTCCTGCGCCCCAACATGATTCTTACAAAATTGACTCAAGAAAATGAAAATTCTCCAGCATGCGAAGCACCTGTTGCAAAAAATTATAGTGCACAAAAAAACCTCTCTCGCACCCAATATCCAGCGGTGTATCTCTCTTTTCAAGTCATTCTCGACCCTTAACACTCCTTTTTGGGCTCCCCCACTCCCTCAAATTCCAAGAAAACGCCTTTAAACAGGCTTCGCACAAACCCTATATGCATCATTATAGCCCGCACGTACCAAGGAGATAGAACCAGCCGAATCATGGGCTGTGGCACACCGAATGCACTCTACTCCACCTTTATCAAGTAGTACTATTCCGTTGGCAGATGCAACACAACCACAGTGCACACGCTGCAAGCAATATCATATTACAAAACGTAAATTTTCTGTAGCACTTTACGTACCAAAACTTCTGATAGCCAGCAATTCTTCCTGAGTTCTAACAACATAAATCAGGCGTTATTATTAAGAAGTGAACTATGTATTACTGCAGGTAAAAACAAGAACTTTTCCAGATGATTGATAAGCATTTTCAGGCGCAAAGTAGTGGAAATAAAAGCAATTTTATTTGCTTTTCTAGTGAATCATACCGTCTAATAGGCTGGAAAGCGCGTGAAAGCATAAATGTCATACCTTTTTACAGAAATTACATGTCCTCCATCCAGCATCGTCGCTATGGTACGTCTCACAAAAGGAAGATTGTTGATAAGCTAGTCTGACCGCAGCAGATGATCACAAGCAAAGTCCACCTTAGAGAAGCAGAAGATAGAAGAAAAAAAACAAAAAAACAAAAAACCAAAAAACCAAAAAAAAAAACCGTTGAGTATGTGCATGTCGAGTGCCGAAGTCCGACGATGGGAAGTTAAGAGATTGGAAATGCTGAATATGATCTCGGCAATATGCGAAAAACGGCGATTCCGTCTAGAAAGAATTAGGACGAGTAAGTTAGACAGTTTAAGATTGGAAAGACATTCACGAACTAACCCGCAGTAATCGCAGAGCTCGGCAGTGCGCCCGTTGCGCGCAATCCAGCCAGGGCGCCAGGTGGTGGAGCTGCTGGTGCCGCACTTGGAGTTCCAGCAAACCTTTCGACACTCGATCTTGTTGTCCATCGCCATGCCGAACAGGCACGAGCGAGGAGGGGAGAGTGAAACGCAAACCCAAGAGTAGCAATCAGAAGAAAGGACGTGAGATGGGAGGGGGGGGCCTCGTGGCGGATGTGGTCTGAAACGAGAGAGACCTAAATGTGGGACTTGGCATTCCACGCAGCAGTGGGACTGGCGAGAATCTTACGGAGGATGCTTCCAGCCCATCCATACCCGGGACGCCGTGAGGGCGGGTACCATCCTCACTGCGTCTTCACACTTCTAACGCATGTGGCAAGTTTGTGTATCTGGCCATGTGCTGTCATTTCTCCGCTCCTGGCGCAGTCAACTATGAAATCTCGTAGCGATTTGTGTATGAATCGTAGGCCTAGGGACCTTTCCTCACTGTACTCAGTTTCCAACTGGGTGTTGAAATTGCGTAGATGCGGTTAGACAACGGCGTCAGCCATGATTCCGAGGTTCTATTGTCTGACACTGGATTCTACCTTTTGCGCAGGCTCAGTTAGTGTCCCGTTGCATGTGTTATGGATTTTTTGGGCCTGTTTCACGGACCCTACATTATTATCTTTCCACGGTGGTGTAGGGGAACATGAACATCACGTGCTTACTTTTGGTCTAGGCCTTTTGGGGGAAAAGTAATTTCTCATCTCTGCTCGGGTCGTCGTAACAAGTGGACTTGCTTGGTCTTAACATCGTCGCATGCAAGGTTAATAGGAGGACATGGGCTTTACTTTTTTTATGTTGATGATTGATTCGAACAAGTTTCCTTAGATTCTTGTCAAGCAACCCAACCTGCCTACGAATAAGAACGTGTACCTGGATAGCTAGACTGGAAGGTAGCATGTAGCAGCGCTTCAGCTTGGAGTTTGGAAATGGTGACGATTTTTCAGACATTACGATCGTGTCTAAAGAACATCCCTCAGAGATTAGGGATCTAACCCTCTTAGAGCTAGGGAGTCGTTATCAATCCTTCAATGCTGAGCCCAACTATCCTTCAAATCTAAGCTCGTCAAGTACTACACATCGTGCAAGCAAAGCAGACACTTCAGCGTAATCTCGCAAATCACATCGCTCAAAATGCGGGTTCCCTAATCTGTCGAACAAGGACCCAAACTGTCCTATGGGATTAGGGACCCGAGCTGTCATAAGGGTCGGACTTTCGATCAATTTTCTTGCAACTTCTAAGCTGCAATTTATTCAACAAGATAGTTAAGGCAATACTGCTCTCTTGCACTCGTCTAAACCAAACATTGTCCAGAATGTCAGCTCTGTCAATATCACACAGCACTTGCTCCTAGCGGACATATTCTAGTACCCGATTCACAGCCTCTAAGTTCCAGTCTGACTAGCCGTCGGAAAGTATGGCTTGTGATCTAAAAGCCATGACCGTGAATCCGCTGCGATAGACAACACACAACAAATCCAAGGGATATACTCATCTATTAGCTCCCACAATCCGCTGTGATTTTCAGGGACCTCTTCCGCGTGTTGGTACAAATCGAGCTTGTACTGGAGCAGTGAATCCTTGACTATAGAGGCGATTCCAGTCACTTCTGGTCTGCGCTTCTGATGTTGGATGGATCGACGGACAACGGACCGACGACACCACCGTAGAACTGGACAGTCGGGTCTTATCAATGTCAGATGAAAACTAGATCTCTTCGTTACTTGTAGAGAAACAATTTAAACGGACTACAAATCCAGTCCCGTCTCACGGTTAGTTCTCAAAGTGATGTTTCCGCAGATCCAAATAAACATATATTTATGAACCCGTTTGTGCAAATTCTATGTGGGTTAGTGTTTGTGGCAATCATTGACCTCTTTTTCTTCACTCCACAAAAACACAACTTGTCAGGTTGTTTTATTCTAGTCTGGGTATCTGCATCTGTAAATCGGAGTCGTCAAAAAGCTTCCTGTTCTGATTCTCCTTCCTTGCCTCACTTTCAAGACTATCAGGGGTTAAGTTTCAAATTGTACTTTTTTCACAAACTGACACTTCATATTCCAAGTAAACTCCACGAGGAATCGACCCAAAAATTCTAAGGGAATCTCTGTTTGATCCAACGCCGAAGTGCCTGTGATGTCAGCAAGTTATAGATGTTGATATAGAAAGTGCGTTTTTGTCATGTCTAGTCAGAAAACTTCACTTGCAAAGGTAGTGCAGACAGAAGACCGAAGAACCTCAAAGTAACTGATCTTGGTTGGAATGCGTGTGCACCAGTAAGTGTTATAGACAAGTTAAACCTGCACACCCTGCACAACTGCAGGATTTTGCAGCCTCTTGGGTGAGGTTCAAAGGTAACTTTTCAGCATCTGTGAAGGACAACAGGTTCCAAACATCCACAGCATGTAATTAATCAAAAAAACTAAACTAGCGAAAGTTACTATTGAAAAAGGATCCATATCCTACATGGGAGTCCACCCAATCTGAATATCTAGATTCTAATTTTTTTTTAGCTAGGGGAAATTCTGATTTGGTTATTTTTGGGCCGCGTTGTTTGAATCGCTGCGCACTTCGAAGCATATCCTTAGCCATATCGTCAGGTGTACAGCCAGCTCTTACCATTTGCTCATATACATCTGGAACCTGCAGATTCGCAAACAAAACTGGGAGTCACTTCCAAATTACAAAACTTAAGTCTAAAAAGCTATAATTAAGGTTGTGACGAAGTTGATCCGACACAAAAAGCGTTAAATGGAAACTTACTAACTAGACTTCATATTCCACAAGAAGCTGCATGAGACTTCATATATGAGACAATTAATCCACGTTCACCCCTTAAGTTAAGTAAATTGCCAGTCATGATGAAAATTTCCAGGAACAGCATTCATTAATTCACAGTTCCCAAAAGTCCAATTGTTTGCTGTAAATGTAGTAGAACAGCAATGTGCAAGTGTATGCAGCGAACCTGGTCAAGCTGCTCTGCCTTTATCAATGCTTTCATCAGCGTAGTATAAGTAACTACATCTGGACTCATTCCCTGCACAGCGAAAATGTTAATTTTCATCATCACACTCCAACTCTCAACTCAATGAATATTGGTACAAGCGAAGCTCGTCTACACTTATCACGAATACACATTGGAAATGATGGCATTAGAGTCCTGTCCAGGCCACCCTAAAGAAAACAGTCAAGTATATAATGTGAGGAACGTTACTAGAGCATCGAGAAAGATAAGACTCAATCGGACATTATAGAGTGCTTCTACAATCTATTCAGGATGAGCACACACCACTTCTAAAATATAATCGAACACTGAGAAAGCTTCAACATATTTTCCCGCAACTCCAAACGCATTAATCAGGAGATTGAGCATTGACAGATTCAGTTCCACCCCATCTTTCTCCATACTCTTAAAAACCTCCATTGCTTGCTCACATAAGCCCTGCAAGATTCCAGACTGTGGTTAACAACCCACATAGACATGACTTGTGCAGCGTGTACCTCAAATCTGAACATTCAACCACAAATGCATAACTCTAATCGTATCAACAGCAGAAGTCCCATTCGAGGGTTTTGGCATGAAAATAGAACTATTCTTCTCTAAATTATAAGAGGAGACTGGGACAGATGCAAAAACAAGAATTCTACACACCAATTACAAATAACCACCAAACTAATACTCTGGTTTTAATTAGAAAGCTGAGGGAGCACTGCAAAAACTTACCCGCTTGGCATAAGAATTAGCTAAAGCACAATACACACTTGTAGAAGGTTGTAGACCTTGACTCTTCATTTGTTTCAAGTATTCAGAAGCTTCTCTGTACCGTTTTGATGTGCCGTATGAATCCACTAGAGTTGTGTATGTAACTACATTAGGGTCCAGACCTTTGAACCGCATCTCATCCAGCAGTAAAGCCATCTCCTTCCAACGGTTGTGCCATCCGAGTGCATTTAAAATAATATTATACGTATGTAATGAAGGAACGCACTCACGTTCCTGCATTTGCTTGAGCAAATCAAGTGCTTCTGTAATTAAACCAGCACGACAGTGAGCTTCTATCAACGAATTCCATGTCACTACATCAGGTTTGAAGCCTTCCTTATCCATTTGCGCGAATGTGCGCATTGCTTGGGGCAATCGCCCAAACTTCCCGTATGTATCTATAAGAATGTTGAAGATAAATTGGTTGGGTTTTATGTTGGACGCATACATGTCCTTCAAAAGCCGGATGGTGCCATCCCATTGCCTTGCATTCCGATACGCTACCATTAGTCGTGAGTAAATGAAAGCGTTCGCTGGCACATTCTCAACTTTCATGTTATGGAACGCTGCTTTAGCTTGATCCAAACGACCTGCCCTTGAATATGCATCGATCAGTAAGCCATAACTAAACGTACTCAATTTCAATCCCGCGTCTTCTGCGTCCTGCATAAGCTTTTCCACCTGCTCCAGTAAGCTTTTTCGCGTATACGCAGAAAGAAGAGCATTCAAAGTTCTCAGGTTAATCTTGTAAGACTTGCTCTTCATTTCAGCATAAGCCGCCTCAGCGTCATCTAACCTTCTGACCACAACTAGAGTTTCAATCAAAGAAGAGTAGCTTCGGACATCCGGAACCAGATCGCATGCTTGCATTAAACCCATGTACTGAAAGGCTTTGTCCGGGTCACCAGCACGACAATAAGCATTTATCACATCATTGTATAGCTTCGTATCCATTTCGAGACCCTCCTGCTCTATGTTGGCACACACCCTACTAATCACGTCCACACCTACTCGTTTCTTCGCGCAAGCCTGAAACACAAGAGTATAGTTTACATTGTCTGGCTGAAACCCGGATCCACGCATCTGATTCATTAGCTCCAAAGCTGTTTCTAACCGATCTTCGCGAGCACAGGTACCAACTATTGCATTGTACGCCATAGGACCGGGAGAGACGCCCAGCTGCTTAAGCTGATCAAACAAAAGCATCGCTTCTTCAACACGGCTCTCTTTACTTAATCCGGTAATTGCTATAGCGCTCAATAAGTCGATGGTTTCACTGTCACAGACCGCGGAAGAAATCAATAACGTGAGAAGTTTTCTAGTCGTAACCGAACACTTAGACGTGCACAGCTTTATAAAAGTACCACGCCATTCAGGGAGCTGTAACCCTCGCAGACTCGAGAGGAGCTCCTCCACAGAATTCGTCGAAGGCTCTGGTGTGCTTTCAAGGAGCTCCACCAAAGGAACAATAGCTGGGGCAATTGTGGGCGATGCCATGATGCCAGAGTTTCCACTATTCAGCTGTGCTACAGTTACTCCCTGACGAACACATTTTATAGACAAAAAATTCAGCGGAACTCTATTTCTGTGCACGTAGCGAGGGTGTGTCGTCGAAGATCTGTAACTGCTGCTCAAGGAAGTTACGGAAATGACAGTGCGAAGGGGAGACGGCATTGTAAACAGCTGAATGGACGGGATATCCAGGAGCCGCAGAAGAGAAAAGTCGAACGCCATAGCTACTGAACTATCAAGTCCAATGGAATGCTCAATTGCTCTTGGTCCCCATAGCACCATCACTTGAAAACCTACATGCTCTCCCTCGTCCCGTATCCTGCAGTTTATTTTTCACCCAAATCTCCATAATTCTATTGTCCCTATCTTCAAACTCCCCCTTCCCGTACCGCAACTTCCATCCCCTGCTCCTTGCCTAGTTTCAACTTATTGTACAGATTCGTTGATCCATAAATTCGAACGCACTGCACTGTGTAACCCAGAACAAGTCAATACCAGCACATAATCCATCTTCAAAACTCACCAAAACTATCTTGGCACCCTGCAACCTCGAATTCAACACATACAGAAGTTTGCACACACGACCCTATCCTTCTAGGAAAACTTCATTTAGCTCCGTGGACGGCCTCTCGAGACAAGTATCCAAATAGCTACGCTTCTAAGGCTACTTAGGCAGAAAACACCATAAAATAAAACCGCCGCAACTCAACACACCCAATATCTGACACAGCTCTCCTTTTCTCATTCAATTCATGACCACAACCCTAACACCTGATTGAATACCACAAATCTTTTCAACTTCCCACCATACTGTATGCACCATCACCAGCGCCACTCTGAAATTGAGAAATAAACATTTCACCGATGCCTGCATAGTACCTAATGCCCCAGAGCACAAATATTTCACTTGCAGCTGGACGCAGAATCGGCACCGCTACTTCCTGGCAGCAATAGAATGTGCAGCAAAGCGTTGGAAAGCTCAGGTGAAGGGGAATTGAGCTGCAACAAGCGCAACAAACACAACCACTAGAGAGAGAGAGAGAAGAGGAATTGTTGGTGTTGAATTGGGTTCAGGAACAGAGCGAGGCAGGTGTAGGGCTCGAGCCCTCCTCCACAAGAGACTCCCGCATCCGGGCAACAACCGGCACGCGCGGCTGCAAGCCCTGATAGAGAAAAAGGAGAAAAGGAAAAAAATCCTGGACGGGCGCACGCCGCGGGAAGTTGCCCCGAGGCGAGGACGCCACAGTGGGGTGTGAAGATGGTGTCGGGTGGGGGTGGTGGGTGATGTGGGCCCTCAGGAAGCATGGCCTCATTTTTCTGTTATCACCATTCCCAGTCTTCGATCTCATTGCCGGCCCCCATCTTCGGCTTCTTTGCTGTGCGGCCACGCGAACTCAGCACTCACGCTGCAAAACTGAACCATCTCCACGCAAGCACAACAACGCAAAGCAACGCAAACCATTGAGATGAGCTTCAGCTAGATGAGATTTTTGGGAAGCTTTGCAACCACGTCATTCTTAGCACCGAATACTTTCGTGTGTAAAATAGACTATATTACAAACAATAGCATAAGACAATGATTGCATGCTTGTCTTACTTCATGGCTTTACAGCAGCATATGGAGTCAATTTTTGACAGTCAATTAAGCAGTAGAGAGTGATAATTTCATCGTTCGATAGTTTCAACTTTACCTCTACTCCTGGTTTGAAACGACAGCTCACTCCCTTTTGCACCAAATTTTCTGACAATGTGAGTAATTAGCGGTGTAGTAAAATACTTCAAACGTGAGATGCATTTTTAGAAATTCGATACTAATTTTTTTCTTTTTTAGAGATCAAAATCCCAGAAACTCCCAGAAATCAGAGAGTATTGGTTTTTTAATTTACATTAAAAGAAAATTGCCCTGGTTGTACGATAAGGTTATGTCAAGGCAACCAATGGGTGCCATATCTTTTGTAATCCAGGCTCCAGATCATCGGGTCCTTTGATCAGCTCCAGCCTTATTGTAAAATATTTTTGTCAATGCTCGGCAGTCCTACTCCAAATTACACAGTTCCCTTAGCTACAGCTTTCTCACACTATTCTATGTCCTCAAGTGAATCTCCACAGTGATTTGTGGATTCAATACTGACCTAATGAACAAGATGTCGCTACGCAATGAGCAGAAATAGTGCTAGTTGTATCTAAAACCAAAGTGGGCATGTACGATGCTTGATCTGTCTGAAATAGCGGTGATATATGGGTTTACTGAGCCTGAGGATGCGCTATAAACCCGTTAGACACAGAACCGTTCTGTGCAACGGATTTAACTGGATGATCAGCATTATCCGTAAAATCCATCAGGCGTGATTTCGACCTGCAACAAAAATATATAATAATAATACTAATAATCAGAACGAGGGGACTGAGCACGACGAGGCAGCATGGAGAGGCAAGGAAAGTAAGCTAGCCGAAGGAGCTGGTTTGATTGACAGCAGTATGCAACAGAAGTACAAATTCTTGATGGCATATAAACCGATCACACCTCTAATGTGGTCATGATGGAATCGAAAATCAAATACTGAACAGAAATAGTGTTTGACAAATTCAAATTTGAAAAACTGGACCTTTTGTAAAGAAGTATGTAAGCTTCCTGAGAGGTCACCCAGTTCACGCTAACCTCAGTGACCTGTTCCAACAAGAGCACGAAATATAATTGCACAAGGGTATAAATCTTCCAGATGCATAACACTGAACCAAAACAGCGACGACATAATTGCGTGGTTGCTGAAACGAGACCAAAACGAGTGACTAGTAAGATTGCTCGAGATATTGTTCTTGACTGCCACTGCAGCCAAGTACACTATTATCCAGAATGTTTTGACACTTGGTTTTCGTTGTCAATCATAACATTACAATAACTTAACATACATTCATCCACAAAGAAAGCCCTGATGGAATAACGAGTAGGTAAACAAGCTCCAATTCTATATTTTCTTAGATGAAAGAGGCACAGCTTTCAGCTCTCTTATCCCTATATTTTCTAGCGAAAAAATTCTGGAATTCAATCAATCATATAAAAACAGTGACTCCTTTAACAACTCATTAATAACAGATTCACAAAGAGCGAAAATATCCCGGACTTAGTTGAATACCTTCATGTCGTCAACTCGATACCAATGGCTGCTGGGATTCATCACCAGGCAAAAGTAATGCCCGTAATGTGAAGCATTCGATTCATTCACGTGGACAACAACGGCATATAGATTGTAGTGTGGAGGCCTGTCCCCATTCTCACTCATATATGGAGTCAAGTCCAGAATTTCAGGGAAAACGACCTCCTTCGTCAACTTCTCATATCTGCCGCCCTGCAAGGGCGCATAACACATTCACCCGATTTCTCTTAAGTCACAAACTCCTCTTTCTGCAAAATCATCAAAACATCAGTAGCAACCCAGAAAGTCTGAATCCAGGCTGACGGCCCATTGCTATCTAATATGGAAATACAACTGCGGACTGAAAGCTGGACCAGGAAGAAGATTGGCAAATATATCGAACGATCAATCCTCAAATGTACAATAGTCAGCTAAGTACGAATCAAACCGGCGCACCTTGAATCGCTTAAGCGTAACAACAAGGACGTTGGGCGCCTCATGCACCGCTATCCGCTTGTACGCGTCCACATAAGCATCACAACTGTTTAAATTTGACAAATCAGAAATAACGTAAACCTGACCAAATGCTCCAATATCAAAACCTGATTACACAAGTGACGTGTGTCTAGTCTATCTCATTCCATTCTCGTTACGTAAACGCTACGAAGCTAAATTTCTAAATCACCAAGTACTCGGGGTGGAAAGGGAAAGACAAACCGGTCACACTTATACTTGTTCTCGCCATGCAAGAATTCATGAGCTGAAAATTGTGCAAGAGCATCCTCCAGAGATCGAACATTTCTGTTGATCTCCACTGTCAGATCCATCATAATTTCATAGCTATTGGATTGATGACGGCACTGTTTGCAAGTCACCTGCAAACCAACCCAATAGCACACGCTAATACCATGATCCACGTTGGTTGCTGCAATTGATGTACACGCTACAATTATGCTGAGGCGTAAATTTTAACATCAAAAAAACTTTACGATAATGAAGCACAAATGCCGAGAATTCCACGCAAGATTAACGAAACACATCCTAGCTTACACTTCCTTAACAAGTTCGGATCTTTAGCTGGGAATTATTTTGTGAGAATTGCGCGAGCTACATTACTATTGATTACCACTTTTTCCTAAATAAACTTGGCACCTGACGCTCATGAAACTTGGAAACCGCGTGCGTATCAGATGCCAGGTTTACTTCGGAAAGAGGACATCAGTAGTATCCTACAGCTTCATGACTGCTATCCAACACTGCGATAAGTGGATACCTCGTCCTGAAACTTATGAGTGACAAAATTCCCTCACAGGCAATATAACCATGAACTTCTAACTAAAAGGTGATCATTCTTGAGGTGATAGCATTTAGAAAGGAAAGAGCTATACCTGGGACTGCAAAAGCCCACCAAATATATGGTGTATGAGGGTAGTCTCCTCAGTACAAGCATCCACAGCATTTTCTCCACCAGCGCCATCCAGGCAGATAGATTGCATCAAGTGAATCGCAGAGCTATCATAACAGATATCACCTTGTCAAAAGATAGCCAACATTTGTATAGTAAAATCGAATCAAAAACCTCTCTTGCGGCAAAGAGAAATTTGCTTATAAACTAAAATCCCAGTCTTTATTTTATCTCATTGAGAAATATAACAAGCAAACCTTAGAACTTTATGAAGGAATATCGAGAAAAAAATTAACTGTAATTTTCTGACGAAGAAAAGAAAATATTGGCAGAACTAACATCATAAACTCATGAGCGTCTTCTTGATTGCCGAAATCAAGACCTCTACCGATATTACTTAGATGCGATAGTATATTCGATGGGGAAAAAGGTCTCTGTTGAATCACTTTGACAGCATGCTGTTGCAGAGCACACATAAAACACCAATCCACACTCTTACCTGCATGGCAATAATAGGTATATCACTTCAAAATAGCATATTGTGGACGAACCGAATCCCCACTCAAAAATAGGTATACACCTTCCAACACTGAAACTGAGAGCTCTGGGGGGTTAGTGACATCAAAAATTGAAACAATGCACTTACAATGTCTACCATGATCTCCACCAAGCAGGTACGCAACCAAGGGCTGTGTGTGCGTAAGACATTGTAAAACAGCGTTAGCGAAGCAGCTGCGCAGACAGAACCCTTATTAAAACGTCAGTCATGTCCGGATTCACGCTCGTGACTTTGAGACATAACTTACAGATGGCCATACATCACCAACAGCAAGCCCCAACAGGTCCCTTTATTTCAACTTCAAGGACATAACTAATTACATAAATTTGGAAAATCTCTGATAAAATTAGAGCATCCTGAGATATCCATTAATAACTTAGAGATAAGTAGTACCTGTTTCCGCAATTCACCAAACCACAAGGGAGAAATTTTATGTCCGTGTCGAACAGCTCTATAAAGTACTCATAAGGAAATAACATCTGAACACAAAAGAACACAACCAAGAGTTTAACCAAGAGGAAGAAAAAAGCATGTAATTGAAAGACTCGGTAATTAGTACTCATATCGAATTTTGGCGAACACAAGTTTGGAGCAAAACGTTCACGCAAGGACGCATGTGTGTTTCTTGGAGAGACAGCACTTACTAGTAAATATATATGATAAAGAATATCCCAACAGTAAATGTTGTTATCAGAAGGTGAACATTACATACTAAAATAAGGCTTAGACCAGATCCCTTCTCTTATCACATACATCACCAACGAAAATGTGTACCACAACGGAAACCAGGGTGCTATCAAAACATTTGAAGAAGTAGGAGTCTACATTATGTCGCATACGATCTGCATAATCAGAATTTTGAACACTTCAAAGTAGGAATCTGCGTAAACCACATAATTGCAGGAGGCGCTTGAAGCACGGCAATCAAACATATCTACAGATTGAGGTCTTGTGACGGTGTGGGTGAACAATAAAGGAAGCATCGCCACTGATGCGGAACTGCTCCTTTACCTCATGCAAGACGCAAATTCTTACAGTTGAAATCCAAGCCACCTGCTTAATCCGCCCACCTCAACTGCGCACCACGTCTCTCTTTTAAATTCGAACCTTCTCCCTACGAACTGGTTGCTTACAGATGTGAAGGTAATATAAAACAGGACCTTACAAACAAAATAATACGTTGTTCTCATCTAACATACCTTCTTAGGTTTAATGCGGCGTCCATCTGATAACAAAATTGAGGACGTCTTCAGCAACGATCCCGGTTGAGGAGAAATTGGGGCAGAATGCGATACCATAGGAGTCTCGTGGGTAGGTGCAGGGGAAATAGCAGGGGAAATAGCAGGGGATAGAGCAGGTGAAAGCAATGGTGCTACAGATTCATCGATACTCGTGTTACTTATTGAGCTCCTTGGTGTGAGTGAGTCAGAAACATCCCGATTATCGCCATTTGAGCTTCTAGGGCTGCTACTAGAATCAAATATACGACAGTCATTCTTGTGCCCACCATGCCAGTGTCGTTCTTGACATTCTCGAGAGCTGGGCACACGTGGTGGAATAAGTAAGAACCTTCCAAAGAACAAGGTTTGAGAAGGAGAGATAAATGAAAATTTTCATACTGCAAACCAGCACCGAAACGCTCAATACAATGAAAAAAGTACCAAGTACCAGCAACTCAAAGAACATAATTCATATTATTAGGGCCACGGCCTTTTCTTCAGACACGGAAAATAGCCCTAAAGGAGAAGAGATTACGAGTGGGCTAGTAGTGAAAATAAATAAATAAAAAGTAGGAGTCTCTCGAGAATGCTAAATTTAATTGTTGTAACATCGTGCACCACAAAGACACAGCAACTATGGAATAAAAAATGGAGCTGATACCCAGCTGTGAACATTAGAAACCGAATGAGAAAAATATAGAGAACTCTTCATTTGACAAACTCCAACAAAGTTCCACCCGCTTTACACCACCTCATATACAATCGTAACTTCAGTCGCTCAAGTTATACGTTCTTGGTTTAGGAGGTCACTTAAAAAGATTACACTTCCTGAGCGAATTTGAAATAATCGTCTAAGATTAATTTGAAGGAGTTACCATGAGCAAAAAAATGGGGATGAGAAAATTGAGAACAAGAAATACCAGTAAAACACGGCTTTGCATCTGGAACACCTTCGTTTCGTTCGTTGGAGACAAACGATGCAAATATAACCTTGGGTCCTTTTTGGACTGCTTTCCACCGCTTCCTTACTCGTATAATCCTTTTTCTCAGCCAATAATTTGGCTTGAGCTTCGAGCGCAGCTCTCTTGTTATTCTCATCAATTTCGGCAAGTCTCTTCTTCTTTAGCACTTCCTCATCTTCATATCTCTCTCTGTTTTCCTGTAAAAGTTTCCTCTCTGCCTCTTGTGCAAGGATCCTCCTAACCTCTGCATCAGCTATTTCTTTTTGTCTAAGTTCCTCCTCAGCCTGAGCTTGCTTTCTCCGGAGGTTCTCCAACTCAGCCTGTTTTCTCGTGTTATATTCTCCAGCTTGTTTGACACGAAACTCCTCCGCTTCAGCTTCTTTCCTTTCCTCCGCCCAACTTCTCCGTCGAATTTCTTCCTCGCCTTGCTTTCTGGAATAATTTTTAGTACCACCAACTATGTAATCCTGGTCCAATTGCGCACGCCTCGGGTAAACAAATCCAGCCGCTGGCTGATTCCGGTAATCAGCTCTGTAATCATCAACTGGCTTAGGCTGAGCAACCTGCCTCTGACGCAGGGATACCTGGTGACGATTGCAATCTTCATACTCTCTCTCCACTCTATCCTGCACCTCCTTCGCTAACTGTTGGATTCTAAGGGCCTCGATCCTGCGAAACTCGCTTGACTTCACACTCCACTGAAAGCAGCCCCATAGTACGGCAAAGACTATGAGCAAGGGAATTAAGACCACAGCTGGGATTGATGCGTCCAACAGGTCCTGCATCGAAACCTTTTTCTTTCTTCCCCACCTTGCCGGCATTAAGCCTTCTTCAAAAGAGAAGTTGAGCCGCACGTTCACTACCTCAAAAACCCTACTCACTCTAACACCTTGTGGAAGTCAATGATACATCTGGAGCAATGAAATATCGGTAAGAAACTACTATTGTCAAGTCCCTTCTGTTGCCTAACCATTAGCTTGCTCAATCATCGAGCTTTCAGTTCCGTGCCCTAGATCCCTTCGATTGCACGTACTGTACGAGAGAAAGTGTAAGAATGGATGAAGCATTCAAATAGCACTGTCCCGATCCAAACCAACCATGTTGTTAGAGGTCGTGACTCATGAAACACAATTTATACGCTAAAGCTACTGAGCGAAACTTCCAAGACAAGCAATCTAATGAACAATAGAGCGAAAACACCAGAACTTTTGCTCTCCCCCAAAGTGAAAGGTCTTGGGAATCGCACCAAGACTCTGAGTAAAAGTCTTCGATGGAGTGGGAATGAGACTACAGTATGAGCTTATTGAAATCACAAAAATGTGTGCCGCCCATGGCTTTGGCTCAGTAGCCAAAAATGCCCCCGCACTAGACTGACGTCGCTGTTTTCATCTTCTTACGAAAATGCTTCAAAGACGTCTCAAACTTTATATCACAGAATTCGTCCAAGACTTTGATCGTCAATCCTGCGGGAATTCAAAAAGAATCTAATCGTACAACATTTGCAACACTGCACAATTCAGAGGCCTCTCCTCACGAATAAATTCAGCTCAATTGTCCGCAGAGTTGGTGTCTTCAATGCACCACTCCCGCAGATCAATCACTACAACGTTCACTCCCGTTCCTCCCGTCAGCTTCCAAAAACCCACGACAAGCATTAAAAGGAGCGAATCAAGCGAAATTCTCTACCGCAGCTAAAACAAACTTCTACTATCGCCAATCTCCCTTACATCCTGTCCTACACTTAACAAATCCTAAAACGAGCCACCACCAGCACTTCCACGGCTCTGCGCTCCGTCCACCCCTCTTCTTCTTCGTCATCAACAGCTGGCGTTGCAAATCCGCAACACAGCTTCCTCGGGAACACGAAATCACAGCAACAAATTTGCTATTTCAACGTAATTTGGAAAAAGAAAAGAAGACGAATCAAGCGAGTCAAAGAAGAAACTAAAAACTGCGACAGCATGCAGCAGGCCTTGGCAGCTGGAAACGATCGATGTGTGGAGGCCGCGAGAAGAGTCTCCCTGGATAGCACAGCAACGCCACAGCAGAGCAGAGCAGAGCAGAGCGCAGCAAGCACCGAGCAGGAGGAAGAAGCTTAAAAGGGAGGAAGGAAGAAGCGGAGGGGGATGAACCTCGTTGAACGGGTCCAGGGCCAAGCCAGGCCAGGGGAAGGGGGAGTGGAAGTGAGGGAGAAGGCCCACCCCAGCCCACCCTTGGTGCCAAAGTCGCGGGTCGGGCAGCGCTGGAAAAGGACTCGTGCTACACCGGAGTCATGCCATTGGCTTTCGCATCTCATGCACATGAGATGATGATGCGATGAGTGTCTTTCCTTCCCCCTATCTTTCCCCTATCTTTCCCCTTACTTCCCTTTTATCTTCCCCTTCTCTCCCCTTTATTTTCTCCTTTCTCTTTCTATTCCCCTCCCTTTCCTCCCCCTTTCTTTTCCCCTCCTTCCCCTTCCTTTTCCCTTCCTTCTCCTTTCCGACTTTGTCCACTTTACAAGAAATTCACATGCATGTTCTAAGATTCCAACATCTTCTCAATAAATGAATGAATGTGTGAATAACAACATAATGAAAAAATGAAAAAACAACAACAAAATGTGCATTTGTGCCACCTTTGGGTACAAATGATGAATGATAAGCATGAGTATAAATGCAAATTTTGATTGTTAAATACTCTCTTTCTTGTCTTTGGAGATGTTGAGAAAAACTTATTGATTGATTCAAAGTGGTGGTGGTTTAGAATATGAATGTAAGGGGATTGATTTATTTGTTTATTAGAATGGCATATCATTTACAATGAGGAATCTAAATCAAATGATTGTAGAAATAAATAAATTAAACTTTATGGAATGCAAATTACCCACAGAATAATCACGTGGGTCATTTTTTTGGTTATGTGAAACGGTCTGTTTAAAGGACTATCGATGAAGGAACCATCAATGCAGTTAGAATCCTGTCTAAGATTTGTATTTCAGTATTTGAGTCTTTTGAAGATATTTAGACCTATTTTTGAAGGTTCATGTTAAAGGCAGATTTGAAACAAAACCGACCTAGTAGATTGAACTCAATCAAGTATAGCACAACAACAACAACAAAACAAATATATATATATATATATATATATAGGTAGGGATGATATTAGATTATATATATATATATATATATATATATATAAATCCCTTCAAATTTTTATTACGTAAAATACAAACACATCATTAAAGAAAAAGGAAGGGATCTAGGAGGAGAAGAAGAAAGACCAAGAGGATCAAAAAGAAGGAAATAAGACCTCAAGAAAATTTAAGCAATAGAAAAAAGAAATATATGTTTAGAAGAAATAAAATTTTGCATAATTTCTTTATATGCAAGAAGTTTAAGTCTTGATTCTATTTTGGACTTGTAGCATTCAACAAATATAATTTCTTCATAAGCAAGAAGTTTAATTTTTAGTTCTATTTTGGATTTGTAGCATTCAACAAATAATACAAGTATATTCTAAAAATAAAAATACTTATTTGTATACCTTACTAAGCTATATTTTAGTCATATTGTTTCATAATGTCTTATTCAACTTGTTTTCTTTATGCACTTTTTTAAAATATATATATTTTTTACTTGATTTTTTGTCAATCCAAATTATTTCTTTTATCCCTTACAAAATATTTTAAAGTTCCAATCTTAAAGAAAATATATATCTTAATCTAATATCATTCTTATTTATAGTTAGATTTTTCTCTTCATTTATTCTACTTATTTAGACAAGATCAACCACATTAACTTGGGTCAAATTTGTACTTTATAATCTAATCATATTAGTCTAGTGTAGAGTTTGAACTTAAGAAATTACAATGGAGTCAATAATTTTTTATATTAGATTAGCTAGAAATTTTTAATTAATTAATTAATAACTATTTGGAATTAAGTAGACCTTTCAATACACTAAACCAATGACTATAATATAAAAATAGCTTTAATATTTGGCTATTGTGTTTAACTTTAAGTACTAATATAGTAAAAATGATGTATCAAATATACATATATGCAAGGTATAATTGTGCACCTTATAAGATCATAATTTTTAAAAATTAAAAATTAAAATAATAGTATTGAATATTATTCTTAAAATTCAAAATCCAATGGTTCAATCATTTGGTATTTTAGGATCTAAAAATTTCATAGCAAATTAGTATAGAAAAAATTAGAACTTGAATTCTACATATAAAAAATATAACTTTATAAATGAAAATAAAAGAAAAAAGAAAAAAAGAAAAAAAGAAAAAAATAGTAACTAAATAAAAAGATATATTAGTTGGAAAAAAATACTTTCTTGAATTAGTGTAAAGAACAATCCAAAAATGACTTAATAGATATGTTGTATTTAAGATATATATCCAAAAATGAAAAAAAAAAATAACACAAGTATTATAAAAAATAAACCTACTTGTTTAAAATATAATAATATAAATTTAGAATGTAACAATTAACTCAATCCAAGTAGTTCAAACTTGCAAGTAAATAGAAGTTGAACAAAAGAAGACTTAAGAGTAAGTAACATATGTCCAAGTAATGATATAAAAATATAGAAGAAGGTGGTAAATTTTACAACTAAGAATCATTGACCTATTAGTTGAACTTGATATTTTAGAATGTACACAAAAATCATGAATTAATCAAACTATTAACTTAGAGAAATTATAGATGAATAAATAATAAGAATCATGGTCTACATAGATACCCATATCAATTGTTAAAATATTTCTAATAGTGTTCAAACAAAGATTATATATGTTGTACTTTTATATTTAATTATTTAAATTTTTTTAATATTTTGGATACAATAATATGTTATAATATTATAAATTTCATAAATAAAGCATCTTTTTTATTGTAGACCAATTAAAAAATGAGTAAATGAATAACCTTATATGTTGTCTTATAGATCCATAATGCTTTCCAAAGTTTGTCATTCCAATTACAACTATAAACCATCCAAATAATAATTTTGCATAACAATCAATAAATTTTTGTAGATTTATTAACAATCAAATTAATTTTTTGGTGTTTGAATAGATATATAATTTAATTAATTATTCTATTTAATTAATTCAAAACAAGTACTTCAATGAATATTTAATTATTTTGATTAACCAAAACATATAATTAAGTTTTTGAAGATGAACATGTTTGTTTTTATTCCATCATTAAATTTTTTTGTTAAAGTATTTGCCCATTAGGTTGAATAATCTATAAGAACCAATTTGTATACCTTTTTATTTTTGTCTTTGGATGGTGGAGCAATTCATCTTACACAATCAATTCTTTATTTATGAAAAGAAAATAAAGCCAATATTATAATAAAGGATATAGCCACTTTAGCAATATATTTATGTACATGATGACAATGATCATACTTAAAAGAAAGTTGGTGAATGTCTTTATTGGCTTAAAGATTCTTTCAATTAAGTAAAGTCTTGCTTGACCGAATTTGTTATAGTTGATTCTAGTCAATTTAGTGATACAACTAATTGAGAGAATTAAACCAAGTTAATACCTCGGTAGGACAAATATCTATTTGGGTATCCAACTGTTCAATTGAGATCTGTCAACAAGATTTTTTGGAGCATCACAGTTAACATAAAATAAAAAAATAAAAAGAAAGTGAATCATTCATTAAACAACACCAAAAATTGTAAACTATACAAACAAATCAAAGTGACTTGCATTTTGTGGTGGTTGGAAAAAAGTTCCAAAGACAAAGCATTTACTAACTAACAATAATCAATTTATTTTACTCTTTGGAATTCATGCACTGAGTTGATTCTTCTCAACAAACAAATAAGCTTACTAGAGAATCTTATTTAATTAATGAATACTTATCAGCTGGCAATTGGATTTCTGAAGGCTTCTCTTACTACTGAATTGACTTGTACACTGGTTCCGATTGCTGCTCCCTTAAAACTGGTTGCTGGATTATACAAAACTGATTCACTCCTCAATCGCCAACATATTCATCCCGGTTCTTGCTATGAGCTAGTGCTCTGAGTATTGAACTTCTACCAAAAGATATTGAAACTGAGCTGATTGTGGAATCCTCGTGAATGGCGGTAGGTGTTCTAATAAACTCAGAAGCCTTACAAGGCATGCGAGAATCGAGGCTCTTCTTTTCGCTCCAATACGAGAGTTAGATCCTCGGTCGTCCACCACGATCACTTGCAAATAATCCAAGTCATCTTCGATGTCTGAAAGACTCTCTCTCTCTCATCTAACTATTCTAAGCAACTCCAACCTTATTTTTGTAAAACAAAATGAATCATAATTTTAATACAAAGAAAAAGAAAATAAAACTAAATAAGAATTTATAGGAGTCAATACAAATAAAAAAATTATATCTATAATTATAGTTGTTGCAAAAAAAACTAATATAACATGTTAAATAAGAGACTTTGTATTTACGAATGTGCCAAGAGAGTTGTAAGACTAGCTCAATGGTAACAAACAAAGTTGGAAGCATTGTATTATTTCTTGAAGAAAAAAAAATCTATAGACATATTATTAAATAAGATTCACATACTATAATGCACGTTTCTTGAGAAAATTAGAAGAATAATTAAAGAAGGTTTACTAAAAACCAATTTTTAATAAATCCAAGTGAACTATGAAAGATTTGATCTAATCTTGTTAAATCTTGTTAAATCTTCTTAAATCATCTAATTTAAACAATGAAATAAATCTAAGACAATTAAATTTGATTTGATACTTAAATAAAACATGTATTAATAATTAAAAAGGTCTTAGAAGATAAATTACTTAGGTGTAAGGGTCTATTTTAAATAAATAAAGAAAGACAATTTTTTTTTTCATGAGATTAAAGATCTGCTATATATTTTATCGAATATTAAGAAGATTTTTTGTATAATTTTAATTATCTTAGTAAAACTATATATAAAACAATAGATTTTATTTTTAATTAAAATTTTAAAGTAAGCCCTAAATATACTAAATTATTTAATGTTGCAAAAAAATAAGCAAGGTGTGACAATTTTGTTTAAATGTAGGATCAAACAAAGATTATACTTATATTATGTTATTCAATATATATATATATATATATATATATATTTATATATATCTTATTTAAATTACTTCTTTTCTTTATAATAGGGTTGACTTTAAAATTAATATTTTTAAAGTTTAATAGAATTAGTGAATTGAAGTTATCTTTTTATTTTATTTTGTATGTTTAGACTAATCTATAGTAGTATGCAAGGTTGAAAAATTAATATTTCATTTTGATAAGATCATCAATAATAGATGAAAAAATTATCATCATATTTATGTGTATATATATATATATATATATATATATATATATATTAACATAATACCCATTACTTTGTCACTTAAATTTTGAACTTATCTCAAACATTGCAATATTATTTTTTTTCATTTTTCTATCACTTTTTAAAGAAAAGTATGCAAATTGTATAATTTTTTAAAACTAGTTTTATATAACATGTCTAATAATAATGTAGATAGAGTTTCTTTTATTTTCCATTCTTTATTTTATGTTATTATACTATTGTATATAATTTTATTACAAAATTTGGATATTATATCTATTTTTCAACAATGCAACCTTGAAGCCTAATTTTAAAATACATAAAGTTTATTAAAAATATACTAGAATATTTTATTCTAAAAATATATATTTTTGAACTGGCGAAGGCCATCAAAATATGTATCTTTTTTTTTTCTTTTTTTCTTTTTATTCAGTCCTAAAAAGCATAATTATTTACAAAAATATCTAATATTGAACCTTTGTACTTTTATTAGATTGTTACTAGTCATAAATATTATCTATTCCAAGTAGAATCTCTTTACATATATTTTAATTCCTTTAAGGTACTTTAATATCTTAATAATTATATCTATTAATATCAAATATTTCTTTTAAAAAACAAAAATAATCAACATTTACATCAAAAAAATTATATTTATATTTTATTTTTGATAAAAAGCTTGAAGGGGACTACTCCTTTTATGCTCTCTCTTATAAATATTCTAGTAATCCTAATAAATTAAATATATACATATACATCATGAATAATATGTATTCTAAAGAGTTTATTTAATATCTAACAAAGTTATTATGTGATATAATAAATAACATATGATTTAAGTTTACAATCTAAAATGCTAGAGGAGACAGTCTATATATATATATATATATAAAAGGAATTTTTAAATTGACCCAAATACTTGCTAAATTAACCCACCCATCCTGTCCATCATCACAGAATTCTTCATTTGTGGATCAACATTGGTCAGAAACCAGTTTTTTAAAAAATAAAAATAAAAATAAAAATACTTGGATCCTTAACCAATGATACTAGGTGGGTTGATTTAATAAATGCATGGGTCAATTTAACAGTTATATATCTGTATATATATATATATATATATATAAAGCTTAACCAACCACAAGAACCATTCAGATAGTAGGTCAAAAAGTGGGCAACATAGGAAGAACATCAAAGCAATAAAAATGGCAAGGAGAACAAAATATGACGTTAGCACTGTCAATGCCTTTGACTCTAGTCCCACGACCTTTTTTTACCATATTCACATCCTTTTTACCCACCTGCGGCTTTTTCGATACCCAAATGCTTTTTTTAAAAAGTTTTGTTTTTCCCCTTCGTCCCTACCTCCCGGCCCGCGTTGGGCAGGGAGCGAGAGAGCGGGAGAGGGTGGGCGCGGTTTTAGGTGCCAGTCATCTTTCTCGCACAAGCTTCCTTCCATGGCGACCTGAACCTCCCCTCCCTTCGTCCTCATCTGTGTGTTTGCGTGTGTGTGTGTATTGAATTCAGTTCTGCAGCTTATCGTGCTCGTTGTTTGTTTCTGTGCTCGTGGAATCCTTTCTTAGCCTGCAATGCAATGCAATGAGATAGACATTATTTCACTTGGTTTGAAATTAGTAGGAACAGTTTGATGCTCTCTTAGCTTCATTGATCGCGTCTGTCATTTTGTCTCTGGACGGAGGTGGCAAGGAAAGTCCCCGAGGATGTCATCTGTTGTTGAAATAGATGGAGTGGAATTTGAAGTGAAGGTCAAGGAGCCAAGGAAAGGACCGAAGAGTAAATTGGCGAAGAAGAAAGAGGCAGGCATTGCTTCCATTGGCGATGAGGATGAAGATGTGAAGAGCAGTAGCTTGGTTTCCACCAAGAGTAAGAGGAAGCTTTCGGGAAATGGTGGTTCTGGAGAGGAGGAAGAGAAAGTGACTCCTAGTTCAAGGAAGAGAGGGAAAATTTCGATGCAGGAGAGCAAGATTGAGAGTGACCACTTGGATGCTGATGGATTGAGTGCTAGGGACGAACTAGGTTTCGAGGTTCGAGCCGCTGAGGCAGATGACGAAGGAGAGGTGATCAAGGGGGAGGAAACATGGAATAGAGAGATAATAGCTTCCCAGGATGACGTGCTCTTGACACAGTTTTCTAGTGTTCAAACGCAAGAGGTGGACGAAGGGGATGCTTTGGAAACCCAAGAGCAAGAACGACGGATAAAACCTCGGGCGAGTGTTATCCTTTTTTTGCTCTTTTTTTAGTTTTTATTAAAAGAGAAAATATAACTTCAACCCCGTCTTCTCATTCCAGCTTTTTAATTTTGAGGCCGTAGGGGACATCTATATTTCCCGACAGTGTTACATAGTGTTGTGAGCGGTTATAAATCTCCATTGTAGAGGTTGTATTTGTTAAAGAAACTGAATGTTGTGATTTTCAAAATCATGAAGTTTCAAGATGGATCTATCAAGAACACACACAATGCACGAGACAATCCAGTTCAGCTCCCAGATGTCTGCTTGACATGATGATTATCAGCGCCTTGAACATCCTGTTGTGAACTTTTACAGGCAGCGTCTTCTCTACCTATTGTATTTGGTGAAAAAGTCAACAAAACCAAGGTATGCAAATCCATTCAGTAAAAACTACCATTTGAATTTAATGTTTAAGAGAATCTCAGCATTCTTCTAAGTCATCTCTGATTATTCAATTGTTAGTCTCATCAGCCTTCGTAGAAGATAATTTTGGATCAGCCATAATTATTGGTCCACACAGTGCACTCATGTGCATTTCATGGAGAGCACTTCGTCGAGGTTCCTCTTTAGTTTTGTACTAGCTTCTATTGCCAAGACAGACATACAAGTCCGACAATGAATGATGATTGCTTACAAACCTGCATGACTTGAGGTAGGTGCTGCTTGAGTGCGAGGGAGATGCACTAGATTTAAGCGGGGACATGGGTGCAGTTGGACGCTTCACTGTAAATCGCCGTGACAATGAGCTTCTTTTGGATTTGAAAGGTGTTTTTTAGACACTGGCTTTTCAGAATGTCTACAGTTAACCTCCTGGGCTTTCGCAGTTACTAATTGTGCTGAAAGAGATTGTTTAAGATGAGAGAGGTCATCGATTGGCTTATGATGCTCAGTGTTTGCTGTTTATACTATGTCCCTTTTCGTTTTTATAGAGCACTTCGGTCCACACTGCGCAGGTGTTATTTACAAGACAACGATAGTGCCTTCCAATACATTCTTTTTGGTGAGTTACTTTCGTCTAAACTGATTGTATTATTGAAATATCATTCACATTTGGTTTCTTCCTCTTCTCTAAAGCACTACTTGATGATGTTGAGTTTTATTCTCTCTAAGATTAGTGGTGGATGACAGGTAAACGTGGGACAGACTGATGCAAAGGTGGTTAACTGCGCCTCGTATTTGTATGCTGGTTTTGTTGCGTTACAATCACAAGCTCTGATGTGAATCCAAACATGGAGCAAGCTACATGACGACTTGTAGTTGATCCGACTAAGAGCACCGCTTGAATTTAAAGCTCTGATTTCTTTCCTTTGTCCCAATGTGAAAGAACCAATGTCTTTCTGAGGCTCTTTCTAATTAATTCAGATCATTGCTATGCCAGGTGGAATCCATTATGAGTGATTTTGTGCAGTTGCGAGCAGATACCATTGGCAAAGAGAACGAAACTGTGGTTGAAGGTTGGTGCCCAGCTATATTTAATTATTGTATAAGCTTCCGGTTTTGGGCAAAAGAACAAGAAGTTTGTCAATGTTCCTAACTGTGAAGCGACTGAAGCAAATCAACATTCTTAAGCGTTGTAGTGGACAGTCCGAGTACATCAATTTTTTGTAGGTTAGGGGTTTGTTCATCACTCTAATACTGCTGTATGTATATTATGTAAATGTGAGGAGGCTTTCATATTGGTCTAGAAGGATCTCTTCATCGTACGGAATGCACTGCAGGAACTTTACAAGATTTTACATTTGAATCTGATGAAGAAGGTGAGCGTCCACCAGTTGATGGCGGTGACTTACCTGCCTCTGCTGAAGAAGTAAAACATGAAGAAGAGGGTGCTGATGATGGCAAACAAGCAAAGAGGAAAAAACCTTCTGCTAAGGCCACGGTACATACAAAAAATTGCTTGCTTCAAATTTGTGTGGTCGCACTAAGGATTTTAAGACACGTAAAGATGACTAGGGGTTGTACTGTTTAGGAGGGTCTGTCTTAAATATTTTACGATGATTGATACTGGGGCGCAATTGAGCTGTAACCTGCTTGGGCACTCTACAATGTGGGCAGAATGGTGGTAAAGTTCCTGTGAAGAAAGCTTTGACAGTTAAATCGAAGGTTGGACGAGGAAAAGCTAGCGCCAAGGTGGGCAATGGAACTTGATAAAGCATGTGTTGTTTATGGTCTTGTCCTTCCAACTTGAATCTCGTAGTACCAACTTTCTTCAACAAGTTCATTGCATGCATTTCATTGCCTTACATAATCTTTAAGTAGCATTTCAAACCTAGCCTCTGTTGCTTTTTTACAGGGTGGGGTGGGAAAGAAACCTACTGCTAAGAAGGCCACTAAGGCAGGCACAGGCAAGAAATGATAGCAATTGTATTCATTATATACCAATAGAATTACATTTTATTATATGTATTTTCTCAAAGAACGGTGCTATTTATTTTAATAAATTCAATTCATTGAATGTGCATGTGATTTCTCAACCTATCCGAACAAAATTGCATTCGGTTCAGACGGATGACATCTGAAATTAAGGTTTGAACATATCAAAAATATGGTGCATAACATGATACGTTCAATGCAAATTGCAGATTTAATTTTGGGAAATGCTGGTCATATACGTATTTCTGTGTTTACCATCCGTAGACTAGATTAATCTACCTTAGTGTGTTAATTAAAATGTTGTTGACAATTAAAATGTTGTGTTTTTTGAAGTTGAAGTGTGGTTTTCTTAATTCTTTTGAAGATCTTTATTGTTTTGAAGAATGGTTAGGGGATAGCCAAATTTTACAAAGACCTTGTAATAAAGATTTGGGAAAATATCATACATACTTGAAATATGCAGAAATATCTAGAATATCTATGTATTCTTAATAACAGCAAATCTACTCCACGTTTGTGATAATTGCAAATCTATCCTTGGACACGATAAGCCATAGTCATCTTATTTTTTTATAGCTGCATTTGGGACTCAATTGTGTGTTACACAAATTTTGGCATAACACTTTTCTTCACATTTCAAGTCTTGCATGAAATGTAATCAATAACAATGTAAGTAGTTTTTTAATTTACTTATAAATAAATAAATAAATTGTACCATCAAATTCAGAGTTCTTGTGGCTTGGAAATTACAAATGACAACACTATTCTTTGACAATGCAGCTTATGTATCATAGTGTCTTATCAACCTTAGAGAGACTTTTATCTATAGATTCAAAGTTGAGTGAGTGAGTCTAATTCATCATCTTTTCTAGAGTTCAAATTTTCTAGGTTGCAATTTCAGTTCAACTTCGTGATTACATGGACTCTTTGGAGTAGTTGAATCAAATTGCATATGTTTTGTGCAAGCTAGAACCTACTTCTATTATAGACATTTCAGCATGTAGCAAGTTGGAGGGCTCTTCAAGTCCTTGATTGTTTTATTACCATTGCACAAGGAGCTGTTTGCAATGGCAAGGACAACATTATTCTTACCAACCAGTGGCACAAGTCTATCTATGAGCAATAGCTTGGACACACTCATTGCATCATTAGCAAGAAAATTTTGTTCAAAGTTCAATTTCTTCATATAGCACACAATATATAAATACCATGACATACTTTAGAAGAGAGGACAAGAAACTTGGAAAAACACCATTCTACAAATGAGTAATAAAAATGGACAATCTAAAATTCAAAGCCAATGCTAATATTGTGTAAGTAAATTTAAAAATCACTTATACTATAGCTGATTATATTTTAGGTGGAACCCAAAATGTGAGGAAAAGTGTTATGCCAAAATATGTTCAGCATGCAGTGGGATCTTAAATGTGGCTAATAAATAAATAAATAAATAAAAATGACTATAATTAATTATATTCAAGGGTAGATTTGCAACTACCACAAAAGTGAGAGGAAGATTTTTTAATATCTAGAATACATGGATATTCTAGATAGTGCTACATATTTCAAGGATATGTATGATATTTTTTCTAAAGATTTTGATAGTGAAATGCATACATAAATTTTGAAATATGCTATCAAATACAAATAGATTTGTCAATGTAATGAAGTGTATTAATTTCTAGCTCTAAAAAAAGTTAAAGTAAATAAATACACACAAAAAAGTAATAATTTATCACAACACATGTATATATTTAATTCTAATTTGTTGCTACAATACTTATGACAAAAATTTCTATGAATTGTATAACTTTATACATTTCATAGGAAAGTAGAATTCAAATATTTCAAAATAAAATCATCTTACTGTTGTTAATAGAAATATTATTTTTAAATATAGAAAAAAATGTAATTAAAAAAAATTATGTATTGATAGATACAATTTTTTTACTGTAATATTTATTAGCCAATAATAAACAAATTATATCTATATATATATATATATATATATATATATATATATATATATATATATATATATATATGTGTGTGTGAGTGTGTGTGTACATAAATGGTTTTTTTTTTTTGTTAAGAACATCTTTAATTAAAAATTGACATATTCAATCAATTTGATTATAATAGAATCTTGTAGTTATTACTATTTTATAAATATTATGAAAAGCATTATCTCATGTAAAAGTTTATTGTTTAGGATCTCCTACATAATTAAATCCAAAATTCTTAAATAACCACTTATATATAATTTGATCTAATTAGATCATATGTACAGAGTGTTAATTACTGATAATGCAAATTTTCTTAAATTTTCAAAAAATAAAAATATAAAATAAGTAATAATTTAATAATATTTAATCACTTAAAATATGTGTAAACTACATTTATATTTGATACTTAAGATTCAACATGTTAAAGTTCAAACACAACTTATTTTACAACCATATTTATGGTATCATATTTTTTTACAATCATTACTTTACAAATTTTAAAGTTGATTTCCATAAAACCATTCATTATCATAAAATAGATTGCATGTTGTGATGTTGGGATTGCAATTGTGTCAAATTTGATACAGTTTCTAAATATCCAGATAAGTTTTACTATTACATTCAGAAGGAAAAGTACAAAAGATTCTTAATAATAAAGTCTTGTACTTTATCACATGAGAATATATGTCTTTCTATTTGTTGTACAAATTACAAGCACAGTGCTTCCTGTGTGCTTTAGTTCTCATTCAGAAGGTTCATGAGATTTGTTGATTAAACTTGAGCAATTGAATGCAACTAATTTAAATCATTCAAATAAAATATCCATCACTGGAAAGTTTAGCGGAGAATGTTCGAAAGATTTAAGAAATTTTAAGTAAAAACCAAGAATTGTACTTAAACAACTGGGTTCAGTTTAGATAGGAAACTCAAAATAAGAAGGGTGGTGTTAATGCTGAATGAGTAAACCACACGAAGGCCAGAGGGCCTATGCTCAGCAATCATGGGAATACCTGGTGGAAAACAGAGATGGGCTTCATAGATGCGAAGGAACAAAACAAACGTAACAAAAAGCTTGACGAATGGGCATGGGACAGGTCTCAAATCTGGAACGAGGTTGGATTCTCTCCCATGCTTGAAGTCCAGGAGCCCACAACTTGATAGTCCATGTTCTTTGCTCAAATCCACGTATCCATTGTGGTTGTACAACAGAACTAGTGAAGTGACAACGATCCCCAAACGCAGCCTCAGGAAATAGAGCGGGACTATGGCAACAATGGACACAACCGAGGACAGTTCAACAGAACCTGGGGGTTTGACCATAGCGTGTGATGTTAAGATCCTGTAGGAATGGTGGTATCAGTTGAACTGGGTCTCAAAGGATCCACGGGTGCTCAAGTTGCAGGATTGTGTTACTGGTGAGTAGAACTTTTCCTGTAGATCGTGCACCGAAGGATTTGACATCGATTCTCGACTTCGTTCAAACTTCGTACTCTAGATTCAGCGCGTGTTGCCCGGAAGAATCAGGAGGAACTGCTGCGCAAGTCACTGCATGCAAGGAAAGCGGTTCAGGTTGATGTGTGGATTGGTTCCGCAAAACCTCGACATCTTCATTCCAGCGGGAATCACCGAGTGCACATAGCAAATATCATTCAGGTACGAAGCATCTCCAACCTCGAGGAGCTCTGCAATACGACCGTCATGTATGCGAGTGAGAATCGTCAAAGAGTTTAGTAGGTGGGGATGTAGAGAGTGTGCCAAACGCTCCAGCCCACAGCAATTGCAACAAGTTTGCAATAGCGCACATATCACCTTCGCACCCAAGTGTATGAAACGTGAAAAGCACCACCGGCTGGGAATGATGAATTGGGTTCCTAACTTCGTCGGCCAACGGAACCACTGGGACGTGAAGGTCGCCTCGGCGAATAGATCTACATGGGCCAATGCTCATGAATACGCAATACACAGAGTAGGACGAAATCCTTCTTCTCAGAACTGGCATACTGCCAGCACCACGGAAGAATCTTGAAAAAGTATTACAAAATGAAGGTGCTTGAAATAGTGGCACTAGTTTTAAGAGAAAATTCGTCTAGATGCAGAAGATTCTAACCGAGTTTTTCAGAGGTCGACAGCTTGCCACATAGGCACGAAACAAACTTTTCAGACAAGAAATTTTCCGTAAGTAGAAACTTAAGAAGTCCGATGTTCTTCTTGACCATTACGAGGTTGCCTTAGGTCTGTTGACTCTTAAAGAATTGGAAAATTTTAACAGGATGTGCAACATGCAACCCCAACAGTATCATCCCTTAAAAAAATTGTCGCTAATCAACTATGCTGACGAAGCTGATGTACGTGATTCGAAGAATGAAATCCCGGAAATGAAAGGACAATAAGGCTGTTCCATAAACATTGGGCGAAAGTTCGTTACGGAAATAAAAATTTCGACCAGCTCACGATCGAATTGAACATAAACTACGTTTGCGTTTTTACGACGTATTCGTTGAGAATACCTTCACAAAGATTGGTTTTCTTATAGTTGAGTTCATTTATTATAGAACGCGCTCCGAGTTGACTTTAAGATGTCATTCCAAGTTGAATGAACAATCAAGAAGTGCCGCATCGTCTATTGCGTGTTTTCGCACTTAAGATGTACGTCATCGAATAACGTACATCTCAAGTTCATTAGCTTAATGAAAGCAAACCTTATACCCATGTGAAGTTCTAAGCAGTGGCGTCATTGAAGGGATTTTGCAAGGGTAATGCAAGACCTATGTTACAAAAACCTGCAAACCAAAAATTACCTGCAGGGTAACGCTTTCACAAATAAATCAATGCTGTTCTTGATTTCCTGAAGGCTTCCCTTGCTGTTGCTGCATCTGCTGCAAAAGGGCCGCAGCGAGCTGAACTGTAGCCTGAAATCGTTTAGTCTGAGCGTCGGCATCACCACCATCATGATTCTGAGATGACACCTGTTGCTCTGAACCAGCACTAGCTTGTGGCACTGAACTTTCCCAACTACCTGTTGGGACATTTAAGGAGTTTTGATGCTGCGATTGAGACACGAGATTCGACAGTTGTGAATTTGCCCGACCTGAAGATTGTGAAACAGAGACCTGCCCCAAAGATGATTGTGAATATTGGCCATACTTAGGAGGCTGGGACTGCAAAGGAGGACCATGGGGAAGTCCCGGAGGAGGTTGATGCTGTGGCTGGTGTTGTTGAGGCAGAGAGCCCAGAACTTGTTGGGGTTGCGATGCAGCAGTCGCTTGACCGCTCGATGAGGTAGATTGGTGTTGGAGATGCTGCTGCAAAAGATGTGAAGCAGTCTGTTGCTGAGAAGTCTGCTGCTGCCGCTGAGTTAGCAAAGCAGTGAGCTGAGCTAACTGATCACTAGGAAGTTGGGGAGGTGGACCCATTTGTTGTTGCGGAGCGCCCATGGGCTGCTGTGGTGGTCTGGGTATTAAGGGGAGAGGAGGAAATTGTAGGACACTAGATACGGAAGGGCCTGGATATCCATGTTGTGCAGGAGGTCCAGCAAAGCTAGAAATCTGCCCTGATGAAAGTGGGCCTGAAATATGACTAGATTGGGCTTGAAGTTGCGTACTTTGATGTGCTGATTGCTGTTGAGACTGTTGAAGATGGAACTGCGTAGAAGGATTTACATAGAGACTATGTTGTTGGGAAGGTGCTTGAGATGTGTACGTAGTGCTTTGATCTGCAGCTTGTGAATGATAATTTTGAACTCCAGCTTGAGATCGGTCCTGCTGGGTATGCTGCTGTAGCCATCCTTGAACTGATGTAATTGGAGGATTGCTCTGCGATGGTCTAATCATAGGCCTCACATCACTTTGTAATAGAGAGCCTCCTAGCGGTTGAGTACTCCCGACTGGTAGAACCGAGATACCGGTAGGAATCTTCAACACTTTAGAAGCAAGAGGAGGCACCACGTTTGAGTCGGTGCTGGAAGATGCCTGACCGTTATTAGTTTTGGGCAGTAATGCCGTAAGGGATGCAATGAGCTCAGGAGTCAGGACACCCGGTAATCCTGCAATGCTTCCTAACTGTGCTTGCGTCAACATCGGTCTACTATTGGAGTTCGAGATAGGAACACCGCTTGCAAGGCTATCATTCAAAGAAATGGAGGTAGATAATCCTGTTTGCGCAGGCTGCTCATCGTGAGGAAGAGAATGATGAAATCCTTGATAAGGAGCAGGTTCCTGAATTGGTAATACGTGCTGCGGTAGTACCTGGTTTTGTGAATATAGCGACTGGGAAGCCGGTGCATGTTGGGAGGGAATTTGCTGCTGGGGATAAGGAGGATGTGCTAAAGAGGAGATCTGCTGTTGCTGCTGTGCAGATAGGTTATAACTTATTACCGGTGCTGAAACTGGTTGAGACTTCAGAACGACCCCAAACAGGCAATTATCCCCAGGAACCTTTAATACCTTCTCTGAGAATTCAGATGGAGGAACAAGGAAAAGAGTTGTACCATCAGACAGTTTAGCAACACCAGCACGGTGTTTCTCCCCCAGATAATGCATAAAATCTTGATATGGTGGGACGTCGGGATCCCCCTCAGGTACGAAGAACACAACACCAAATCCTCCAGCTTGATATACATGTTTCGCCAGCATGTCAAGGTCTGTGCGCGCCGTACAGTTCACAACATCTGGACTGTTGCAAACCACAATTCGAATGTTCAATGTCAAGTAAACGAATATGTTCGGCACATGTTCACATCAATTTTCAATCTACGACCTGGAGCTAGAACATGCTCCTCCACAACGGGGCACCCAAGCTATGAGACAAATGCAAGGGAAGGGACACAAGAATCACCAGATCTTGAAACAAAGAGAATAAAAACAATACGATAGTAACGTACACAGTTGCATCAATTCCTTTGCCGACCGGCAAACACCGGGCCCGACAAACAGGAGTGCCACCTTTGGCTATCGTGCCGTGCCATTGCCATCCTTCTGGTTCTTTGACATCCTCTACGCTATGTTTCGCATAAGTAGAAGATATCGGTATTACAGATGAATTAGGAGGCGGTGCATGTCCAACAACGGCTGGTCGGCTTCCAATAGGAAGAGAATTATTACTCTCAGCTCCAGGAAGTCCTACACGAGGTCTGCTTCCCAACCCGAAACTATAATCTGGTGCAGCTGGTACACGCAAATTCTCATAATTATTGGAAACTCCCGTCCCAACGTAGGATCCACTATCAGAACTTGGTTGTGGACGCTGATCATACCATGATTCTAATCCAGGAGAGTCTGCGCCTCCTCCAGGATAAACACGCAAACGTTTGGATTCTCTGGGTACAATATCTGCATCGGGCAAATCCCACGCATCATCATACGACGAACGGCTGTCAGGCCTTATACCCCTCGAATACTCTAAGTCGTCTATATGAGACACGTTTCTGTGAGATGTGCGTCCCATCCCAGGCTCAACGTCCGACTCCCTCGAACTCCCACGATCTACAAGGCCAGCCATAAGAGCGTTGGGTCGATACTCTGGCCTAAGTCCACCTAGTCGTGTACTGGGATTAGCAGAGGTCCTGCCAGGGCTACCGAACCTATCAATCGCTGCTGGAGGCATTCCCCTTGGACCCCCAAGCACGTCTGTCGAAAATCCTTGACGATCTGCTGTCCGTGAAGGTGGGCCATCCCGTGGACTGTCAATCGGACCGATCTCACTCTTTGAATATCGGATGTGTACACGAGGATCATCAAAAAGTTTCCCATCCAAAGCGTTCTTTGCACGTGTGGCCTCTTCAACCTTTTGAAACTGTACAAACGCATACGTACGCCCTGGAAATGTCTTCACCCGTTCAACCTCTCCGTATGGCATGAAAGCTCTTCTTAATCCATCCTCGTCAACTTTCGAAGGTAAAGGAAATCCCACCCATAGGATTTCACTAGGACCTCCATCTTTATCGGCTTTAACACGTCCTTCTACTCCATTACCAGACCCCCCCTGCACAAGAAGCAACTTCGGAGGTCACAAAAAAAAAAAAAAAAAAGAAAGAAAGAAAAGAAAAAGAAAAAGAAAAAAGCGACAATTTGAGGTGGCATCATAGACAAGATTGCAATTCAACTGTAAGAGAGATAACAATAAAACTACAAAACAATAATCCTAAGTATTATTAAATTCATACAAACCTGCAATCCATGCTGAGAATTGTAACCATCTTGCGAGCTTTTCTGGTCTCCCCGTGAATCCTGCTCCACGAGTTCAGAGATGTAGGAAATAAACCAACAATATCATAACATTCAATCACCAGATAAATCAAGTGCACGACACATTCCCCATTCATCATTCCATTTTCAATTTAAAACGCACAATCATCTCTACCAAACTTAAGAAATTAGAATAAGAAATTAGATAGGATAAATATCAATGATAATCGAATAATCGAAGACTTACATGAAGCATATGATGCATGTCCACAGCTTTCCAGCGATCTCTATTCGTTCAGGATATAGCTTACCCTTTTGGAAGGCTGCGATCGTCCGTAGTCGACACGCAACTCCTCGTCACCGATACGCTTCCGATTAAGTGCTTCTACTGCATTGACAGCATCCTCAATCCTAATATAGTCCACAAAAGCACAATTCCGCTCTCGTAATAATTTGAAATCTTCCAGAACCCCATAATTCCTAAATTCGCCTTCAATTTGCTCCTTAGTCACATTTGGGCTTATTCCTCCAACCCAAAGATGTCGGCTTTGTGTGGCCTGCACACGAGTAGACTATCGACTAAAGTTACAGTGATGAACAGCATGCGTTATCAGAGGCTAAACGTTAAGCCATATTGTTGGTCTACACTTAAACTTCTAACAGGATATGTAAAAACACTCTTACGTTTGTAGAAGGCACTTCCAGGTCAATTATATTTTAAGCGTTATATAACTGCATCATGTAGTTATTATTTGTTTAAATGGTATCACAAATTGACCCTCTTGCTGATATGATGAACTTGGTATCCAACCAAAATGAGGAGGGTCCGCATGCTAGTTGCACAAAAAGCCGTACTCTTGCTGCAACTTGTTCCTCCATGCATTTGACGTGATCAGAATCTTTATCCCGATATCTCGCAAGCTCAGATAGCATATTACGCTGAACATAATAAGAACCAATCTCTACCCGAAATCAGCATTTTACTTCATGTTTTCCCGTTATATTCTCAAATTTTGCAAACTTATTGCAAAATCAGTTAATATACTGCAGAACCATAATCCGGCACTAGAAAATGAATGAAATGTAAACTATTTGAAAGTTAAAGTACTAATGATCATTAGAGGTGATTGCAAAAAGCTGTGGAAAGTTAATAAAAAGAGCCTTAAAAGATACATAGAAGAGTTGATGCTCACCCCTTTCGCGTACTCAATACGAATGGCCATACCACCAATAACAAAGCCTTGAAGCCGGTTTTTCGCCTCCACAGCGTCATGGAGGTTCCTGAAGTTGACAAAAGCATAATTCCTAGAAGAGTAGACTGTAACGCTATCAACATCCCCAATTTGAGAAAACTTCTCCCTGATGGCAGCCTCTGTGGCATCGTGGGAAACGTTCCCTATCCACAAATGTCTGGAGGGTGGTGTGTCCTCATGATCGTCTCTACCATGGTGACCAGGACGAGACAAAGGTGATGAGAGACCTTGCCGCCGATCGTCTACTCGCGGACCATAATCTACAGGGAACCCGCCCCTTAGAGCTGGTGCCCCCTGCACAACGCAAAACAGATGAGTTCCATGTAAGTGTGCAGAGGAGAATAAAAGAGGGTACCGAAACGATGACTCTATACTGAATCCAATCAAACAAAACCGTTATCAGAAATACCACTCTGCCGTTCTCGAACACTACATACACACTTGCTCAAAGAATGCCACTACTGTAGAGACCCACAAGTAAACGCCGCACACACATGCAAAAGCAATCAAAATTCTGTAAACACACACTGAATAAACTGTATGCGAGTTAGCGTGTATTTGATATGCAAGAGAGGCACATATTTTAAAAACTCTGTTTCAACCATGCTGAACCAGAAAACCACTATTAATCCCAAGCTTGTCCGAAGTATCAATTCATACTCAAGTGCTAACTTAACCTTCCGTAGACAGTTGTTCAATTTCTTCTTCGACCTCAAACACTAGAAAATTCAATTTATCTTATAGTCTTACCACAGGGGGGATGCCTCCAGGCCGACGAGTAGCCATCTTTCCGTTTTCAGGGCCAGTTCTGAGTTGCATGTCCAACGCGCGGACCGTCGTCTCTAGGCCTCATGCACGCTCCACCTAAAATGTTTAGAAAGTAAGGAGGAAAAAATAACTGAATAAAAATAATTAGCACAAAACGGAACGACAGAACTCATCCCCCTAGGCATATCATCTTCCAACACAAAGGCTTCAAAATCATTACACGAGTTCAGATGAGGCCAACGGAAAGGTACTACAGCTACTGAAAAATCCAAATTAGCAGTTCGTATCCCCGCCCCGCGCCACTTCCATCTACATGTATACTCCCTCAAACTTAACAAACCCTAACCTGTAAGGCACCCCTCAAACCACTACACCACACCTACATTAACATAAACCCCCTGCGCCAAGGGCTATCAAACTAACAAACACACAAGCACAGAAAACCGAGGCTCAAACCTCAAAACCACGACCCCCTTGATCGCACCAGATGTGCGACGTCTGCAATCGGAGTGAAGGCAACCCTAAAGTGGAACGAAACAGGGAGCATGGCGCTAAACTAAACTCGCGGCTAAACTCGAACGCTTAGCACAAACCCGACGAAGCGGAATGATACGCAAAACGAGCAGTAAGCACAAGTGCGGGATAGGACTACCTGGTAGAGTAATCACACAGGCTGTGAGTGAACAACACGTTTCCCTACGACCACAGCGCACGCCGCTCCGCCCATGCAGCCACGAGCCCGAGCTGCGAGCGGCATTGAGGTTCCCGAGAGCTTCGCCCCATAACGATATTCTCGTAGTAACAGAGCCTAGGATTCCTATGCTGCCCGCTTGCCTCCGCACCTTTTACTTTTTCCTCCAAGGAGGCGAGTGTTCACGTATTGACTATTGTATTTTTACTATCTGTATCTCCGGGTATCAATAGTCAACTTTTTCATGGACTTTCCTGTTTCGTGACACTTTAAAGGATGGAATGATGGTTCTTCACAATTGGTTGAAAGTGTGATTAAAGTGGGACAAATGGGTACTTTAGGTGAAGTATATTAAAATCGTAACTTAAATCTACTATTAATTCATGTTCTTATTATTATCTAATATTAATTATTCCTGTTTATTCTTGTGGTAGTATCTTTTCTGTTCGCAAAAAACAACTCAAGGATTTTAATCTTACAATATATTTTCTAGCTTTATTTCTCTCAATAATCAAGGCGGAGGGCAAGGCGGAGGGTATTTTCGATTTTCTAACACTTCCATAATGTTCTGTCCTAGCCTCCACAGAACTATCCTGTTCAGGTTCTGATTCAGGTTTTGCATTTGACTCAGGTTTGGCCGATAGCTCAGGCACTGCAGTTGACTCAAGTTTAGCAGGTAACTCAGGCATTGCAGATGAATCGGGTATTGCACTTGACTCAGGCTTTGCACTTGACTCTGCCTCCTCTGCAAGATTGGGATACTGTCGTTGTGCATAAGGGTTACTTACAGAGCTGTTACTTCGATTGGGATCTCTTATGATGGGAGACCTCCGAACAAGACCGTTCTTAGGCATTGCTACTGCAGCCGAAGGCAAATTATCACGAACGACCTGACTCATGTTCGCATAATCTCCTTCATGATTACCCGGCACCAAATCGAATGACCATCTACGAGTTGCGGTCGATCCCGCAGACTCCGGATGGGCATTGCCAGTGCCTAGGGGAGAAAGGGCTCCCAACGTAGGCATTACTGGGTCCGATTGCATCCTGTGTAGTCCGTACCCTTCCCTGCCCAGTCGAGAGGGCGAGCTATCGAAGGCGGGGAAGGACTCAGGAGGTGGTGAGCGCTGGGAAGGACTATTTTTACGACCATAATGATTTTGTGGTTGGGAATTGACATAATCGCTCCGGTAGGTCATTCTTTCATGCGCATCGAGTTTAACGGGAGCCACCGGAAGTTCGCGAGGCGAAGCAGCGGGCGCTTCTGAACGAAAATCAATAATGCTTGGCTTTAAGTCGTTGGAGTGAGAAGCCTCACCATGCTCTTGTGATAGACTGGGGGAAGAAAGCGGTTGGCTGTAAGCGATGGACTTCCCACGAGATTGCCAGTCCGAGGCCGAAATAGCTAGGTCCGCAGGCTTTGACACACCTATTAATTCATAGAGCGTTTTCAAATCCTCTTCGAAATTGGCTCCCACTCGAAAGCTCTGCTGTTGGATGATACTCTTACTGAGAGGATTCCTACGGGAGCCGGATGAGGATGTGGAATGGACGGAACCGTCGTCTTCGTAGTCTGAATGATCTGCTGATACATCATACTTATGAATCTTTTTGGCAACGGTACGCGAAAGCTTGGGCACACCCTTGCCACCATGAGAGCTCCCTCCATCCTCGCCACTACCCCACGAGCCGCCCCGAGAACTGCGAGAACTACCCCTCTCCTCTACCATCCTTCCTACTCCGTCTCCACTGACGAGTTACTGCATTTCTCGCACCGCACAATTGCATGTCAATCGAAAATCTCAGGCAACCAACACTCTACAGTGACTTCAAACCCCTCGCATAAATCTGTGTAAACCTCCTACCTGCAGCCGTGAGGATTTCAAGATCTCCAAGAACCACATACCCTGGATCTTAGTCTTGTACTCCACTTGAAGCCTCTTCAAAGTTCGAAAATTTCGCCACCCGAAAGCCAGGCCATTCTCCGGAAGTCAGTATGGACCCCATGTATCGTCCACAAGCACGTGCTCCACATGAAGATCTCGAACTTAACCATTCACTCAATCTTGCCACTCGCTGTCTATAGCAAGACAATATACTCTAACAAAACCCTCCACCGCTACGCAAATTCACAAAGCCAAAATTCCAAAAGTAACCCTAATCCTCGTAACCTCTGTATGTAATGCTTAACCCCATTCCTTCATTTCTTTTAGCCCTACTTGGCTCTCATCCCAGGTTCGTCGGTGAACCATGTACCTGGTCTACGGTATTGCTCTCCTACACATACGCGTCCGTACACCGTGTCCTGATCCCACTACCGTGCCTACTCCCCTCTCCGTATCTCGATTCGCATGTGTAGATCGTGTGTGTTTGCCTGCCCTGTCTCGTTTCTTAAACGGTTTCACTAATAATCACATGTGATTTTTATTCTGTGGGGGGATTTTAAATGTATTGAAAAAGTGTTGCAGTTTTTAGTTTCTCTTGTCTGAGTTGACGTTTTTCTAATTTTCTTCGAAGCTGTGATTAATATTATTGTGCAACGTTGTGAATGATTATAAAACATTACACAATATTTAATGTAATGAAAGTTAATGTGTGATATTGTGTAATTAAAAAAATTCCATGAAAGACATGACTGATTAGATTGATTTGTGTTGCATTGCTTGCAAGTATATGTATGTGCATATTTGAGTGCATAAAGAAATAAATAATTAAATATACAAGTCATCAAGTCTTATAACAACATTAATCTTGTATTTCATTTATTATCATACAGGCTTGTTTTTCATGAACATGTATTTGTGGTCAGTCCACATCGAAAAGAATAGAAAAACTCTTGAAACGTGATAGCATTTTCAAGACAAATTCCACCTTTAAAACTATAAATTAATATATGAAAGAGTTGTTCTCAATGATCAACGAAGTTGGCTGTGAGTATGGAAAAAGCAATATGAACATGTTCAATGAAACAATTGTGGTTACGTATGTTGAATCAAATGTGAGCAAAGAAGTATGTGTAAATGCAAAAATCATTTTAAAAATCAAAATCAAAATCAAAGAAAGACATTGATTTCTTAAATTTGACGTCTTGTATTTTTAAATAATGTAATGCTGAATGTTTAAATTAAAGTTACTTTTTAAAACATTTTTATTAGAGTGGAGAAACCAACACATTCGTCTTAAAAACGCACAAAGAATAAGAGTCCAAGGGGCGAGCGTAACAATCTTTCGCAAGGGTTACTAATCGCGAGTAGTGACATTAGTAAGTCATTACTGAGCAAGATTAGAGGAGCCTCTCACTAATTCATAAGAGGACCGGACACGAGTGAGAGCGATCCAGGAATTGGGAAGCAGACTGAGCTGTGTCGGAAGCAAAACTGGAGCGAGATCAGGGCGTCGAAGAAGCCGGTCCCCGTCCGATTCAATGCGCGATACGAAAATTGAATCCCGAACGAAGAGCTATTCACTTTTGGATGCGAAATGTGTGCGTGTGTGTGTCTTCGATTTGGCGATGGAGTTGGTATGCGCAGGAGCGCACGGGGTGGGATTGAGCTGATTGCGCGTTCGAATTTAGGGTTTTGAGCTGGGTTCGGTGAAGCTTGGAAGATCGAGCTGTGGTGGGTGGGTGGTGGGATTTTGAGAGGATGATAGGTTGAATGCGTCAGAGAATGGCGGATGGGAGTGTTGGAAGAGGTAACGCACAGCAAATAGATGGCGATGCCGTGTGGGAGTCGGCCGGCGTTGTGCGATGTGGGCTTAGGTTGTGGGCGTCGAGGGAAGACGAGTGTGGGAGTCTGTTGAGGGGTTGGATTTCGTAGGTTGTGTGGTTTTACTAGGTTGGGGAGAAGAGAATTGAGTTGGGGTGTTGCTGCCAAGGGTTTGAAGGTGAGGTTTGAGATAAGAAGAGGGTTGGGGCTTGGGTTACCGGCTGGCCATGTCTTCTTCGGATCCGAGGGGAAGTCCAGGGCTTATCCGAAGCGAATCCAGGAGGAGAGAGCAACTAGGTGTGGATAACCTCGACTCTTCGAAATCTCCGTCCTCCCCCCCTTCGATATTCGCCACTGTGATCACAAAACCTGACGAAGTGTCTTCTTCTTCTCAGTTTTCGACAGTGATACAGCACATTTCAGGTACGGATCCGTACTCTACCGTGGTGCATAAGGCGGCTGAGAGTTTCAGGAAGGACGGGGGAGGTAGTGTGCAACGTCGAGATGGGGGAGGGAGGCCTCGAGGTAAGAGTGATTGGGCTGGTGGGATCGAAGGGTCGTCGGGAGCTCTCTCGGGTGATGTTCGTGATCGCACGAGTCTCTTGCAGGAAAACGTTGCATTCGAAGATCCTTCACTGAAGTATGAGCTCCTGAATGAGCTTGGGAAAGGCTCCTATGGTGCAGTGTACAAGGCACGGGATCTGCTGACTTCGGAACTTGTTGCGGTGAAAGTGATATCTCTGACCGAAGGAGAAGAAGGGTATGAGGAGATTCGCGGTGAGATTGGGATGTTACAGCAGTGCAATCACCCTAACGTGGTTCGGTACTTGGGGTCTTTTCAAGGGGAAGATTACTTGTGGATTGTGATGGAGTACTGTGGGGGGGGCAGTGTGGCCGATTTAATGAACATTACCGACGAGGCTTTGGAAGAGCAACAAATTGCGTACATTTGTAGGGAGGCCCTGAAGGGATTGACATACCTACATTCAATCTTTAAAGTCCACAGAGATATTAAAGGCGGTAATATTCTGCTGACTGAGCAAGGAGAGGTCAAGCTTGGAGATTTTGGAGTGGCTGCTCAACTCACTAGAACAATGTCAAAAAGGAACACATTTATTGGAACTCCTCACTGGATGGCCCCTGAAGTTATACAAGAAAACCGATACGATGGAAAGGTACGTCATGCTCTGCATCGAGACACTTACTTCCTGAAATGTTGGGTATTCTCGGGTCTTCACTGATGAGACTTTGCAAACTTAGGTCATGTCGGTCTGTTTGTATTAAGCGAGTTTACTGTGATGTAATTGGAGATATCGAAAGTTATGTTTCTCTTCTGATGTCTAAAAGTGCTGCGGAACTTGACTTTATTATTAGGGGATTGGAAACCTTAATTATTGGTCCTTTCGCAGAGGCACTGATTCCATATCCAGGGCTGCGTGGCTTTTGACCCGTGTTTTGTTTAAAAGTTCCTGAGCTGTTGAGTTTCAATGCCTGCGAAATGTTGATCGACATTGCCAGTGGAGTTCGTCGTTCCGATTTTGTTAATGCGCTGTTTGATCAATGTAGACCTCAAATTTTGGAAGTCATATTTTTCCTTGAGTTCAGGATAGACGTCAATTTGAGGAAACAGTAAATATATCTTCTCAGACTATCTGGCAATTTTCACGCGACACTAACTAGAATTCTGATTTCATTTAGCTCAACCTCGTTGCGTTTATGCTTTTCTGGTTTGAAAACATCGACCTGGCTATTAAGAAGCTCTCGCGGAGTACTTGTTTCTCAGTCATTCTGTATGCCCAATGAGTTGAAGATGTTCGTGTGGTTGAAATGCTTGCAGGTGGATGTATGGGCTCTCGGAGTTTCAGCGATTGAAATGGCAGAGGGGTTACCTCCTCGCTCGAACGTGCATCCCATGAGAGTGCTCTTTATGATATCGCGAGAACCGGCTCCAATGCTCGAAGATAAAGAGAGATGGTCATTGGTGTTTCACGATTACGTGGCAAAGTGTTTAACTAAAGAGCCACGGTTACGACCTACCGCAAGTGCATTGCTCAGTCACAAGTTTATCGAAAAGTGCAAAGGGACTGCCTCATCGATGCTTCCTCAAATTGAGAAGGCCAGGCGGATTAGAGCTGAAATGGCTGCTCAAGCTGCAAATTACGTGCAAGAGCAAGGCACGACATCCTCAGGTGGTCAATACGGTTCTTGGGAGAAAGGCCAGACAGTGAAAATGCATGACACAAGTGCAGGAACGATGCTGGTCCGTGATACTGTAGTCAAGTCACTTAGTGACACTTTTAAAGAGGGCACAGGTACAATAAGAGGTCCTGTGTCAGCTGAATTGGACAGTAGGAGGTCCATGTACGAGGCAACGATGTCTATGGAAACGTCTCCCAATCGTGAGGATTCTAAGTCTTCGTTAGATACCAGGGATCAGGATACCGATCAAGGTCGTAATTCAACTCCTGAAAGTACGGTGGGTTCACGAAAACACTTCAAGGATGGCGTAAGGCTGACTCTAGAAACACCTACAACTTATTCATCAAGTTACGCTGTGTTTTCTCCCATTCCCCATCAACCCGTAGGCGTACATTCATCTATATCTCGAAGAAGTCTCTCTTCCATGGAGGCAACTCTCGGACCAGGGACCCCTGTTGGAGGTGGTAATCGTCCAGGATTCGGCATACAAGACAAGCTCTTGTCCGTCTATGCAGCTGGAAACACGGTGCCGATCCCGTTTTTGAAGGCCACGGACCTTTCACCAATAGCTTTAACTTTCGACAGAATTTTTGCTGATGGTCGGCCCGATCGCACTAGAAACGTAGCACTTGAGGCCATACAGGACCTCTACGTTGGGGAGGGACATGTCCGGCGTGGCAGAAAGGCTCCCAACAGCGAAATGCCGTTACCACCCAGTGTATACCAACGAACTGCGACAAGCACTACACTTCCAAACCTTGCAAGGTCCTTAGCATATCACAAGCGATGTTATGAAGAGTTACCATCACAGGGCTGGCAGGCAGCTCAGGAACAGCAGATCATTCACAACCTGTCTGATACACTCAGGACAATTCTTCGGCTCTAGTTTGTTCATCTCGCAGTCCTGAGTGGCGATGCAGTATCAGGGCTTTCATTTACCGAAATGATGGGCTTCGTGTTCCGTTCTAGAGGCTTCTCTCTACAAATTTGAAAACTGTGCTTGATGTGCAGCTCTCCTCGGGTAGTCTTGGCAAATCGTTGATTGTGGTCGACTGCTATGCGAGGTACTTGTTGTCCATGGGTTGTAGCAAGTTCGTAATGCTTCCATATCACGGCCTTCCTACGTTTGTATTGTGCTTCACAACAACCATATGGTTTGTGATCTTTGGGGCCGGCAACCGTAATGATCCTCATCCTCAAGCATGGAGTCCATTCTATTTTCCAGTTCTGTATTGCTGTATTTCATTTCTTACGCAGTATTTGGACAATATCCTCTTCTTCATGCTCGTAGGTTTTGTAAGTTGATTAGAAAAGTAGATGTTTTGAGTATCCACCTTGAGACGGTAGCGAAGGTTAAGAAAACGAGAGTTTTACAATGATGGTGACTTCAGGTTTGTGCAGTGACACTCGATGGTATGTTTGTTATTCAATGATTCAAAAGATGGAGTGATGCTTTTTAGTTGATGCTCTTCAGTTGTTAATGGAACCAGTAATTGAAATTGGCACTTTCCAAAATGCAATGTGATTTATTACTTTGCATAAATCATACATTCCTTGAGTAGTTGTTACGCATCAGATGTTTTCACAATTTTTGTCATGATATGCTGTTTGCAGGATTTAACATTGTTTTGGAAATGATGTGTTGTGGTTCCGAATGATGATGTGAAATATGGTGTAAGGTCGAAGTAAATGTAATACATATTGGATTTGGACTTTCTATGTATGATAATGTTGATTGGAAACTAGTAAGTCCCAAAGAATAGTGATGGTGAATATGAAAAGGATGAAATATGTATATTGGGTCTTATGATTCTTTTATTATATTTTATGAGAATGCTTTGGAAGTACATGGTGTTGGTGAACAAGAAGATTGTCCTTTAGTGTTATATCAATTAATGGTATGAACTTATGAATATATATTATATCCAGAATTGTGAGTTAAAAAGCATTGCTATTAATTTTATACAATTCTCTTTATTAATTAATTCTCAAAAAACTAATAATCCTCAATAGTTAATCATAATTTTGATAGTCAATTCAGTTCTATAGTGTATAATTAAAAATCTTTGATTTTTAGTAGCTAGTTGATTTTTTTTTTACTTTTATTACTCAATAGAGATAATTAACAAAGACTATATAGGTGGTAGTGCCACATAGATATACATGATTGGATAAGAAAAGGCCATGTAGTTGCTAGATCAAAAGCAAGCAAGGGATGCTTGAGGGCCTTGGTAAGGATAATTTCTAGTCAGCCTTGAACACATTGCCTTTGATAATCAACAATCTCTAATAAAAAATACATTTATGTACAATAAATGATACTAATTAACAAGAAAAACACTCTAGATGGTTCAATAAAGATTAAAAACATAGCAAAGTTTATTTTTTAGTTTCTATGTTTTTTGACCATTACATATGATGTTTTAATATCTCACCTTATCTTTCATGGAGTTTATTGAAAATCAACATTATTTTTAAGTATCAACTTTTAATATTGGTAACTAATAATACTATATAAAAGATCCAAATAATCTATTACAAAAATCATAATAACATCTTTTTAAAATTAAAAAATTATAATAATAATTATTATATAATAAAAATACAAATAAATAATAGTATCATAAATTTTTGTAATCTAATTATATATTTTTTAAACATTATTATTAATTATATTTATATTATAAATAATATAAACTATGATATTTTTTATACATTTTTAAAAATAAAAATTCAATTTATGAGGTATCAAAATTATTATTAAATAATATTTTTTCAAAAGAAAATCGTTTTTTAAAATAATTATCTTTGCTTTGTGTATATATATATATATACTTTTTATTTGTACAATTTTTGATGATATTTATAATTTGTGCTATTTTATTATGACTTTTAGTCTATTTTAAATTTTAAGTTAATAAAAAAAAAAATTAAAAACTTGTTAGTGGTATTTGTTTCTATTAGATTTCATAATTATAAATATCTTTTAATACATAGCATTCTATACTCTTAAAAGTATGCCTAAAAAATAGAAGAAATTAATCTAAATTCATTTATAAAGAAATCTATAAAAAAATATTAAATTTAGTACCAAGTGAAAAAAATTATTTAGAAAATTATTTTATAATTATGAAATAAAAATAAATTATTTTCTAAAATAATCCAAAAGAAGAAATAAAAAATATTTAATGTTTCAAATTCAAATATCCTTCAATTGTTCCAAAATTACAATTATTATACAAAGAAAGTAGAAAAGAATATTGACTATTTAGTAAAGATGTTTTTATTAAAATTATATATTTCAAAAACCGTAATTAAAACTCCTACCAAAAATATTAATTACAGTATTTAAACAACTTGCAAGAAATAGATTTTTTTGCAAGTTAAAATCAAAATAACTACTGAAAAAAATATAGATGGTTTATCTTTTGGATTGTAATACAATAAATAATTTTAATTTAAAATTAAAATAAAAACATCAATATTGATTATACATATGAATCATGGTAGCTTTTGCATAACTTGCAATAAAAAGATCTTACCTTAAAAAGAACTTAAATCAACCATTGAAAATGATTATAGAATACATCTTCAACTATTAGTTTAAGTCTTTTATTTTATTTTATTAAAGTATGACTACTTAATTATTAAGCCTTTACAAATTTATTTTGAATACTAAAATCTAACATTAATAATCAATTGGAAAGAGAATTAAAATAGATTAAATATTGATATATTAAAAATAGTCAATTTAATGCAAAAATGATTCAAAACTTTTGTTTTGTTTCTATAAGGAAGAAGTTTATCATGATCTTAATGTCATCTTATATGCAATGGTTGTTGATACATTTTCAAGAATATATATATATATATATATATATATACACGAGTTGAATTGCATACAATATATCTAAACTTGTAAGTGAAAGATGAACAAATTGTATGAAATTTGATTTCACATTTTAAAGTGGTAGCAAGCTCAAACAACTTCAAAAAGTTGCTCTACTCACATCATCCTAGCAATTATTTTGACCTTTTTTGTGACTTTGGTCAATATTATTTAGTACAAACTATCACACATACACAATTTTTAGATGCTTATTTTATTGACAATCCATTCTTGGACAACCATTAAAAAATCAAGAATAATTTCTTATTCTATATCTAAAATTTGAGCAACATTTGTGGTGGTTAGTATGGAATCAAACTCTACATTAAGTACAACCCAATTTGGCTCTTAAATAAATTTATCAAATGTGGTAATGATTGATCATCTAAATTTTAATTTGTATCTTTTAAAACTTCATGCAATACTTGCCAAAAATCTCTCTAAAGTCCTTCAAATCACCTAACATTTTTTTAGACTATAAACATACACCATTTTCTATAGAAATAGATAACAAAGCATAGTAATATAAATTAGCCTTAGGGGCCTTTGTTTTGCAGCAAGAAATATGTGTGGAGAAGTAATCTAATAAATAGGCCTATGAAACTATGCGCTTGTGGAATAGAAAATGCTTGAAGATTTTGTCCATGCACTTAGATCATTTATAATGGTTCACTTTAATATGAAAATTCTTTGATTGAATCTAGCAACCAAGATAGCTTGTATAAAATGTATTATAGTGATATTAATTATTTTTTGAAGACACTCATTGACAAAAAAATATCTACTTGCATTATTTTTAATTTTTTTACATAATAATAAGTTTATTTTGACAATACTTGACAATATTGTGGTAATTTCTTTTGTCCTGCTTCTCCTTAGAATCTTTAAGATCTTTACTTTGCATCAAAGAATATATATAGAGAAGTAATATTAGGGATATAAAAATTATTTTGTAGAAGAAGAAATATTAGATGTAAGGTATTAACATGACAAACAATTTTGCTCCAAAATACTACATTTGAAGTATATTACTAATTTTTCTTTAGGTATTTTTAAAAAGAATAATTAGATGTTTTTTAAAGTTGCATATGTAAAATAATAATATGCAATTGGCTATAGAAAAATATTTAGAAAATAGGTATAAAAAATAGAGATTATTTATTTATGAGACTTTTTAATTGTCATAAAAAAATAAGTTCAATAAGATGTTCTCTTTATTGGAGTTTAAAAGAAAATTATGTGTTAGTTAATTTTATGTTTATTGTTAGAATAAATACATACTTTCTTGGTAGTTCTTTTGTGATGATTTCAACAATAAGTACATGTTTTATAAAGCCTTTTACAATAATTTTTACTTCATTGCATAAGCCTTGTACCATGTTTTATAAAATTCAATCGAAGATATAACCTTTATAGTTGTATGATGAGTTGAGATTCTATTAATTGATAGAGAATTGAAAAACTCAATAGGATAGATTGCAAAATTATCTTATTTATTAGAAGTGAAAGAGTCTTTTAAGCAATAGTGTAATTTAGCATAAAAAAATTTGAAAATGTTTTGATTATTCTTCTTGTCAATACATGTATTAATAGTTGAAAAAAATGCACTATTTATTACTTATTCATAATAGTTTGTATTGTTGATAATATTTATATATATTTTTTCAATTAAATTTCATACTAGTATATGCATAGTAATTTCTTTACGGATTTGTACCTTAATCTATTTTTATTAATATGAATGGCTTGAATTTCTTCACTAACATAAAATAACTCTTTACCAAAGCTTAACATTAAGTAAATGAACACTTATAAAGACTTTCATCACTTCCACTAGATTCTACAACATTTAATCTAAAAATAGTTGGTTCCTATTTGCACACATTAAGTGATGAATAAAATCATTGTCTTAGTGTAAAAAACTTGTAATGTTATTCTAAGTTTTTTTAAAATATAAAAAATATAATTGAATATTAAGCAATGATTTTTTGATAGCAAAGGCATGATTTGATATAACTACTTATCTTTGCAGCAAGCTTTTTATAAAAATAAATTATATTATTAATTTAATATTTATATATTTTTTAAAAAAATATTTAAAAGATTTCTAAATATGAAGATTTGCATAAAACAAAATCTTACAACACTTGGCATTTATTTTTCAATAACAATTTACATTACTTAGATCAACTTCACATCATCTTAGATATCTTCTTGCACTAATTGCATTTTGAAATGACAAGTAGAATAGCATATTTTATATTTTTGAGAATAATAAAAGAAATAAGGTTCCAAATATTAAAAATAAAAAATAAAATAAAATATTAATAATACAATTTTTCTTAAAGAAAACTACAATGCATCCTTTCAAAAATTCCTTTTTTTTTTCTTTTTTTTTTCTTTTTTTTTGTGCATAATTTAATAAAATATATAGAACATGATCATTTATACAAAAGATAAAGATTTTTTTCAGTTGTGTTTGATAGTGACTTTCTAATAATTGCTCTACATGGGCCTTAAAATCCTAATAAATCTAATATTGATTTAAAAGGTGCACCTTGAAAATGCTGGATAGTATCGCTTCTTTTCTAAAGTTTAAAGTAAAAAATTCTATAGCAAGCTTCTAAGATTGAAATATATCATGCATCCAAATATCAAA